ACTACTGCAACGCTCTCTACGTGGGGTTGCCTTTGAAGACGGCCCGGAAGCTCCAATTAGTCCAACGTTCGGTAGCCATGATACTAACTGGAGCGGAGCGCAGGGAGCATACAACTCCTCTGCTGCACTAGCTCCACTGGCTGCCGATTTGCTACCGGGCTCAATTCAAAGTGCTGGCGTTGGCCTTTAACGGTTCTGGCCCAACCTACCTATCCGAACGTATCTCGGCCTATCAGCCCACCAGGACCCTAAGATCTTCTGGGGAGGCCCTGCTCTCTATCCCGCCTGCTTCACAGGTGCGGCTGGCGGGGACGAGAGACAGGGCCTTTTCTGTGGTGGCCCCTCGGCTATGGAACGCCCTTCCCATGGAGGTAAGATCAGCCCCCTCGCTGATGGTGTTCCGTAGAAAATTAAAAACCTGGATGTTCGAACAGGCATTTGGTTAATGCGGTGCAATGAATGTAATGATTAAAGGATTGGTAATATGGACGACGAAACTGGATCACGATATTAGTCAGGAGATGCATTGGATTGTTATTGATGTGCGAATATTGTGTATTATGTTTTTATGGTTTTAAATTGTATACTGTTGATTGTTGTATTTTGTTGTAAACCGCGTTGAGTCGCCGGCTAGGCTGAGAAACAGCGGTATACAAGTATAGCAAATAAATAAATAATAAATAAATTAATAATAATAATAATCTTTATTTATACCTCGCCACCATCTCCCCAAAGGGGACTCAGAGCAGCTTATATGAGGCCAAGCCCAGTAGTGCATTACAATAAAATATCACAAAAGCAAACATTGCAATAAAATAAATAGCAATGAAGAATGCAAAATAATACAGTGAAAAATCAAACACAATCACAATGAGCGGGCCACATGTGCAAGGTACAATGATAAAAACTCAGGATGGGATAGGAACAAAACAGATGTATTTGTGAGGGAGAAACTCAAAAACAACAACAATAACAACAGAACTATGTGACTTCCTGGGTTATAAATGTCATTTTCTAATTGGTTCTATCAAAAAAACATGGAAAAAGCCGATTAAACTCCAAAAACTTTGCTTTTGCAGGAGGGACATCCTGCAGCACAGTGATGGCATGCCCGAGCTTTGGGAAAAACTATAGCGTCTGGCTTTACTTGGGGGATATCTGATACCTTCTGTTAAGATTAAGACCCTTAGCAGACAGAGGCACTTTGGGCAAGGTGAAAAGATCACCAAAATGAGTATACTGAAAAAAAAGATGAATAAAGGGTTAATTCCACCTGGGACTATTATAAAGTAACTTAAAACAGTACATTACAAAAGCTGCAGTAATCTCTTTGGAGTCTTTGAAAGTCTCTTGCCTCTGGTGCCAAGCGATGGTTATAAACTGTCTCAATCTTCTTCCTTGTGAAGCTTAAGCTGGCCAAAAGCTTCTGTTGTCCTTTTGAAGTCGATAGGAACTTTAGGAGGGTCTTCCCCAAGAGGAGGGACCCTGAGACCCCACCAAAGAGGGATCGCTACTTTGGCGAGCTAGGAGAAGCCTGATTTCAGCAACTTTTATTTCTTTAAAAATTCCAAATAAATCTCACCAAAGTTGAAGAACCGGCACCGAGGTGTTTTATTAGCGATTCAGCAGAAAAGGATGCAATGTAGCAATCATTCGCCTACAGAGCATGTGGTTACAGAAATCAGAGATATTTTTATAGGGATAACAGGCTCAGCAGTTTCAAAATTCCCACCCTCCGCCCGGCTCGCAGGGGATTGGCGGATGCGATAACAGCTGGGAGGAGGCTCGGCCGCCCGCCCTGCGTCAGAGCCAATCATAGAGCTCCTCCGCTGTGCAGGAACCAATAGGAGAGCTCCTACCGCCTCAGCGCTCTGGCGAATCAGGAGAAGGGAGGCGGGATGAGGAAGAAACAATGGGTTCATGAATGGATTAATGGATTTCATGCCTTGGGGAATCCTGAATCCGTGAATTCCAGCCTGCAAAGGATGCCAGTCTATTGTCCTGAGGTGGGCGATAAATAATGATTACTTAATCTGGTTTTTCCTGTTGCCATCAGATAAGGCACAATGAGAAAGGCTGGGGTGCGTGTTTGCTGTATAGAATCTGGAAGGTAAACAGTTTCAGAGGTGAAAAGCCCTTCCGAGGGTCTTTCTGCCCCCAGGGTGATGTGATCAAAGGTGCCAAGCGAAACCCTTTCATTGAGTGGACCAACTCCGAGACTCAACTTTAGGTTTCCAATTCTAAATGCACAAGTTATCATGATAAGAGTTCTTTGTGACTTTTTTTTTTTTGTCGTGTCAGGAGTGACTCCTGGTGTGAGAGAATTGGCCGTCTGCAAGGACGTTGCCCAGGGGACGCCTGGATGATTTGATGTTTTTATCATCCTTGTGGGAGGCTTCTCTCATGTCCCCGCATGAGGAGCTGGAGCTGATAGAGGGAGCTCATCCGCCTCTCCCCGGATTCGAACCTGCGACCTGTCGGTCTTCAGTCCTGCCAGCACAGGGGTTTAACCTACTGCGCCACCGGGGGCTCCTGTTTTTATGAGTGATAGTCACTCATTGGCGTGAGAGATGTCTTGTGTCCAAATTTGATGTCAATTCGTCCAGTGGTTTTTGTGACTGCTAATTGTCCTTTCCGCACTGCTGGTGGCTTCTTGATTGATTTTCCCCAAAGGAAGGAGAAAAGGGGCAGTGGGCTTGGAGTCAGGGCACAAATGAGGAAACGAATACATGGGGAAATATAGGAATCACAAGAAATTCATAGCAAGCACCCTCTCCCTCCCTCCACCCGCCAGAGAAATGGATTAAAATAATAATTTTAATAAAACATGTGTCCATGGTTCATACTGGGGAACATATGTGAAAATGAGTTCATTAGAGCCAAAAATGATATGTAGAAAGTCCATCAGTCCATACAGAAGTATGTTTTTGAAAGGGAAACAAAAGGGTTCATGGGGATTGATTAAAAGCATGAAATTTATGAGGAAAGGTCCAAAAGATTTCACTGAGCCAGTCAAGGGAATCCTGCAGCGTTGAGGTTGAGACTTGTCCTTGGCCCTTGGAAAACTGTAACTCTTTCCAGGGGCTGGAGCCCAGGGACCAATCTGCTCCCTGAAAGCCTCCTGGGGTCCTTGCTGTTGTTAGTGTCTTGGCAAATTGACCAAGACTTAACCTCTATTGTGCAGTCTGGTGCCCTTGCCCTTTTCAGAACTATAAGTTACTATCCCTTTTTTTTGGGGGGGGGGGGGGAACGACACATGCTCGGCTTCACTTTGGACTGCTGGTATATGGATACTGCTGAATGTAGGTGCTAAGGATGTCTTTTTTGGATTGCTTGGGCCTAGGATTACCAGACAATACCCAAGCCTCTATTCACTGTAGCACTGCTGCAGGAAAAAGGAGGAGTCCAGCAAAACAGCTCTGCACAGGCAAATGGAATAGACCAACTAATGCTGGCCTCTAGGGGGTTTTATCCTCCACCCAAAAACTAATACAAAGGAAGGTATCTACACTTTTGGGAAAACCTATAAACAGGGAACTAAAGCAGAGCAGAGGAAAAGGCAGGGCCAAGACTTCACAAGCACATTTTGCTATTGTTCTGGTACAGTTGTACCAGGAGTTCCAACTTTATTTGCTTTGTATTAAATGTTTGATTGCAGTCCTAGGTTTCAGGGACTCTGCAGATAAGTGACTTCTTTTGGTTGCAGTCATAGGGCAAGTCACCTGTCCATCATCGTTAAGTTTTGGTCCCGCCCCTTGCTCAGGGCAATTGGGAAGGGAAGGGAGCGATTTTTTGGTTAGTCTCAGCAAGGAAAGTTAATGTATAGGACGTGTGCAAGCTTCTCCTGTACAAAAACTTTAACCTTTAAGAATTTCCAGGAAAACAGCCCTAAAGACCAAAGAACTCCAGCTGGAGAACATCTAAGCCTTTACTGGTAGGTCCACTCGGTGCTTCGAGACGCAGTTCGACCCGGTAGCGGAGCCCACATCAGTAAGGGTTAGATTACAGTCAGCCTGGGAGAAGTTAAAAAGGGGATTTTCTTTTAAAGAAGAAGTTATTGAAGACAGTTGCCTGTCTTTCATGGGCAAGATTAGGAATTCACTAGTTGCCTAAAAGCTTGGAATCATTTGCTTAACTTTACTGAAGAAAAGAGAAGTTTTTGTTTGATTGTTCATTTCTAGAGGCCTTCTCTCCCGACATTTCGCCTGCATCTATGGCAAGCATCATCAGTACCTCTGAGGATGCTTGCCATAGATGCAGGCGAAACATCAGGAGAGAATGCCTCTAGAACATGGCCATATAGCCCGAAAAAACCTACAACAACCCTTGGAATCATTTGCTTAACTTTACTGAAGACAAGAGAAGTTTCTGTTTGATTGTTCATTAATAAAAGACTTTGTTGTACTTCACAAGCCATCTAAAGACTATTTGTGGTAAAAATCCTCTGAGAACTTCTCTTTAGGCCCCCTGGTTTCCCGCTGGGCAAAGGTTGCACGTCCTGTGATGAAAGGAAATTCTTTACAGGCCCAGGGCGCGACAGAACAGCTATAGTTTTTCAGTGAGGCTCTCATCAAGTCTCAACCAACTCAACATAGTTTCTGTCGCAAAAACAAAGTTTCTGGAGCAGAACAACTACTTTCAAAGTAAGTACTGCACAATGAAACAAGACATAACACTTTCAAACCAGGAACAGTCATTTTTTCAAATTTTGTTTTTATATTTGTTCCAGATCCCACAGTCCCTGTCTATATGTTATGCCAGTTGGGAGCTTTGGGAAACTGGGCACCTAGGTGGAGGCAAATGTTCTTCCAGCCTTGTCTGGCATTTTGCCGCAGAGGAAATGGGCAGGAATGAGCTTGCATGGTAGGGAGGTACTCAACTGCTGTCTTCTCCTTTCCTCTTTTTCAGTGTGTCCCTGCAAAGTGGGAGGAAGCAGCAGAGGGGTCATGGATGCCAGTGATACGGCCGCAGCCGCGTGCACCAGCAGTGGTGAGTGCTGCAATCCAGAGTGCTTGGGAGGCTGCAGCCGGGCCCGGGACCACCGTGCCTGTGTGGCCTGCCGCCACTTCGAACTCAACGGACGCTGCCTGCGCTCCTGCCCGGAGCTCACGTATCAGTATGAGGGCTGGCGTTGTGTGACCGCTGAGCACTGCGCCAGCCTGCATAAGGTGTCCGAGAACCCCCGCGACTCCTCCCGGTTCGTCATCCACCAAGGACAGTGTCTGTCCGAGTGCCCGTCCGGCTACAAGAGGAATGATAGCAGGTGAGCAGAAGACGTAGCAGGCAGCCATGGGCTTGATGGGTACCCATTCACCCAGACAACCAACCCATTTTCTCTCTCTCTCTGCTGTTTCTTCCTTTCCTTCCTGCAGCATCTTCTGCCACAAGTGTGAAGGCCTCTGCCCCAAGGAGTGCAAAGTGGGCACCAAGACCATTGACTCCACCCGGGCGGCCAGGGACTTGACAGGCTGCACCTTGGTCGAGGGCAATCTGATCATCAATATCCGTCGCGCGGGTGAGTGGCTGTCTGGTGCTGGGCAGGACTGGGAAGGAGTGCTGGGTGTTAGTTTAGGGGTCATATAATCATAGACTCATAGAATAATAGAAAAGACCACATGGGCCATCTAATCCAACTGTTGCACTCCAGGACAGGAAATGCCCCCTGACTGTAAACACCACACCTTTGATTGGAAAACAATCCTTTTATTGAAGATAATTAAAAAGCAGCAAGTAAAAAGCACTCAAAAGGAATAGGTAAATCCAATTAGGTAAGAAGATAAGCAGGAGCAGAAATAGTCCAGGATAAAGTTCAGCAAAGTCCATAAAAATAACGTCCACTCTTCTCTAACATAATTCAGAAAACCAGAGAACATTAATTCAAGGCATGAGGATGAATTCATACAATCCAAGAATCCAAACCATGAAACAAGAATCTTCCAGGCAAGGCTTCCATAAAACAAGGACGAGAACGACACTTGATTCCAAATGATGCTTCATCTGACTATATTTCCCATATTTGGAACTTTTATCCCCTTGTTAAGCTATCCCAAGCACTCAGAAATTGGTTTCGCTTTAATTGAGATTCCCTTATCATTTTCTGTCGGATTCTGGCAGACCACCAAAGCCATTGTTTGGTCTGCCTGTTTTGACTAATCTCCTGCCTCCTATCTATTTGCCGCTTAAGTTTTGCAGCTGGGCCAGGTGCCCAGTTGTTTTCAAGCCCCAAATCCTGGGAACTCTCTGGTAATAATGCAGGAAATACATCATCATCCCCACACCCTTCAAGGACATTCTCATGGGAAACTACACATTGCTCAGGGGTCTCCTGGTCCTTCTCTGCATCAGTATCATTGACCAAATTATTGCCATCATGAAATTCATTAGCATCACTTCTCACATTCAAAGCACCCTGATCCTGAAACACAATCACAAGCTGAACTCCAAACTGTGCTGTCGCACGCTGGGCCTGTGCATAAGACTGTAGACAGGACATAAATTCTGTGTGCCCAACGGGACGCCGGGGCTGCCTCAGATTAAAGGCCCTTGGATTTCCTTAAAACAGAGTCTTTAGATTGCTTAAAGGTTCAACAAAGTTCTTTATTAATGAAAACAAACAGGTACTTTAAGGCTTTTTTAACAGTCTATTGGCTCTCTCTCAATCTTGTCCACAGGGAACAGGCACTATCTTCATAACTGTAACTAATGGGGAAATCCTTAACTTCTAATCTGGGCAGTCTGTCTTTGCCTCTGTTGGCGTGGAGCCCCTACACCCGGTACCAACTGCTTCTGGCTTCCGCGAGTGACCCTTACCAAGCAGAGCTTTGTAGACTTCCAGGGAAAAGGAGTTCAGGTTTCGGTGATGGCTGGCTGAAGTCCTTCAGCAAAGGAGATGTAGGGCTGTATAACCCCAGCCAAGCTGTGGGCTGTATATCTCCCTGGCCAAGCTGTAGAAGACGAAGCTTTCTACAGGAGGTCTTGGTATTATGTCCTGCATGAAAGGCTTCTCTGTGTCGACTGAACCCAAAATGGCTCCTATTCCCTCTAAAACCCAAAAAGGGGGCGGGACCAGGGAACCTAACTATAATTCACAGGTGGCTTGCCCTATGATTGCAGCCAAAAGAAGCCACCTATCTGCAGAGTCCCTGAAACTTAGGACTACAACAAACATTCGATGCAAAGCAGACAAAATTGGAGCTCCTGGTACAATTGTACCTGCACACCAACACCAACCCCTGCCGTCCAGGTTCAGGTTCTGTTCATTTGTGATAGGAGCATCATCATCATCCGCCTCGAGGTGGTTAAAATTTAAATACAGGTTGAAATTCACAAGCTAAGAAGAAACACCAAATAGTTGAGCGAAGAAAGGACAAAATAAAGTGGAGAGCTGTTGGAACTTGATTTCTTTTGGTTCAAAAAACATTCAAATGTGAGTAGATCAATAGGTACTGCCTTGGCGGGGAGGTAACAGCGCTCCATGCAGTCATGCTGGCCACATGACATAGGAGGTGTCTACAGACAATGCAGGCTCCTTGGCTTGGAAATTGAGATGAGGACCACCTCCAGAACTGGATATGAAAGGGGAAGCCTTTGCCTTTGTCTGTATATTTGTTTCATTGTTTCAAGGCATAAATGTTTGCCTGTGTCTGTATATATTTGCTGGAATCTGCCCTGAGTCCCCTTGGGGAGATAGGTGTTGTATTCCAGGGCGGGAAACACCTCTACACTTAACCACACTCCAGTACAATGTATTTATTTATTTACAGCTTTTATATTCCGCCCTTCTCACCCTGCAGGGGACTCAGGGCGGATTACAGTGTACACATATATGGCAAACATTCAATGCCAATTTTTGACATACAACATATACAGACATACACAGAGGCTATTTAACTTTTTCTGGCCACTAGGGAAGCTGTCGCTTTCATCATCCATCTGCGACACTGATGAAGTACTTCCGCATTCCTTGCATGCTTTTGCTGGAGTGCTTTGCTGGAGTCTTTTTTATGGCCTCATAAATCAGCAAAGCAGTTTATTGAATAATATATAAAACGCAGTTCAGCAAAAATAGTAAAATCAATGTAAGAAATTATTATCATTATTATTGATGCCTGGCACTGGCACACCTGGCCATTGCTAGATCAGCTTGCTTGGTAGTAAATCAACACAGCCAGGGATGCACAGCTATTGGGCCCCAAACCCACCTTGCAGCCAAATGAGTCCCTAAACAACCAATTCGACCATCCTTGGTCAAGGATCCAGTCCCCATGTGTGGCTATATGGGCTCCATGAAGCGAGTAGAATTGAAGTCAATACGGACTTTAGGGGGGTAAACCCTTAGTTCCCACCAAAGAGGGAATGCTACCTTGGCGAGCCGTAAGAGAAGCCTGATTCCAGCCATTTTATTAATATTAATAATTGAAATGAGACTCTTGCCAAGGCAAGAAGTGGCACCGAGGTTTATTGTGTGATTCAGCTGAGTCGGATGCAAATGCGGGGATAGCTCACCCACAAGCATACCAGTACATTGATCAGAGGCATATTTATAGCAAATTCAACCAATCAGGAAGCTCCAGTGGTCCGTAGGAACCAATGGGGAGACCTCTGCCACCTGGTGGTGACAGCCAATCAGGAGAGATGGAGGCGGGATGAGGGAGCACAAAGTAATCTGGGAAAGGAGTAAACAAAAGAAATGCCATGTGGCCGGCGAGACAAAGGGGAAATCTCAAGCCAGCCTGATCTATCAACATGTGTAGACTGGGGTGATTATTTCTTGGTGGAGATAGCTGAGTTAATCAGAGCGAAGGCAAAAGGTTTTTCGTGGACCTTTTGTCCTTCAGGAGGAAATATGATTAAGATTTTTTTTGCCAAAGGGGCAAGCTGAGGGTTGGGCAATTCCTCCGAGGGCCACCAGCTGCCCAGGCTATTGTTCATGCAAAAGAAAGCTGTGGATAAAAAAATCCTGCAATGTTTGGGGCTTTGTAGTATTTTTTGTGGAGTTTCTTCATGTATATAGGGGAAACAAAGGTCAGAAGAAAAGGGGAAAGGCTTCTGCCACACAAAGAAATCAGAAAACACATTTCATACATCTAAAGTTCATAAAAGGCAAGATTTCATAAGGTTTGTCCATGTGGGGGGAAAGAGTGTCCATAGGGGATGGCTAAAACGCAAGGGTCCTGGCAGGAGTTCTTGAGTGGCCCAAATGGACCTGGTGTCTCTGGAAACAAGCTTTGCTCCCCATCCTTGGAGAACTACAGCTCCCGAGAGAGGCAGAGACCCCAAGGTCTAGCTATTCCCGAAATTTCATGGGGTCCTCATTGTTGTTAAGGCCTTGGCAAATTGACCAAGACTTAACCCCTATTGTGCAGTCTGGTACCTTTGTCCTTTGCAGAACTATAAGTCACCATCCCTTGTTTGGGGGGGGGCATGCTCGACGTCAGAATTAGTTTTTTTAAGAGATGCTCAATCCCATCAAAGAAAGCACTGGGAATACCTTCTCCTTGGAGAGAGGCTAGGGTTGTGTAGAACGCCCTTACTGGCACATGCCCAGGGATAGCTCACCCACAAGCATACCAGTACATTGATCAGAGGCATATTTATAGCAAATTCAACCAATCAGGAAGCTCCAGTGGAGTCTCTTCCCTGCCCATCCGCCTTCCCCAAGACCAGGCTGCTGGAATTTCAAAATAAAACCAAAAAACCAATGTTATCTGTGCATAGTACAGGTTGACAGGATGCCTCAGCCTCTCTCCATGATCCTCTTTTGCAGACAACCTGGCTTCTGACCTTCAGGGCAGCCTGGGCCTCATTGAGACCATCACAGGATTCCTGAAGATCAAGCATTCCTTCGCCCTGATCTCCCTCTCCTTCTTCAAGAACCTCCGTCTGATCCGTGGAGACTCCATGGTGGACGGGTGAGCAACAAAGGAGCCCAGGCAAGCCAGGAAAGCCATCGAGACAGGACTAAGGGTTGCTTACTCTGGAGTGTACACTCCTAATTTAGTGCCTATATATATATATATATATATATATATATATATATATATATATACACACACACACACACACACACACATACATATAATAAAAGTCAAAGTTTGTATGCGGAGGACAAAAGTGTGGCGGTGTGGCGGGAGGAGTATGTGCCAGCGTTCTGATTGGCTGCCGCTGTGGTGCTATTTGCATATGGTCTCTGATTGGCCAGCTTCAATAGGAGCCCCTGGTGGAGAAAAGAATTCATAACAGAAACGGGGACATGAGAAGGAAATTTGCATATGGTCTGTGATTGGCCAGCCTCAATTCCAAGATTCTGAGATGACAAAGAGAGGAAAGGAAAGGGCCAGAGGGGGCTGAGTCAGAAAATTACCAATACAGACCAAACTTGGCACACAGAGCCTGCAAGACCCACTCTACATCCTACTGCAGTTTGGAGGAGGATGAACCATGGATTATGGGACTAGCAGTACCATCACACACATTCTGAGACCTCTGTGAACCTCATCCAATGACTGATCAGGACCAAACTTGGCACATAGACCTCTCATGACCCACTTTACGTCCTGGTGTGGTTTGGCCGGGGATGGGCCATGGATTATGGGATTTGCAGTACCTTTGTTCAATTCCTGAGACCACTGCAACCCCCATCCAATTACCGACAAAGACCAAACTTGGCACACTGAGTCACCATGACACACTCTACATTCTGGTGCAGTTTGGAGGAGGATGCACCATGGATGATGGGAATTGCAATACCTGCACTCCCTTCCTAAGACCATTACAACTGGACTTCAAGTACTTCCACTCCCCAAGAACGCTGCAAAACTCATCTAATGACCAATCAAGACCAAACTTGGCACACAGAGCCCCCATGACCCACTCTACATCCTGCTGCAGTTTTGGAGGAGGGTTGACCATGGATGATGGGACTTCCAGTACCTTCACTCACATTCTGAGACCTCTGAGAACCTCATCCAATGACTGATCAAGACCAAACTTGGCACATAGACCTCTCATGACCCACTTTACGTCCTGGTGTCATTTGGAAAAATTTGGAGATGGATGATGGGACTTGCAGTAACTTCACTCACTTTCTGAGACCACTGAGACCCTAATCCAATGACTGATCAAGACCAAACTTAGCACACAGAGCCCCCATGACCCACTCTACATCCTGCTGCAGGTTGAAGGAGGATGGACTTTGGATGGACTTGCAGTACCTTCACTCACTTCCTGAAAACAATGCAGCCGTTATCCAATGACCAATAAAGACCAAACTTGGCATACAGAACCACCATTACCCACTTTCTCTAATAACCCGGGCAGCACCGGGTCCCCAAGCTAGTGTATATATATATATATATATATATATATATATATATAGAGAGAGAGAGAGAGAGAGAGAGAGAGAGCTCTATCTGTTGTCTGTATAATCAGCATTGAATGTGTGCTGTATATGTGTTTTGTGATCCGCCCTGAGTCCCCTTCGGAATGAGAAGGGTAGAATATAAGTACTGTAAATAAATAAATAATAAATGTTTGCCCACTGAATGCTTTCCCCTTTTCGTTTTGCCTCCAGAAACTATACGCTGTATGTGCTAGACAACCAGAACCTCCAGCAGCTCTGGGACTGGAGCCGCCACACTTTGTTCATCCCGGCTGGCAAGATGTATTTTGCCTTCAACCCCCGGCTCTGCCTCTCTGAGATCTACCAGATGGAGGAGATCACCGGCACAAAGGGCAGGCAAAACAAGGCAGAGATTAACCCCCGGACCAATGGGGACAGAGCCTCCTGTAAGTGGTCTGGTGGGGAGGGGGCTTGGCAGGATGCTGAAGGTCCTGTTGCACCTCAGCAGAAGTTCGCTTTGCTCACAGCACTCACCAAGAAACCAAACATGGTAATAAACAGTTTGAAAGTGCCCGCATTTCTAGAGAGACAAAAAGAGACAGAGCACAGACGATGCTCAGCTAGGATAGCTGCTAAAAACGCTGAGCTAATTGGGAGACGCCCTATCACCTCCTGTGTGGGGAATTCAGAGCTATAAATCAGAGGTAGGAGCAGACAGCTTGGTAATAAACAATTTGAAAGTGCCCATATTTCTAGAGAGACAAAAAGAGACAGAGCACAGACTTCGTTCAGCTAGGATAGCTGCTAAAAATGCTGAGCTAATAGGGAGACGCCCTAGCACCTCCTGTGTGGGGAATTCAGGGCTATAAATCAGAGGTAGGAGCAGACAGCTTGGTAATAAACAGTTTGAAAGTGCCCATATTTCTAGAGAGACAAAAAGAGACAGAGCACAGACGATGTTCAGCTAGGATAGCTGCTAAAAACGCTGAGCTAATTGGGAGACGTCCTAGCACCTCCTGTGTGAGGAATTCAGGGCTATAAATCAGAGGTAGGAGCAGACAGCTTGGTAATAAACAGTTTGAAAGTGCCCATATTTCTAGAGAGACAAAAAGAGACAGAGCACAGTCAACGTTCAGCTAGGATAGCTGCTAAAAACGCTGAGCTAATTGGGAGATGCCCTATCACCTCCTGTGTGGGGAATTCAGGGCTATAAATCATAGGTAGGAGCAGACAGCTTTTGCTGGTAACAACGACCCTGATACTGATGTTTCCATTTCAATGGAATCTGCTTTGTGTCTGCTGCTAAGAACTTAGTTCGTTGCCTGCTGTCTGATGGGGGACTGGTGTTTTGTTTGGGATATTGTAAGAGACTTTGATTTGTGTCTGGATTAAGACTTCCTTGTTTTCTTTTGCACTTTTCAGTTGCATTTGCTTATCCTTTGAATAATAGAATCATAGAATCAAAGAGTTGGAAGAGACCTCATGGGCCATCCAATCCAACCCTATTCTGCAAAGAAGCAGGAATATTGCATTCAAATCACCCCTGACAGATGGCCATCTAGCCTCTGTTTAAAAGCCTCCAAAGAAGGAGCCTCCACCACACTCCGGGGCAGAGAGTTCCACTGCTGAACGGCTCTCACAGTCAGGAAGTTCTTCCTCATGATCAGATGGAATCTCCTTTCTTGTAGTTTGAAGCCATTGTTCCGCGTTCTAGTCTCCAAGGAAGCAGAAAACAAGCTTGCTCCCTCCTCCCTCTGGCTTCCTCTCACATATTTATACATGGCTATCATGTCTCCTCTCAGCCTTCTCTTCTTGCCCAGCTCCTTAAGCAGCTCCTCATAGGGTTTGTTCTCCAGATCCTTGCTCATTTCAGTCGCCCTCCTCTGGACACATTCCAGCTTGTCAATATTGTGGTGCCCAGAATTGGGCACAATATTCCAGGTGTGGTCTAACCAAAGCAGAATAGAGGGGGAGCATGACTTCCCTAGATCTAGACACTAGGCTCCTCTTGATGCAGGCCAAAATCCCATTGGCTTTTTTTGCCGCCACATCACATTGTTGGCTCATGTTTAACTTGTTGTCCACGAGGACTCCAAGATCTTTTTCACACGTACTGCTCTCGAGCCAGGCATTGTCCCCCATTTTGTATCTTTGCATTTCGTTTTTCCAGCCTAAGTGGAGTATCTTGCATTTGTCACTATTGAACTTCATTTTGTTATTTTTGGCCATTCATCTCTCTAATCTGTCAAGATCATTTTGAATCCTGCTCCTGTCCTCTGGAGTCTTGGCTCTCCCTCCCAATTTGGTGTCGTCTGCAAACTTGATGATCATGCCTTCTAGCCCTTCATCTAAGTCATTAATAAAGACGTTGAACAGGACCGGGATGAAGTAAAGCATTTTTCTTTTACTTGCAACATTGTCTAAAGGCTGTTAGACAGGAGGGCAACTCAGGACACCCATTCTTCGGCTAACTGATTCTTCTACCCTGTTTCAGGCAAGACCCAAACTCTGCGCTTTGTCTCCAACGCCACGGAATCGGACCGCATTGTCCTCAAATGGGAACGTTACCAGCCGCCTGAGTACCGGGATCTTCTGAGTTTCATTGTCTACTACAAGGAGTCGTAAGTCCATGGGAAGAATCCTCTCAGAAGGGTTCATTTGTCATGTCAGGAGCAAACCAATCAGTTGTATTGCATTTTTTAACAAACAAACAAAGCACAAAGTTTGCAAGCTTGGTAGTTGATTAAATGTCCTTTGACCAGTAACTTGGAGTGCCTCTGGTGTTACTATAAGAAGGTCCTCCATTGTGCAAGTAACAGGGCTCAGGTTGCATTGCAGCAGGTGGTCTGTGGTTTGCTCTTCTCCACACTCGCATGTTGTGGATTCCACTTTGTAGCTCCATTTCTTAAGATTGGCTCTGTATCTCGTGGTGCCAGAGCGCAGTCTGTTCAGCACCTTCGAAGTCGCCCAGTTTTCTGTGTGCCCAGGGGGGAGTCTCTCATTTGGTATCAGCCATTGATTGAGGTTCTGGGTTTGAGCCTGCCACTTTTGGACACTTGCTTGCTGAGGTGTTCCAGCGAGTGTTTCTGTAGATCTTAGAAACTGTTTCTTGATTTAAGTCATTGACGTGCTGGCTGATACCCAAACAGGGAATGAGCTGGTCTAGAGTGACTCCCAGGTATTTGGGTGTGCTGCAATGCTCCAGTGGGATTCCTTCCCAGGTAATCCTCAGAGCTCAAGATGCTTGTCTGTTCTTAAGGTGAAAGGCACATGTCTGTGTTTTATATGGATTAGGGATCAGCTGGTTTTCCCTGTAATAGGCAGTAAGAGCACCTAGAGCTTCGGAGAGCTTCTGTTCTACCATCTCAAAGCTCCCTGCTTGTGCGGTGATGGCACGATCATCAGCATAGATGAAGCTCTCTGTCCCTTCTGACAGTGGCTGGTCATTTGTGTAAATGTTGAACATGGATGGAGCAAGCACGCTCCCCTGAGGCAGGCCGTTCTTCTGTTTTCGCCATCTGCTTCTCTGGCCCTGGAACTCAACAAAAAAGCTCCTGTTTTGTAGCAGGTTTCCTATGAGGCGGGTGAAGGGGGCAGAGTAGCATTGACTTCCCTGTGAGAAAGAGAACATGCAGGAGATGTCTCCCTGAATTTGAGGCTTAACTCTGTTGTTGCGGAGTTAGTATCTGCTATGCACCATGTCACAGATGTGCCTGATGCCTCTCCTGCATATCTTCAAGAATGGGGAACTGAGTGGTCTTCCCAGCACTCAGTGTACTACAGTCCAGCGTTCTTTGCCTCCCTTTTCCTCCCCAGACCCTTCCAGAATGTGACAGAGTACATTGGTCAGGATGCCTGCGGGGCCAACAGCTGGAATGTGGTAGATGTGGATCTTCCTTTGAACAATGACCAGGAACCTGGGGTGATTCTTCAGAACCTCAAGCCATGGACCCAATACGCCATCTTTGTGCGGGCCATCACTCTCACCACCGCTGAAGAGGGGAGGAACTATGGGGCCCAGAGCAAGGTGGTCTACATACGCACCATGCCTGCAGGTAATGGGGAGGGAGGGAGCAATGGGTGCCATCTGCCTTGGACTGCAACTCCCCACTTCCCATTCTAGTCAGTTTAAAGAGATTTGGCCCTGGTGGGAATAGTGAGCCCAATTTCACTCTGGAGACAGGAATAAACCAAGACCCCCAGGAAGAAGGGGAAGGGTCCTATTGATGTGAGGAAGGACATTTGCATGATGAGAACTGATGCAATGATGGTAGCACTTGCTCTGTATATTAGATGAAGATCTCACTGGAATAAAAGTGAAAAGCCATAATAATAATAATAATAATAATAATAATAATAATAATAATAATAGGATTTAAAGATCGAACTGCAAAGACTCTGGCACAAGCCAGTCAAGGTGGTACCAGTGGTGATCAGCACACTGGGTGCAGTGCCTAAAGACCTTGGCCTGCACTTAAACACAATTTGCACTGTCAGGTGCAAAAGGCCACCCTACTGGGATCTGCATGCATTATTCGCCGATACATCACACAGTCCTAGACACTTGGGAAGTGTCTTACGTGTGATCCAATACAACAGCCAGCAGAGTGATCTTGTCTGCTGCGGACTCATCTTGTGTTTCTAATAATAATAATAATAATAATAATAATAATAATAATAATAATAATAATTGTATTCCACCCTATCTCCCTGAGGGCACTCAGGGCAGATTCCAGCATACACAACACAAAGGCAAACATGGAATCATAGAATCCTAGAGTTGGAAGAGACCTCATGGAGTTGGAAGAGACCTCATGGGCCATCCAGTCCAACCCTGCCAAGAAGCAGGAATATTGCATTCAAATCACCCCTGACAGATGGCCATCCAGCCTCTGTTTAAAAGCTTCCAAAGAAGGAGCCTCCACCACACTCCAGGGCAGAGAGTTCCACTGCTGAACGGCTCTCACAGTCAGGAAGTTCTTCCTCATGTTCAGATGGAATCTCCTCTCTTGTAGTTTGAAGCCATTGTTCCGCGTCCTAGTCTCCAGGGAAGCAGAAAACAAGCTTGCTCCCTCCTCCTGTGGCTTCCTCTCACATATTTATACATGGCTATCATATCTCCTCTCAGCCTTCTCTTCTTCAGGCTAAACATGCCCAGCTCCTTAAGCCGCTCCTCATAGGGCTTGTTCTCCAGACCCTTGATCATTTGAGTCGCTTCCTCTGGACACATTCCAGCTTGTCAATATCTCTCTTGAATTGTGGTGCCCAGAATTGGACACAATATTCCAGGTGTGGTCTAACCAAAGCAGAATAGAGTGATGCAATGATGGTAGTCCTTGCTTTGTATATTAGATAAAGATCTCACTGGAATAAAAATGAAAAGCCATAATAATAATAACAACAACAACAACAACGATATGAGGATTTAAAGATCGAACTGCAAAGACTCTGACACAAGCCAGTCAAGGTGTTCCCAGTGGTGATGGGCACACTGGGTGCAGTGCCTAAAGACCTTGGCCTGCACTTAAACACAATTGGCACTGTCAGGATCTGCATGCATTATTTGCTGATACATCACAAAGTCCTAGACACTTGGGAAGCATCTTACGTGTGATCCAATACAACAGCCAGCAGAGTGATCTTGTCTGCTGCGGACTCATCTTATGTTTCTAATAATAATAATAATAATAATAATAATAATAATAATAATAATAATAATAATGTTGTATTCTGCCCTATCTCCCCGAGGGCACTGAGGGCAGATTCCAGCATACACAACACAAAGGCAAACATTTAATAACCAAACACAGATAAAGGTAAAGGCTTCCCCTTCCGGCTCTGAAGAGTGGTGCTCATCTTCATTTCAAAGCTGAAGAGCCTGCGTTGTCTGTAGACACCTCCTAGGTCATGTGGCCAGTATGACTGCATGGAGCACCGTTTACCTTCCCGCCAAAGCAATACTAATGGATCTACTCACATTTGCATGTTTTCAAACTGTTTGGTTGGCAGAAGCTGGGGCTAACAGCAGGAGCTCACCCCGTCTAGCGGGTTCAAACTGCCGACATTCAGCACCTCAGCGGTTTAACCTGTTGTGCCACTGCGACCCCAACATTACAAAATAAAGTTATTTGCTGATGATATTATCCTAGTGTAGAAAACCATTGGCTCTGTTGACGGACCTGATAGTATTTGAAGCCCCAAAGGACCTGTGTTGGTTGCTTTCTGACCTCCCTCTCTGCACTTTCCCTCCTCTCTCTCTCTTTCTGTGCCCCAATTTTGATCTCCTAGCTCCAACCGTACCACGGGATGTTATCTCCATGTCTAACTCTTCGTCACATCTGATTGTGCGGTGGAAGCCACCCACGCAGCCCAATGGCAACCTCACCTACTATCTGGTCTTGTGGCAGCAGTTGGCAGAAGACTCGGAGCTATTTGTCAATGACTATTGCCACAAAGGTAAGATGATGGGGTACCTTGGGTCTTGAGATGGCTTCTCGGGAAATAGCAACCTTCTACAAGCCTCCTATAATAGTTATTTGTTATGTATATTATTGTGATTGTGTAATATATTGTATGTATATTTTGATATGCTGTTTTCCCTTAACTCTATGTTGTTTGAGGTTGTGGGAGGGACCGGATCTGGGATTATTCATACGGAGACTCCATTTTTAGTTTTGTGACCACATCTGGGACTATTCAGACTGAGACTCCATTTTTAGTTTTGTGACCAGATCTGGGACTATTCAGACTGAGACTCCATTTTTAGTTTTGTGACTGGTTCTGGGATTATTCATACTGAGACTCCATTTTTAGTTTTGTGACCGGATCTGGGATTATTCATACTGAGACTCCATTTTTAGTTTTGTGACCGGATCTGGGACTATTCAGACTGAGACTCCATTTTTAGTTTTGTGACCGCATCTGGGACTATTCAGACTGAGACTCCATTTTTAGTTTTGTGACCAAATCTGGGACTATTCAGGCTGAGACTCCATTTTTAGTTTTGTATATACACACGCACACACACACACAGCGTCTCTACTTCGTGGATTTTCACTTTTCGCAAGTGGTCCTGGAATGTAACATCCGTGATAAATGAGGGGACACTGTAGTGTGAATGCCAGTTAATCTCCAAAAGGGTCACACTTCCAAAAGGATATGGAGATTCCTGGTTTTTCCTAAAGGTTATGGTTATCAAGTCAATTTGCTGGCCAACTTGCTTCTTATCATCCAATTAACTGACTTCAGACAGTTATTTCTGCTTCAACAAGCGGCTCTTATCTTTAGTTACATTTCATTCATTGCCATAATACTTACACATTAGCATGCCCACGATGCAAGAGAGGAGAAGAGACAGAACAATGGTGTCTTCTATATTTATACCCCACTTTATTTATTTGTCGTGTCAGGGCAACCAGTCAATTGTATTACATTTCTAACAGAACAAAACAAACAAACAAACAAACAAAACAAAGTTTGCAAGCTTGGTAATTGATTAAATGTCCTTTGACCAGTATCTGGCCACTTGGAGTGCCTCTGGTGTTGCCGCAAGAAGGTCCTCCATTGCGCATGTGGCAGGGCTCAGGTTGCATTGCAGCAGGTGGTCAGTGGTTTGCTCCTCTCCCCACTCGCATGTCGAGGATTCCACTTTGTGGCCCCATTTCTTAAGGTTGGCTCTGCATCTCGTGGTGCCAGAACGCAGTCTGTTCAGCGCCTTCCAAGTCGCCCAGTCTTCTGTGTGTCCAGGGGGGAGTCTCTCATTTTGTAGCAGTCATTGGTTGAGGTTCTGGGTTTGAGTCTGCCACTTCTGGACTCTCGCTTGCTGAGGTGTTCCAGCGAGTGTCTCTGTAGATCTTAGGAAACTATTTCTTGATTTAAGTCGTTGACGTCCTGGCTGATACCCAAACAAGGGATGAGCTGGAAATGTCTCTGCCTTGGTCCTTTCACTATTGGCTGCTACTTCCCGGAGGATGTCAGGTGGTGCAATACCGGCTAAACGGTGTAATTTCTCCAGTGGTGTAGGGCGCAGACACCCTGTGATAATGTGGCATGTCTCATTCAGAGCCACATCCACTGTTTTAGCGTGGTGAGATGTGTTCCACACTGGGCATGCATACTCAGCAGCAGAGTAGCATAGTGCAAGGGCAGATGTCTTCACTGTGTCTGGTTGTGATCCCCAGGTTGTGCTAGTCAGCTTTCGAATGATATAGTTTCTAGCGCCCACTTTTTGCTTGATGTTCAGGCAGTGCTTCTTGTAGGTCAGAGCAAGATCCACAGTGACTCCCAGATATTTGGTTGTGCTGCAATGCTCCCGTGGGATTCCTTCCCAGGTGATCCTCAGAACTCGGGATGCTTGTCTGTTCTTGAGATAAAAAGCATATATCTGTGTTTTAGATGGGTTGGTGATCAGCTGGTTTTCCCTTTAATGGGCAGTAAGAGCACCTAGAGCTTCGGAGAGATTCTGTTCCACCATCTCAAAACTCCCTGCTTGAGCAGTAATGGCACGATCATCAGCATAGATGAAACTCTCTGTCCCTCTGGCAGTGGCTGGTCATTTGTATAGATGTTGAACATGGATGGAGCAAGCACGCTCCCCTGAGGCAGGCTGTTCTTCTGTTTCCGCCATCTGCTTCTCTGGCCCTGGAACTCAACAAAGAAGCTCCTGTTTTGTAGCAGGTTTCCTATGAGGCAGGTGAGGTGGTAGTCCTTTGTGATATTATACATTTTTCTCAGGAGGAGGCGGTGGTTCACAGTATCATAGGCTGCTGACAGGTCTATGAAGACAGCTCCTGTGATCTGCTGCCTTTCAAAGCCATCTTCTATTTGCTGAGTCAGGTTCAACACTTGCGATGTGCAGCTTGTGCCTTTCCTGAAGCCAGCTTGCTGTGGGATCAGATATGGGTCTATTTTTCCGTAATTCTATGCAAAACAAGTCTCTCCAGAACTTTGTGGAGGTGGCACAACAGGGAGACTGGTCGGTAGCTTTTTGGGTCATTACGGTCTTTGCCTGGCTTCAAGATGGCAATGACTCTTTCTTTCCTCCAGATTTTGGGGATCTGACAGGATGCAGTGCAGTTGTTCATCAGCTCCAGCAGCCAGCACCTTGCTTTTGGACCAAAGTTCTATACCCCACTGTTATCAGCTCATTAATTCAGCGTCCAGCCTCCTAGTCTATTGCAACATCTTCCTTGCCTGTTCTACGCATGCTTCATAATGTTCCAAAGATTAACTCTCTCACAGTACAATATATATTGACATTACATTGATAATGGTCTCCAAAAGGTCATGCATTTCCAAAACAGCAGAGTGTCTGGCCTGATGACCCACCCTTCCATCCTCTCCCTCTCCAACTCTCTCTCTCTGCTTCCTCTTCCTTCTGATGCCAAGGTCTCAGGCTGCCCACCAGCAGTGCAGACACCCGCTTTGACATGGACAATGGCGAAGGCCGCGAGGATGTGGAAGATGAGCAGTGCTGCCCGTGTCACAGCCCCGTCGGGCAGGCCCAGCTGGGAGGCGAAATCGTCTCTTTCCAGAAGAAGTTTGAAAACTTTCTCCGCAACTCCATCATCATTCCCAGGTGATGCTACTGCTCTTCAGGGTGGGATCTGGAGTCCTTTCACCCCCACAGGATTGTGCTGTGCCCTTGGAATCTATTGAGCATTGAGTGCTTCTGACCCAAGCACCACCATCTCCCTCTGGGCATGGCTTCGGATTCCTTACACTGTTGCAAGCATGATAAGAGAGATAATATCAAGAGAGATCCTTTCTGGAGAAAGAAAAGTATAGCTTTATTTCCAGCTGGGACTCTGGTGAGGAATTGTGTCCAGAAGCAAACCAGAGTGCGAGATAAAGGCGTTGACTGCCTTTTATACACTTCAAATGCAGGCAAACAAAGAAACATGCTTCTACATATCAGGGCTGGGCGGTTTCGTTCGTTAATTTCGTAATTCGTTATTAATTCGTTATTTTTTTAATAACGAAGCGATATTGAACTATTCAGGAGCAACTTAAAATCGAAACGAATTTTTAAAATTTATTTCGTAATTGTTTCGTAATTGTTTCAAAATTGTTTCGTTATTATTTCGTTATTATTTCCGTATGTCTGGTGCAAGTTTTATGGTTGTTGTTTGTTTTATCAGTGATAAAAAATAAATTATCACACCAACAGTCAACAACAGAGGGAGAGGGAAGCTTCAGAAGTTCCCCCTGTCCCATTTGGAGGTTTTTTTAGCGTATTGCGCAATCGCGTCCGCCATTAACGAATCGATTCGTTATTGTTTTGAAACTGTTTCGTAATTTCCGAAATTTCGTAAATATCGAACGTTTTTAAAGAAAAATTTCGGAATTCTTTTAAAAAACGAAACACAAAAACCCCCTAAAAACGAATCAAGTTTAGAAACAAATTTTTCCGTGGTTGCCCAGCCCTACTACATATATTAACATCATTCACTACGTCACTTTAGCATCATAGAAATATCAAATTCTATCTTCCAACATGCGAAAGGCATGTCTCCATATTTCTTTCTAAAGAGCAGCATACAGCTTACATTCATCAATCAAGGGGCCTACTTTGACTTGTCAGGAGGGAGAGAGAGATAGGCTCCTGACTTAGAAGTTAGAGGCTTTATTGTACCAGTCTCTGTATAGATAACATGCCACCTTCTCCTCCCCCATTTAACATTCCTTCTCTGTCCTGCTGGCTTTCTTACACAGAGACAACCTGATTTCTCTATACATTTCAGTTCTTGTAAAGTACATACAACATATGCATAAATAAATATCTATTTTTCCAATATCTCCCCATCAACATCTGTAAGAAGAAGCAGAAAAAAGTGAAAATATCTATAAAGAGCAGATAGAGCCATGCCACACTGGAGTTTTCTCTTGCGGCCTTTTGTTTGGCCACCAACCAAACTCCAAGAGAGATCAAGATCTTGAAACAGTCAGGAAAAACAGTTTAAATTTATTGTTTTCATTGTATCAACTGAATAATACAAACACTACATGCCTGGGCTGTATTACCATATTCCAGAAGCATTCTCTCCTGACGTTTCACCCACATCTATGGCAGGCATCCTCAGAGGTTGTGAGGTCTGTAGGAAACTAGGCAAGTGGGGTTTATAGATCTGTGGAATATCTGGGCTGTATGATCATCTTCCAGAAGCATTCTCTCCTGACGTTTCACCCACATCTATGGCAGGCATCCTCAGAGGTTGTGAGGCCTGTAGGCAACTAGGAAAATGGAGTTTATACATTTGTGGAATAATGTCCAGGGTTGTCTGTAAATAAAGAGCAACACTCAGAAACAGGGGAATTCCAGACAAGAAACAATCAGGGCCAGCTAATCAACTCCCGACAAAGGATTCTCCCGGGCAGGAAGCAGCCAGGCTTTGAAGCTGAAAGGCCATTCAGTGCTAATCAAGGTGGCCAATTGCAAAATTCACAGACAAGAGTTTTATATTTATATTATAATGTAATGCAATATAATACTACTACTAATAATATGATATTATAATTATATATTTATATTACATGTAATATTAGAGGTTGTGTGGTCTGTTGGAAACTAGGCAAGTGGGGTTTATATATCTGTGGAGTAATGTCCAGGGCGGGAGAAAGAACTCTTGTCTGTAAATAAACAGCAACACTCAGAAACGGGAATTCCAGACAAGAAACAATCAGGGCCAGCTAATCAACTCCCGACAAAGCATTCTCCCGGGCAGGAAGCAGCCTGGCTTTGAAGCTGAAAAGTCATTCAGTGCTAATCAAGGTGGCGAATTGCAACATTCACAGACAAAGAGTTCTATATTTATATTATCATGTAATGCAATAAAATACTATTTTATATTATAATGTAATGCAATATAATACTAATAATAATATGATATTATAATTATATATTTAAATTACATGTAATATTAGAGGTTGTGTGGTCTGTTGGAAACTAGGCAAGTGGGGTTTATAATGTCCAGGGTGGGAGAAGGAACTATATTAATATAATATAATATAATATAATATATTGTATATATATATATATATAATATTTATAATATTATAATGTAATAAAATATAATACCAATAATAATATGATACTATAATTTTTATATTGCATGCAATATTACTAATAATATTACAATATAATGGTATAGTACAATATCGTATTATTTAATACTGATATTGTACTATGCTAATAATATAATATATTGTGTGTGTGTGTATATCTTGTAAGCCACTCTGAGTCCCCTTTTGGGGTGAGAAGGGCGGCATATAAATGTCGTAAAATTAATTAAATAAATAAGAGTTCTTTCTCCCACTCTGGACATTATTCCATGGATATATAAACCCCGCTTGACTAATTTCCAACAGACCTCACAACCTCTGCGGATGTCTGCCATAGATGCAGGTTTTGTTTGTTTTTTTGGCGTGTCAGGAGCGACTTGAGAAACTGCAAGTCGCTTCTGGTGTGAGAGAATTGGCCGTCTGCAAGGACATTGCCCAGGGGATGCTCAGATGTTTTGATATTTTTACCATCCTTGTAGAAGGTTTCTCTCATGTCTCCGCATGAGGAGCTGGAGCTAATAGAGGGAGCTCATCCACACTCTCCCCGGATTCGAACCTGCGACCTGTCGGTCTTCAGTCCTGTTGGCACAGGGGTTTAACCCACTGCACCACCGGGGGTGCAAGATCATCATCATCATCATCATCATCATCATCATCATCATATTTAATTACTTATTAATCGCCCTCCATCCGAGAATGCTCTAGGCGATTTACAGCTAAATTGTAAAAGAAAAAAATACATACATACAAAAATTAAAAATTAACAGGGATTGAATGCTCGAGTAAAAAGCCAGGTCTTAAGTGCGAGAGTAAAAGGCCCTAAGTCACGCATGGCCCTCATGTAGGGCGGCAAGGAATTCCATAAGGCAGGGGCAGAAATAGAGAAAACCCTGCACTTTCCAAGTGCACTTCTCTAGGACCCGGTATATAGAGTTGGGCTGGTCGTTGTGACCTCCGATGATGCAGGTGAAATGTCAGGAGAGAATGCTTCTGGAACATAGCCATACAGCCCGGAAACCTCACAGCAACTAACCCAGTGATTCCGGCCATGACCACTACATGCCTGGTTGCTCTGGCTCTCCGATGCATTGTTTGCTGGATGTAGTTTCTTCTCTAAGCACAAGACGGCAATTTCCAAATAGGATCAGCGGCAGTCTCCAACCGAAAAAGAAGAAATAGGAGAGAGTTTTGTGGTCTTATTTCGGTTGGAGGTGGCTTTTTGCAGGCAATGGGAAGCTACAGAGAAAGGGTGACCATTCCTCATGAGACCAACCTCTCACCTCCTTGTCTGTCTTCTTCCAGGCCTCCGTGGAAAGTTACATCCATTAACAAGGTCTCTCACAGGTAAGTTGCAGGATGGGGCTCCTCAGAAACCTTTTGCTGTGTAACCATGAGGACCAAGGAGTAGCCTTAAAAACATGTGTGTGTGTGTATACATTTAAGGCAGTGGTTCCCAACCGTTTTTTGACCAGGGACCAGTTTGACCAGGGTCCACTCTCCAACATTAGTACCAAAAGGGTTACGAATCAGTGTTTGGTCAACTTTAGATTCGGTTTGGTTATTTGGGGTGCTGATTCATTTCATTGCATTGGATAGACCGAATCAGCTCTAGTTTCTGATACAGAAACATATGCCATCCAGTAGTCTCCATCATTCCATCTACAGAAAACCGTATTTAACAAGCCTTGGCACTTTAAGAGGGTTTCGTGAGACCTGTCACTCTCATTGCAATGGTGTAGGCTGCGAACCATATTTTAGTTCTTGTGGACCACTGGTTGGGAACCACAGATTTAAGAGATACTGTGTTGGTCGTACCGTAAGACTGTGGTGCTGCTGACTGTGGTGTTGCAACCCGAAAGACAGTTGCATCTGCCAAGTAGGAAAATTAGGTACCACCTATGGGTGGGGAGGCTAATTTAACTAATTTACGAGGCCATAAAAAGACTCCAGCAAAAAGCATGCGGGGAATGCCAAAGTACTTCATAAATGTGCAGATGGACGATGAAAGCGACATCTCCCCGGGCAGCCAGAAAAGTTAAATAGCCTCTGACTGTCTGTCTATGTCGTGTGTCTTTGGCATTGAATGTTTGCCGTATATGTGTACATCATAATCCGCCCTGAGTCCACTGCGGGGTGAGAAGGGTGGAATATAAATACTGTAAATAAATAAATAATAAATCCTGATGGAAAGGTCATGAGTTCGAAGCCAGCCTAGGTCGGAGTGAGCTTCCTACCAAATTGTGTAGCTTGCTGTTGACCTTTGCAGCCTGAAAGACAGTTGCATCTGTTAAGTAGGAAATTTAAGTACCACTTATGCAGGGAGGCTAATTTACGATGCCATAAAAATCTCCAGCAAGCATGCAAAGAATGAGGAAGTACTTAATCAGTGTCACAAATGGACGGTGAAGCGACAGCTCCCCTGGTGGCCAAAATACCCTCATGAAAAAGCTGGAATGTTAAATAGCCTTTGTGTGTCTGTGTATATATATTGTGTGTCTATGGCGTTGAATGTTTGCCATGTTTATGTGCATTGTAATCCTCCCTGAGTCCCCTGCAGGGTGAGAAGGGTGGAATATAAATACGGTAAATCAATAAATCAATCATAAATAAGACCCAATACAATCAAATTCATCCTACGAGGTATGTTGGCCATTTTACTGGGCTAGGCAAAGGATATGGAATGCATCTTGCTAGCTTTGGAAGTTTTAAAGACTTGCCCTCTTCCTCTCTCCCTGCTTATGACAGGATCCCCAAAAGGCGCAGAGATGCTGCATCTGCCCCGGCGGCTGGCCATCTCTTTGCCAACCCTTCCTCTCCAGAGGTCTCGCGCAAGACAGCTGCCCCCAATGCCACAGAGACCGACCCCCAGGGCCAGAAGGACTTCCGCATCTCTGAGGACAAAGTGGTGAGGGAGCGGACAGCCATTGCCAACCTCCGCCATTTTACTGAGTATCGCATTGACATCCACGCCTGCAACCACGCTGCCCAGACTGTCGGCTGCAGTGCTGCCACCTTTGTCTTTGCCAGGACCATGCCGGAACGTGAGTGCCTGGAGGGATCCTTCCTCTTCCTTCCCTTCAACTTCCTCTTCCCCTTTCTTCCTTCTTTGCCTGCCTGCCTACCTGCCTTTCCCTTTTTCCTTACTTCCTTCCTTCCTTCCTGCCTTCCTTCCTTCCTTCCTTCCTTCCTGCCTGCCTTCCCTTCCCTTCCCTTCCCTTCCCTTCCCCTTCCCCTTCCCCTTCCTTCCTTCCTTGTCTGCCTGCCTGCCTTCCTTTCCCTCCTTCCCTCCCTCCCTCCCTCCCTCTTGCCTGCCTGCCTGCCTGCCTTTCCCTTTTTCCTTCCCTCCCTCCCTCCTTCTCTCCTCCTTCTTTCCTCTCTCTCTTCCTCTCCTTCCTCTCCTCTCCTTCCTTTCCCTCCTTCCTTCCTCCTTCCTTCCTTCCTCCTCCTTTCTTCCTTCCTCCTTCCTTTCTTCCTCCTCCTTCTTTTCTCCTTCCTTCTTTCTTTTCTTTCCTCCTCTCCCTTCCTTCCTTCCCTCCTCCCTCCTTCCTTCTTCCTCTTCCTTCTTTCTCCTTCCTTCCTTCCTCTCTTCTTCTTCCTTCTTCCTTTCTTTTCTTTTCCTTCCTTCCTTCCCTCCCTCTCCTTCCTTCCTTCCCTTCTTCTTTCTTCCTTATTTCCTTCTTCTTTCCTTCCTTCCTCCCCTCCTTCCTTTCCTTCCTCCTCTTTCTCTTTTTTCTTTCCTTCCTTCCTTCCTTCCTCCTTCCTTCCTTCCTTTTTTGCTTCCTTCCTTCCCTCCTTCCTTCTTGCCTGCCTGCCTTCCTTCTTTCCTCTCATTTCCTTCCTTTTCCTTCCTTCCTTCCTCCTTCCTTCCCTTTTTCCTTCCTTCCTTTCTTACCTGCCTTCCTTCTTTCGTCTCCTCTCCTCTCCTCTCCTCGCCTTTCCCCTTGCTTCCTTGCTTCCTTGCTTCCTTGCTTCCTTGCTTCCTTGCTTCCTTGCTTCCTTCCTTCCTTCCTTCCTTCCTTCCTTCCTTCCTTCCTTCCTTCCCTTTCTCCTTCCTTCTTTCCTTCCTTTTTTTCTTCCTTCTTTCCTTCCTTCTTCTCTCTTTCTTCTTTTTTCTCCTTTTCCTTTCCTTTCCTTTCCCTTCCTTCCTCCCCTTCTTCCCTTTTTCTCCCTCCCTCCCTCCCTCCCTCCTCCTTCCTTTCCTTTCCTTTCCTTCCTTTCCTTTACATTCCTTATTAATACCTTTCTCTCCTGCTCTTATCTCAATCATTTTCTTTACAGTTATAGCTTGGGAATACAATATTTCTCATTCATACCTAAATGGGAATTGTATTATTGTTTCTTTCATTCCCCTTCTTCCCTTCCTTCCTTCCTTCCTTCCTTCCTTCATTTCCTTCCCTTCCTTCCTTCCTTCCTTCCTTCCTTCCTTCCTTCCTCAAAGGGATCTAGGAATCTTAGTAGACCACAAGCTGGGAAGGTTGATCATGGCCTTGGTGATGCTGGCTTAGAGTGGTTTGCTGGCCAGAGGAGGGGTCTCTGAGCCATCCTTCACCCCCATCCCCATAGCTGCTTTTTTGGGCCTGCTAAAGATCTCCTTGCCTTTGGCTCCTTCTTTCAGCTCAAGCAGACAACATTCCTGGCAACATGACCTGGGAGCCGGCTGGCAAGAACAGTGTCCTCCTTCGCTGGCAGGAACCCCAAAACCCCAATGGGCTGGTCCTGAAGTACGAGATCAAATATAGTCGGGAGAGTGAGGTGAGGAAATGCTGGGAATGGGGGACGCCTGGCTCGAGAGCAGTACGTGTGAAAAAGATCTTGGAGTCCTCATGGACAACAAGTTAAACATGAGCCAACAATGTGATGTGGCGGCAAAAAAAGCCAATGGGATTGTGGCCTGCATCAATAGGAGCGTAGTGTCTAGATCTAAGGAAGTAATGCTACCCCTCTATTCTGCTTTGTTAGACCACACTGGAATATTGTGTCCAATTCTGGGCACCACAATTCAAGAGAGATATTGACAAGCTGGAATGTGTCCAGAGGAGGGCGACTAAAATGATCAAGGGTCTGGAGAACAAGCCCTATGAGGAGCGGCTTAAGGAGCTGGGCATGTTTAGCCTGAAGAAGAGAAGGCTGAGAGGGGATATGATAGCCATGTATAAATATGTGAGAGGAAGCCACAGGGAGGAGGGAGCAAGCTTGTTTTCTGCTTCCCTGGAGACTAGGACGCGGAACAATGGCTTCAAACCACAAGAGAGGAGATTCCATCTGAACATTAGGAAGAACTTCCTGACTGTGAGAGCCGTTCAGCAGTGGAACTCTCTGCCCCGGAGTGTGGTGGAGGCTCCTTCTTTGGAAGCTTTTAAGCAGAGGCTGGATGGCCATTTGTCAGGGGTGATTTGAATGCAATATTCCTGCTTCTTGGCAGGGGGTGGGACTGGATGGCCCAAGAGGTCTCTTCCAACTCTTTGATTCTATGATTCTATGATTCTATGAATGGAGTAGCAACAACAACAACAACAACACTTTATTTATATTCTTCCCTTTTCCCCGAGAAGACTGAGAGCAGATTACAGCATATAAACAGACTTTCAGTGCCTTGCTACAGTGAAATACAATGAGAAACCCAAACACAGACTAAGGCAAAGGCTTCTCCTTTCATTTCCGGCTCTGGGGGAGGAGCTCATTTTCATTTCCAAGCTGAGGAGCTCCATGTAATCATATGTGTAGCCAGCATATGATTACATGGAGTGTCTTTTTGCCTTTCCAGTTGAGGCAGAACCTATTGATCTACTCATATTTGCATGTTTTCAAACTGCTAGGTTGGCAGGAACTAGGGCTAACAGTGGGAGCTCATCCTGACCCGCGGATTTCACTAACCTTCACTAGGCACTCTTCCTCTCCCCTCACAATTGTTTGCAGCCACCCTCCAGTTGAAGTTGGTGCCTTCAAAGAGGGTTCCTCATGCCCATTTCATACCCGCTTGGTGCCCTCTTCCTCTCTTGCAGAAGGTCGTGTCCGTTGTGTGTGTCTCCCGCCTCCGCTATGCCCGGTATGGGGGCTATCACCTCGTCCTCCTCCAGCCAGGAAATTACTCCGCTAAGGTGCGCGCCACATCGCTGGCAGGGAATGGGTCATGGACAGGACTCATCAAGTTTTACATCCTTGGGCCAGGTAGGTGCATTCTTTTTCCAAAGCCCAGCAGTATTATCTGACTGGGTGATTATTCCCCACCTCCCTCCCATCTTTCACTAGGACTGTGGTGCAGCCGACTGGGAGTTGGCTGCATTAGATCACTACTGACCAAAATGTCATGAGTTCAAAGCCAGCCCAGGTAAGAGTGAGCTTCTGACCATTGTGTAGTTTGCTGTTGACCTTTACAGTCTGAAAGACAGTTGCATCTATTAAGTAGGAAATTTGGGGTTAATTTAGGGAAGCTAATTTTATTAATTTACGACATCATAAAAATCTCCAGCAAGCATGCAAAGAATGAGGAAGTACTCAATCAGTGTCACAAATGGACGGTGAAGCGACAGCTCCCCTGGTGGCCAGAATACCTTCATGAAGCTGGAATGTTAAATAGTGTTGTGGCTGAGCTAGTTTCTGACGATGAGGATGATGGGATTCAGATTCCTGTTGGGTTTCAGCTTCCTGGCTCTTTGTCTGTGCCTCACATTTCTGAGCCTGCTTCCGAGGCTCTCACAGATAGTGCAGTATCAACACAGCTGTTTTCACCAGAAAGGAATTTTAACGAAGGAACTAGTGGCCAGGTGCCTTCCCACGATGATACAGAAAGTATAGATAAGGATTTGGCCCGAGAAGCTCGCCTTGATCTCCAGGTCAAGCGCAGTTGGCAAGCAGATGGGAGGCTAGCCCGGTGCAAGGTCATCGTAATGCTTTTATGATGCTGAGAGCTTAATGTTTTGATGTTGGGAAGGTATTTAGGACTTCTGGAAACTCTGTGAAAGTGTCAGTTCAATGTAGCTTATTAGCCTGAAAGCTTCATGGAATAATCTTAGCCTGGAAAGCAGTACCCTTGGGATTTCTTGCATTGTGATTCTTGGGGCAAATGTTTCCTTGCTTGTACCTGGGACTCTGGTTTGAACTTTGCCAATAGGATTATGTCTCCTGCTTTTACCTGAAGATCTTTGGAACTGTATCCTGCATTTAACCTTAATCTTTGGAACTTTGCAATGCTTATTCTTGTATTTTGACTTGGATTTTTTCCTCAATAAACTGTAAAACTACAGCTCTTGTGTGGTGGTGTTTGGAAGCAAGGTGAAGCCTACTCTGAGTTGCAACAATGTGAATGTTGCAATATATGTTGTGTGTCTATGGCATTGAATGTTTGCCATGTATATGTACATTGTAATCTGCCCTGAGTCCCCTGCAGGGTGAGAAGGGCAGAATATAAATACTGTAAATAATTAATAATACATACATACATACATATTTATTGTCGAAGGCTTTCATGGCTGGAATCACCGGGTTGTTGAGGGTTTTTTCGGGCTATATGGCCATGTTCTAGAGGCATTCTCTCCTGACGTTTCGCCTGCATCTATGGCAAGCATCCTCAGAGGTAGTGAGGTCTGTTGGCATAGAGACCTCTGAGGAAGCTTGCCATAGATGCAGGCGAAACGTCAGGAGAAATGCCTCTAGAACATGGCCATATAGCCCGAAAAAAACCACAAGAACTGAAGAAAATCTTAGCCAGACTCTATTGAACAGTGGAATGATATTTATTCATTTATGACATTTATATGCTGCCCTTCTCACCCCAAAGCGGACTCAGAGCGGCTTACAAGTTATTTGTACATACCCTACATTATATCATTAGCATAGCACAGGGGTCCTCAAACTACGGCCCGGGGGCCGGATACGGTCCTCCAAGGTCATTTACCTGGCCCTCGCTCAGGGTCAACCTAAGTCTGAAACGACTTGAAAGCACACAACAACAACAACAATCTTATCTCATCAGCCAAAGCAGGCCCACACTTCCCATTGAAATAGCAATAAGTTTATGTTTGTTAAAATTCTTCCCCATATAATTATTTATTGATTGATTGATTGATTTACTTCATTTGTATACCGCTCTCTACCGTAGGCGACTCAGAGCGGTTTACAGCCAAGTCAGTAAACAAAGTGCACAACATTAGCATTTAAAACAGTAACCAAGGCAACTACATCAATATAACAATACACCAATACATCAATATAACATCAATACATCCATATAACTAATCCATCACGTCTCATCAGCACGTCTCATAATTATTGTATTGTTTTTAAGTGTTTTTTGCATGACAAATAAGATATGTACACTGTGCATAGGAATTCAATCATTTTTTTCCAAATTATAATCCAGCCCTCCAATAGTTTGAGGACTGTGACCTGGCCCTCTGTTTAAAAAGTTTGAGGACCCCTGGCATAGCACAATATTAGTATTATATATTACTATATTGTACTCTACCACTACACTGTAATATTATTAGTGATATTACATGTAATATAAAATATATAATTATTATATTGTATTATTATTAGTATTACATTATAATAGTATTTTCAATATTATATGTGTATACAATATATTATATTATTATCACAGCACAATATTAATATTATGAATTACTATATTGTTGTTGGGGGAAAATACAACACTGCCAGATCTCTGCGAGTGCAGTATTTTTCCAAATAAAGCACAGAGTGCTTGAGGACTGGGACATCCGTAGGGATACCAAGGTGCTTCTTTATAAAGCTGTTGTCCTCCCAACCCTGCTATACGCCTGCAAGACGTGGACTATCTACAGACGTCACATGCAACTCCTGGAATGATTCCATCAGCCTTACCTCTGAAAAATTCTGCAAATCTCTTGGGAAGACAAGCAGACAAATGTCAGTGTGTTGGAAGAAGCAGAGACAACCAGTATTGAAGCAATGCTCCTCCGCCATCAACTCCTCTGGACTGGCCACGTTGTGCGGATGCCCGACCACCGTCTTCCAAAGCAGTTGCTCTTTTCCGAACTCAAGAACGGAAAACGGAATATTGGTGGGCAGCAAAAGAGATTGAAAGATGGGCTCAAAGCCAACCTTAAAAACTCTGGCATAGACACTGAGAACTGGGAAGCCCTGGCCTTGAGTGCTCCAGCTGGAAGTCAGTTGTGACCAGCAGTGCTGTAGAATTTGAAGAGGCACGAATAGAGGGTGAAAGAGAGAAACCTGCCAAGAGGAAGGCGCATCAATCCAACCCTGACTGGGACCTCCTTCCACTTGGAAACCAGTGCTGTTCTGGGACAGCCGCACCAGGGGCTCCAGCTTATCTTGCTATTTGTTGATTGCTGCATGTACTTTAAAGTTCTATGCCTTTGCAGTTAGATGGCTTTTCTTACTTTGCAGCTATTGGGTCAATTGCTTGTCAATTATTATTAGGTTCAGCTTTTTGGGCTTTGGAGGGAAGTGAGCCATTTTGTAAGTTAGTTTAAGCTAGGTTAACCAATGTGTAGGATGTGTACAAAGGCTTAAACCTTCAAGAATCTCCAGGGAAAGAATGCCAGGGAAGCATTCCCACAGCTTTAAGCAATCCAGAGGAGAACAGCTTTAAGAACTCCAGGAAAACAGCCTTAAAGACTAAAGAACTCCAGCTGGAGAACATCCACTGCCTTGCTGGTAGGTCCACTCGGCGTCCGAGAAGCAGTTCGGCCCGGTAGCGGAGCACGCATCAGCGAGGGATGGATTTTAGTCGGCCTGGGAGAAGTTAAAAAAGGGGGATTTTCCTTTAAAGAAAACGTTATTGAAGATAGTGCCTGTCCCCTGTGGACAAGATTGAGAGAACCAATACTTTATCAAGAAAGCCTTGCAGTTCCTGTTTGATTTCATTAATAAAGGACTTTGTTGTACTTCTCAAGCCATCTGAAGATTCTTTTGTAAAGGAAGCCCCTGAGAACTTCTCCTTGGGCCCCCTGGCTTCCCGCTGGGCAAAGGTTACACATCCTATTTTAAAGCCAACCAAATACAGGCCCAGCGGCGACAGAACAAGTGCCCTCACTGTGGGAGAAGATGCAGGTCAAGGATAGGGCTCCACAGTCACCTGTGGACCCACTGCCAGGACACTGATCTTGGAAGACTATCCTACTCAGACAATGAGAGATCATCTAAGTAAGTAAGCTGGAGGGAGGGACTCTCAAGCGATGACGTAGGAGACGTGGTGGAACTTTGTATTCCTGGCTCCCCTGCTTCACTCTGATAATTGCTCTTCGCTGATAATTATAATAAGTCTGATAATAAGTCTGATAATTGCTCCTCTCCTTCCACCCCACCTGCTCCCAAGGAGAAGAAGAGGAGACTGGGAATGTCTATGTGCTCCTGATACTGATGCCAGTTGTCTTGATGGTGGGGATTGCGTGCTTGGCCATCTTCGTCTTCTTGTACAACAAGAAAAGGTAAGCGGTTCCCCACCGCACACAGGTAGGCACTGGAAACAGGGCCATTTTGTGTTTCTAATGGGGAACCTGTCATTCTGGGCCCAATGGGTGCAGAGAGCCTCCTTGGAACATGACCAGGTCTATAAAGGAAAACAACTCAATGTCCCGACTGAGTGGTTGAACCCTTTGTCTTTCTGCCACTTCCTTCCCAGGAGCACTGAGGGGTACCCCAGCGGGACACTGTATGCCTCCGTCAACCCGGAGTATTTCAGCACTTCAAACAGTGAGTACAGCAATCCTTTCCAAACTCATATATGATATTGTAGTGGGGAAGGCAGAGGGCTGAATGAGAGGAAGAGTCTGGTGATAACAACATGGGGTCAAGTCCTGCAACATCTGCTGTGCTTGTGTCGGTGGGATTGGCACCAGAAAGCCTCTCAGAAAGCAAGCTTGTATTCTGCTGCCCTGGAGACTAGGACGCAGTACAATGGTCCAGCTTACTTGTCTGAACGTATCTCCTTCTACGTTCCACCTCATATTTTATTTATTTATTTTATTTACAGCTTTTATATTCTGCCCTTCTCACCCCGCAGGGGACTCAGGGCGGATTACAGTGTACACATATATGGCAAACATTCAATGCCAATTTTTGACATACAAACATATACAGACATACACAGAGGCTATTTAACTTTTTCTGGCCTCCAGGGGAGCTGTCGCTTTCATCGTCCATCTGTGACGCTGATGAAGTACTTCCGCATTCCCTGCATGCTTCCCCGTTGGAGTGCTTTGCTGGAGTCTTCTTTATGGCCTCATAAATTAGTTAATTTAGCCTCCCCACACTTTAAGGTGGTATCTAATTTTCCTACTTGACAGAGGCAACTGTCTTTCAGGTTGCAAAGGTCGACAACAGGCTACACAATTGGTTGGAAACCCACTCCAACCCGGGCTGGCTTCGAACTCATGACCTTTTGGTCAGAGTGATCTTAATGCAGCTGACACTCAGCCAGCTGCACCACAATCCTGGCCACAATCATAGTTTAAGATCCACCGGGGAGGCCCTGCTCTTGGTCCCACCAGCCTCGCAAATGCATCTGGTGGGGACGAGGGACACACCAAACTGAACTCAACTACTTGGGCTTCCGCATCTCCACTAGGCAGCTAGCGATGGACCCTGCTAAAGTACAAGATGTATTAGCCTGGGAGCCTCCCCGGACCTGAAAGCAGCTTCAGGATTTTCTGGGGTTTGCTAACTTCTACCGGCAGTTCATCAAAGACTTTGCAAAAATTGCCGTCCCCCTAACCGAATTGTTAAAGACCAAGGGGAAGGGCGAGACCAAAAAGATCAAGTCTCCAGGGGCAAAGTTGATGTGGACCCCTGAGTGCCAAATGGCTTTCGAGGAGCTAAAAAATAGATTCACCAGCCAGCCCATTTTGATGCATACCCAAATGGATGAACTTTTTGTGGTCCATTGCGATGCTTCAGAAGCAGCATATAGGGCAGTGTCGTTACAAGCTGATGTAAATGGTCAGCTTACTTGTCCAAAAAGTTCTCAGAAACTGAGAAAAGGTGGCACGTACGGGAGAAGGAGTCATTTGCGGTCTGGGCAGCATTAGCACACTGGCACAATTTCCTGGAAGGCACCACGATCCCCTTTGAAGTGTGGACATACCCTACAAATTTACAGGCCCTACAAACACCACAAAGGTTAAATGCCAAACAGTTGCGGTGGGCTCAGTTCTTTAGCCATTTCAACTTCACCCTAAAGTTCTTCCCCGGTAAACAAAATCAATTAGCTGATGCCTTTTCACGCATGCCCGCATCGGACTATTTGGCCCGGGATAGGTCGGAACTGTTTTCTCCAGGCAACAGTTGGGGCTAGTAGTACAAACAAGAGCCAAACTCAGAGAAAAGCCTCCCTCCTCTGGCCAACTAACTGAACTGCTAGATGAATTGCGGGAGGCAGCCCAGGATGACGAATGGCTCAAAGCACATCAGATGAACTGGTACAGGAGAAGGGGGTTTGGACTTACGGTTCAAAATACTATGTACCTGCATGCATCCGGGATAAAGTGCTGGCACACAGCCATGATTCCAAGCTGACGGGTCACTTTGGATTTACAAAGACTCTAAAACTGATAGCCCACCAATTTTGGTGGCCCACACTGCGTAAAGATGTAAAAGATTACTCGCTACCCAGTGAGATTAGATTGGCATCCTCCCTCCTTTCCTTTAGGAAAGAACTGAAATCGTGTTTGTGGAACCAGGCCTTTAGCTAGCAGGCATAACGGCACTTTGGACATTGATCTGGACCATACGAAGGAAACAGCTATAGGATTGTAAAACTAATGTTTTTTAAAAATCTATTGTGTATTTATGGTTTTATATTGTTTTTACATTGTGATATTGTAGCATCGAATTGTTGCCAGTGTTAGCCGCTCTGATGCTCCCATCGGGGGTTGAGAAGGGTGGGGTAGAAATGTAAATAAATAAATAAACTACAGGAGATTCGGAAGGGAGACAGGGATCCCTTGGCACCTCTATCCTACCTTGGTCAGACCACACCTGGAATCACACCGTGTCCAATTCTGACACCGCAACTGAAGGGAGATTTTGACTCTAAGCTGGAAGGGCAACTAAAATGATCAAGGGTCTGGAGAACAAGCCCAAGGAGGAGAAGCTTCAAGAGCTGGGCATGTTTAGCCTTCAGCAGAGAAGGCTGAGAAGAGACACGATGAGGGCCATGTATATTTATTTATTTTATTTATTTACAGCTTTTATATTCCGCCCTTCTCACCCCGCAGGAGACTCAGGGAGGATTAAAGTGTACACATATATGGCAAACATTCAATGCCATTTTTGACATACAAACATATACAGACATACACAGAGGCTATTTAACTTTTTCTGGCTGCCAGGGGAGCTGTCGCTTTCATCGTCCATCTGCGACGCTGATGAAGCACTTCCGCATTCCCCGCATGCTTCCCCGCTGGAATGCTTTGCCAGAGTCTTCTTTATGGCCTCATAAATCAGTTAATTTAGCCTCCCCACACTTTAAGGTGGTACCTAATTTTCCTACTTGACAGATGCAACTGTCTTTCGGGTTGCAAAGGTCGACAACAGGCTACACAATTGGTTGGAAACCCACTCCAACCCTGGCTTCGAACTCATGACCTTTTGGTCAGAGTGATCTTAATGCAGCTGACGCTCAGCCAGCTGCGCCACAATCCCGGTGCACATTAGGAAGAATGAGAGTACAACGTAAATGTGCTTACTAGGGCTGGGCGGTTTCGTTTCATTAATTCGTAATTCGTTAATAATTCGTTAATTTTGTCAATTACAAAACGATAACAAACCATTCTGGAGCAATTATTAAAAAAAACGAATTTTCAAAAACGTTTTGTAAATGCTTCGTATTTCGATATTGTATTCGTTTCGTTATTGTTTTCATGTCTGGGCCAGTTTATGGTTTAATTAGTGAAAAAAAATTATAATATCACACCAACAGTCAACAACAGAGGGAGAGGGAAGCTTCAGAAGGTTTTGGAGGTTTTTTAGCGTATTTCGCGGTCGCGTCCGCCATTAACGAATCGATTCGCTATTGTTTCGGAAATCGATTCGTTAATTTTTTACCATTTACGAAATTTCGTAAATATCGAACTTTTTAAAAGGAAAATTTTGTAATTATTTTAAATATCGAAACAAAAAAAAAACCCCAAATACAAATCGATTTTAGAAACAAATTTTTCCGTTGTTACCCAGGCCTATGCTGTCCTGGAAACTAGGACGCAATTGAACAATGGCTTCAAATTACAGGAAAGGAGATTTCACCTGAACATGAGGAAGAACTTCCTGACTATGAGAGCTGCTCAGCAGTGGAACTCTCTGCCCCAGAGTGTGGTGCTTCTTCTATGGAGTCTTTTAAGCAGAGGCTGGATGGATGGCCATCTGTTGGGGGTGATTTGAATGTGATTAGCCTGCTTCCTGCCAGAATGTCATTGGGCTGGATGACCCATGAGGTCTCTTCCAACTCTATGATTCTATAGTTCTCCTGCTCTCCTTGATTGTTTTCCTCTGCCTGAACCTCTCCTTCCCTTCTTCTTTTTGGCCAGTGTACATCCCTGACGAGTGGGAAGTTCCCCGGGAGAAGATCACGGTGCTTCGGGAACTGGGCCAGGGCTCCTTTGGGATGGTCTACGAGGGGATTGCGAGGGACATCGAGGGAGAAGGCCAGGAAACCCGGGTGGCACTCAAGACGGTCAATGAGTTGGCCACCATGCGGGAGCGGATCGAGTTCCTGAAAGAGGCCTCCGTCATGAAAGCCTTCAGGTGCCACCATGTGGTGAGTGGGGAAGGACTGGAAACCTAGATTTGGATTGTCTTGGGCAGAACAGAGATGTAGGTTCAGAACCCCTACAAGGATAGTGTTTCTCAACCTTCCTAATGCCGCGACCCCTTAATACAGTTCCTCATGTTGTGGTGACCCCCAATCATAACATTATTTTTTTGCTACTTCATAACTGTAACTTTACTACTGTTATGAATCATCATGTAAATATCTAATATGTAGGATGTATTTTCATTCACTGGACAACATTTGGCACAAATACCTGATATGCCCAAGTTTGAATACTGGTGGGGTTGAGGGGAGGGATTGATTTTTTTCATTTGAGAGTTGCTGGGATTTATAGTTCACCTACAATCAAAGAGCATTCTGAACCTTAATACAGTTCCTCATGTTGTGGTGACCCCCAATCATAACATTATTTTTTTGCTACTTCATAACTGTAACTCACCTACAATCAAAGAGCATTCTGAATTCTACCAACCATGGAATTGAACCAAACTTGGCACACAGAACTCCCATGACCAACAGATATACAAGATGGAACTGTCCCCTGGCCCCCTCTCTCTTCACTCTGGCCCACAGCAGCAGTTGGAGCTGCGGGGAGGGGTCCTCTGGGCCAGAGTGAAGAGAGAGGGGGCCAGGGGACAGTTCCATCTTGTCTCCTGCATATGTCATCAGTTGGGGACCCCTCCAACCGATGACATATGAGGAGACAAGATGGAACTTTGACACCCCCCTGAAACCCTCTCATGACCCCCCCCCCAGGGGTCCCAACCCCCAGGTTGAGAAACGCTGTACAAGGAACAGTTGCTTTGTGTTGCAAAGTATTCTATGGCTTCCCCTCTTGGGGCTTCTTCATTCAGCTCCCTGAAGCCCTGACCACTCCAGATGATGGTTGTCAAAGGATTCTGGAAGCAGAAATCGATACATCTTGGAGGGCCGAGGGGACGCAGAACTACTGCAGGGAGACAGCCAACAAAGCCCCATATGGGACCCTTTGAGAGCCTTCTGCCTATGTTTCTGTTTGTGCTGGCCTCCAGGTCCGGCTCCTTGGTGTGGTTTCCCAGGGCCAGCCCGCCTTGGTCATCATGGAGCTGATGATGCGGGGGGACCTCAAGAGCTTTCTTCGTTCTCTCCGGCCAGAAGCCGAGGTGGGTGACTCTCTTGCCTCCTTCCAGTGGGCTATTCCTCCTCTTGCTCCAGTGCCAACCCCAGAGCCACCTGGGGTGAGGAACCTTCTGTAGAACCCCTTGAAGCAAAGCCAAAGGGAGCCAAGTTGGGTTGTCAAAGTTTGGGATACTTGAGTTGTGTTCCTTCTCTATCTGCTGTGATACCAACTGAAGTAAAAAAATACGAAACCCTAAAGAGGGATTGGCCTGAAACTCTTTTTCTTGTGTCCAACTCAGTTTGCCTCCTCTCCTTGAAGCTCTATCTCCTTACATTGGAGTCCTCCTGCATTTCCAGGTGCCCCATGGCTTCCCTTGAGCTGCACTTGCTTAAGATTCATGTCTATGTCTATGGAGGGAGGGAGTCTTCAAGCAGTGGGGTGAGAACTCAGACTGAGACCTTGGAGTCGCCTTGGTCCTGACACCTAGGACCTTCTTCCCTCCAGAAGATGGGTTGCTTCCCCTCTTGCGGAACTGGCCCAGGAGTTGCACAGTGATGTCCCACCTTAGGGTGGAGAAGGAAATTAGGGACTTCTTGGAGGCTTAAATCTGCCAACACCTTGGCCCAGTCATGATAGGAAGGCTCTCAGTGCAGAGAGACATAGTGGAGAACCAGAAGGTCCTCAGGTGTGTAGGTGAAGCAAGGGAGGGAAGGCTGCCTTTCCCTCTTGGTCCCTGTGCTTGAACCAAGCTTATCTCTCCTCCTTGCTAGAACAATCCCGGCTTGCCTCCCCCTTCACTGAAGGAGATGATCCAGATGGCTGGCGAGATTGCCGACGGCATGGCCTATCTGAATGCCAAGAAGTTTGTCCACAGGGACCTGGCGGCCCGCAACTGCATGGTCTCAGAGGACTTCACAGTCAAGATTGGAGGTGGGACATAGCAATGTGTGCATGGGGTGGCATTATCTTGACTCCAATCACTCCTCTTGTTTTATCACTTAGCCCAGCCCTGAAGCAGGAGACATATTTATTTATTTATTTATTTATTTATTTATTTATTTATTATTTAAACTTATATGCCGCCACTCCCCTGGGGCTTGGAGCGGCTTACAAGAATAGCTAAAATCTAACAATTTAAAAACAACACTATCAAACATTAAAAGCCTGTCGAAACAGGTATGTCTTACGTGCCCTGCGGAAAGCTGGTAAGTCTCGCAAGGCACGGACTTCAGGTGGCAGAGTATTCCAGAGTGATGGTGCCACTGCTGTGAAGGCTCTGTGTCTGGTTGCTGTTAGACACAAGGTCTTGACACTGGGGACTTCCAATAGATCTTGGTCCTCAGAACGGAGGGATCTCTGGGGTTGGTAGGGGGTGAGGCTGTCCCTCAGATACATCGGCCCCAGACCGTGCAAGGCCTTGAAGGTGAGTACCATCACTTTGAAAGTGATCCAGTGCTCAATTGGTAACCAATGCAGCTGTAGCAAGATTGGTGTTATGTGGCATCTCATCGGAATTCCCGCAAGAAGCCGAGCAGCTGCATTTTGTACCAACTTGAGCTTCCGGATCACTGACAGAGGAAGGCCAATGTAGAAGGCGTTACAGTAGTCCAGTCTTGAGATGACTGTGGCCTGGATCACCGTAGCTAGGTCGTCCCTGGACAGGGAGGGGGCCAGCCGTCTAGCCTGCCACAGATGGAAAAAGGCGGTTCTGCTCACGGCGGAGACCTGGGCCTCCATCGTCAGCAGAGGGTCCAAAAGGACTCCCAGACTCTTTACCAACGATGACGGGCGTAGCGCCTCGCCATCCAGGGTAGGCAGCTGGATGTCCCCACTGCCCGGTCGACCCAGCCATAGGATCTCTGTCTTTGCTGGATTCACCCTCAACCTGCTGGCACGCAGCCATCCAGTAATGGCCTCGAGGCACTGATGGAAACCATCGGGTACAGAGTCCGGTCGGCTTTCCATCTTCAGCACCAGCTGAGTGTCATCAGCGTACTGGTAACACTCAAGCCCAAAACCTTGAACCAGCTGAGCAAGTGGTCGCATATAGATGTTAAATAACAGATGAGGATGTTAAATATGTTAAATAACATATGTAGATGAGGAGTGGCTGCGGTCCCTATGCCATGGAATCTTTGCTCTGGTCAATGGGTCCTTCTGTCCCATTCCGTTAGCAAGTGCCAGGCTTGGGAAGTCTTTTCCCTAGACCAGTGTGTTGCCAGTGTGGTGACTCAGCTGGAGTGATAGTATCAATGATTTGGATGAGGATGATGGGATTCAGGTTCACAATCAGGTTCAAAATGTCCCTGTGGTAGACAATGAGGAACAGGGTGTGGAAGTTCAGTTTCCTACAGTGAGGAATGATGTTGTTGATACTGAAACTAGCCAGGTGCAAGTTGACTCCCCCTGAAGCCACAGGTCCGCAGTCTGGGAGTCCTCTTGGATTCATCGCTCACGCTTGAGGCTCAGGCGTCGGTGGTGTCCGGGAGGGCTTTTGCACAACTGAGACTCGTACGCCGGCTGCGACCGTACCTCGCGAAGGCTGATCTGGCCAGGGTGGTCCATGCCTTGGTCACCTCTAGATTGGATTACTGTAATGCGCTCTACGTGGGGCTGCCCTTGAAAACGGCTCAGAAATTCCAACTGGTCCAACGGGCAGCAGCCAGGATGTTAACTGGGGCTCCTTACAGAGAGAGGTCAACCCTCCTGTTCAAGGAGCTCCACTGGCTGCCGTTTATTTTCATGGGTCAGCTAGATGAAATACTACAGATTTGGTGGGAAAGAAACAGAACTAGCTTTTGATTCATCTTGGCAAGAAGGAATAATACAGCTGTTTTCAAAACAAGTTCCAATGAATCATCTGAGCAATGGTGTTGTGCCTCTGCTTGTAGTCTGTCTGCACGATCTTCTTGCAGCAGCTGAGGATGGGATCTATTGTTTCATCTGTTTCCTTGCAGAGTCTACATTTGGGATCTGTTGTTGACTTTTCAATTATTATTATTATTATATTATTATTCTCACTGGTTCCCCTCTGCATCTTCTTTGAAAGATTTTGGGATGACCAGGGACATCTACGAGACGGATTATTACCGCAAGTCGGGAAAAGGTTTGCTGCCCGTTCGCTGGATGTCCCCAGAAGCCCTGAAAGATGGCCTCTTCAACACTCACTCGGACATCTGGTAGGTGACAGGCGCATGACAGCGGAGAAGGGTGGTCCCAGACATGTTGCTAACCCTCACCATAGAGGAGGTGGTCTTCTTGGTGCCATGGGGCAGGAAAAGCATATGGAGGGAGTCGTTTGGAGACAGGGGGCTGGTCCCTTCTCCCTGAAAGTCATCTGACTTGAACCTGTTTCCCAACTGGTCAGCAGTAAGGGGTGTCTCTGAGCAGCCCCTCAGTGAGTGTGGTGTAGACTGTTGTGTTCATCCCTATGCCAACAAGCCACTTCATCACATTTACCAGATCCCACTGAGTGCTACACTTAAAATCCAGGAAGCCACTCTCCTCATCACATTAGTTTGGCTTCAAACGTAGGATAGAGCATTCTTTGCGTATTTTAACCATTTCATCACATTTACTAAATCCCACTGAATGCTACACTTAAAATCCAGGAAGCCATTCCGCTCATCACATTAGTTTGGGTCCAAGTGTAGGGTGGAGCATTCTTTGCGTATTTTAACCACTTCATCACATTTACTAAATCCCACCGAGTGCTACACTTAAAATCCAGAAGCCACTCTCCTCATCACATTAGTTTGGGTCCAAGTGTAGGGTGGAGCATTCTTTGCGTATTTTAACCACTTCATCACATTTACTAAATCCCACCGAGTGCTACACTTAAAATCCAGAAGCCACTCTCCTCATCACATTAGTTTGGCTTCAAGTGTAGGATAGAGCATTCTTTGCGTATTTTAACCACTTCATCACATTTACTAAATCCCACTGAGTGCTACACTTAAAATCCAGGAAGCCACTCTCCTCATCACATTAGTTTGGGTTCAAGTGTAGGATAGAGCATTCTTTGCGTATTTTAACCACTTCTTCACATTTACTAAATCCCACTGAGTGCAACTCCTAAAATCCGGGAAGCCACTCTCCTCATCACATTAGTTTGGGTTCAAGTGTAGGATAGAGCATTCTTTGCGTATTTTAACCACTTCTTCACATTTTCTAAATCCCACTGAGTGCTACTCTTAAAATCCAGGAAGCCACTCTCCTCATCACATTAGTTTGGGTTCAAGAGTAGGATAGAGCATTCTTTGCATATTTTAACCACTTCTTCACATTTACTAAATCCCACCGAGTGCTACACTTAAAATCCAGGAAGCCACTCTCCTCATCACATTAGTTTGGGTTCAAGAGTAGGATAGAGCATTCTTTGCATATTTTAACCACTTCTTCACATTTACTAAATCCCACTGAGTGCTACTCTTAAAATCCAGGAAGCCACTCTCCTCATCACATTAGTTTGGGTTCAAGTGTAGGATAGAGCATTCTTTGCGTATTTTAACCACTTCATCACATTTACTAAATCCCACTGAGTGCTACACTTAAAATCCAGGAAGCCACTCTCCTCATCACATTAGTTTGGGTTCAAGTGTAGGATAGAGCATTCTTTGCATATTTTAACCACTTCTTCACATTTACTAAATCCCACTGAGTGCTACTCTTAAAATCCAGGAAGCCACTCTCCTCATCACATTAGTTTGGGTTCAAGAGTAGGATAGAGCATTCTTTGCGTATTTTAACCACTTCTTCACATTTACTAAATCCCACCGAGTGCTACACTTAAAATCCAGGAAGCCACTCTCCTCATCACATTAGTTTGGGTTCAAGAGTAGGATAGAGCATTCTTTGCATATTTTAACCACTTCTTCACATTTACTAAATCCCACTGAGTGCTACTCTTAAAATCCAGGAAGCCACTCTCCTCATCACATTAGTTTGGGTTCAAGTGTAGGATAGAGCATTCTTTGCGTATTTTAACCACTTCTTCACATTTACTAAATCCCACCGAGTGCTACACTTAAAATCCAGAAGCCACTCTCCTCATCACATTAGTTTGGGTTCAAGAGTAGGACAGAGCATTCTTTGCATATTTTAACCACTTCTTCACATTTACTAAATCCCACCGAGTGCTACTCTTAAAATCCAGGAAGCCACTCTCCTCATCACATTAGTTTGGGTTCAAGAGTAGGATAGAGCATTCTTTGCGTATTTTAACCACTTCTTCACATTTACTAAATCCCACTGAGTGCTACTCTTAAAATCCAGGAAGCCACTCTCCTCATCACATTAGTTTGGGTTCAAGAGTAGGATAGAGCATTCTTTGCGTATTTTAACCACTTCTTCACATTCACTAAATCCCACTGTGTGCTACTCTTAAAATCCAGGAAGCCACTCTCCTCATCACATTAGTTTGGGTTAAAGTGTAGGATAGAGCATTCTTTGCATATTTTAACCACTTCTTCACATTTACTAAATCCCACTGAGTGCTACTCTTAAAATCCAGGAAGCCACTCTCCTCATCACATTAGTTTGGGTTCAAGAGTAGGATAGAGCATTCTTTGCGTATTTTAACCACTTCTTCACATTCACTAAATCCCACTGAGTGCTACACTTAAAATCCAGAAGCCACTCTCCTCATCACATTAGTTTGGGTTCAAGAGTAGGACAGAGCATTCTTTGCATATTTTAACCACTTCTTCACATTTACTAAATCCCACTGAGTGCTACTCTTAAAATCCAGGAAGCCACTCTCCTCATCACATTAGTTTGGGTTCAAGAGTAGGATAGAGCATTCTTTGCGTATTTTAACCACTTCTTCACATTCACTAAATCCCACTGTGTGCTACTCTTAAAATCCAGGAAGCCACTCTCCTCATCACATTAGTTTGGGTTCAAGAGTAGGATAGAGCATTCTTTGCGTATTTTAACCACTTCTTCACATTCACTAAATCCCACTGTGTGCTACTCTTAAAATCCAGGAAGCCACTCTCCTCATCACATTAGTTTGGGTTAAAGTGTAGGATAGAGCATTCTTTGCATATTTTAACCACTTCTTCACATTTACTAAATCCCACTGAGTGCTACTCTTAAAATCCAGGAAGCCACTCTCCTCATCACATTAGTTTGGGTTCAAGAGTAGGATAGAGCATTCTTTGCGTATTTTAACCACTTCTTCACATTCACTAAATCCCACTGTGTGCTACTCTTAAAATCCAGGAAGCCACTCTCCTCATCACATTAGTTTGGGTTCAAGTGTAGGATAGAGCATTCTTTGCGTATTTTAACCACTTCTTCACATTTACTAAATCCCACTGAGTGCTACTCTTAAAATCCAGGAAGCCACTCTCCTCATCACATTAGTTTGGGTTCAAGTGTAGGATAGAGCATTCTTTGCATATTTTAACCACTTCTTCACATTTACTAAATCCCACCGAGTGCTACACTTAAAATCCAGGATGCCACTCTCCTCATCACATTAGTTTGGGTTCAAGTGTAGGATAGAGCATTCTTTGCGTATTTTAACCACTTCTTCACATTTACTAAATCCCACCGAGTGCTACACTTAAAATCCAGAAGCCACTCTCCTCATCACATTAGTTTGGGTTCAAGAGTAGGACAGAGCATTCTTTGCATATTTTAACCACTTCTTCACATTTACTAAATCCCACCGAGTGCTACTCTTAAAATCCAGGAAGCCACTCTCCTCATCACATTAGTTTGGGTTCAAGAGTAGGATAGAGCATTCTTTGCGTATTTTAACCACTTCTTCACATTTACTAAATCCCACTGAGTGCTACTCTTAAAATCCAGGAAGCCACTCTCTTCATCACATTAGTTTGGGTTCAAGTGTAGGATAGAGCATTCTTTGCGTATTTTAACCACTTCATCACATTTACTAAATCCCACTGAGTGCTACACTTAAAATCCAGGAAGCCACTCTCCTCATCACATTAGTTTGGGTTCAAGTGTAGGATAGAGCATTCTTTGCGTATTTTAACCACTTCATCATATCATCATCATCATTATGCTATGTCTCAATGCTGTGCAGTCCTAGGAGTCATAGTTTCCGTAATAAAAAAAAAAAAGGGCTTCTCGTTTGCTACACATTCAGTTTGCAGACTTCATTCAGTACTATGTTTTATACTCTCTGCCATGTTATGCCAATAAAGGCTTATTGTATTGTTGTATTGTTGTTGAGTCATAGTTTCCCAAGGTCCATACCCTTCTCTTGGTGCACTTATGGTATAGAATGAATGCATTTGCACCCAACTTTAAATCCCATGCCTCCATGCGATGGAGTCCTTCTGGGAGTTACAGTTTCCCAAGGTCCATACTCTTATCTGGGTGCATCTACACTGTGGAATGAATGCAGTTGGACCTTAGTTTAAATGCTATGGCTCCATATGATAGAGTCCTCCTGGGAGTTATAGTTTCCCAAGGTCCATACCCTTCTCTTGGCGCATCAACACTGTGGAATGAATGCTGTTGGATCTTACTTTAAATGCCATGGCTCTGTGTGATTGAGTCCTCCTGGGAGTCATGGTTTTCCAGGGTCCATATCCTTCTCTTGGTGCATTTACAGTATGGAATGAATGCGCTTGCACCCCATTTTGAATGCCATGGCCCCATGCGATGAAGTCCTCTTGGGAGTTACAGATTCCCAAGGTCCATACCCTTCGCTGTGTGCATCTACATTGTGAAATGAAGGTACCTATGGTACTTTGAATGCCATGGCCCTATGTGATGAAGTCCTCTTGGGAGTTACAGATTCCCAAGGTCCATACCCTTTGCTGGGTGCATCTACACTGTGAAATGAATGCAGCTGGACCTTACTTTGAATACCATAGCTCCGTTCTATGCAGTCCTGGGAGTTATAGTTTTCCAAGATCCACTTCCCAGCTTCAATGTGATGAAGTCCTAAGAGCCTGACATGTGTTGCAGGTCCTTTGGGGTGGTGCTGTGGGAGATTGCGACGCTGGCCGAGCAGCCCTACCAGGGCATGTCCAACGAGCAGGTGCTACACTTTGTGATGGACAACGGCGTCCTGGAGAAGCCAGAGAACTGCCCGGAGAAGCTGTGAGTCTTTCCTACAATTGCCATCTCTGGGGTGGGGAGGAGAGAACAGGATTTCCCTCATAGAAGAAACAGTTCATGAAGCTAGTTGCCTGTCCATTGTGGACAAGTTAAGAAATATTTGGTCGATTTCTTGAAGATCTAAAAAGTATTTGACTGATTTGTTGCACCAATAAAGAACTTTGTTAAACTTTCCAAGCTTCTAAAGACTTTGTATAGTGAAATTCATAGGGCCTCTCAGCCGAGGCACCCCGGCGTCCTGCTGGGCACATAAAGATCACGTCCTCTTAATAGACAATTGCTACAGGCCCAGCGTGTGACCGCACAGGCACATTTATTTAGGCTTTGAAGTTGATGGAAGACTGCACACTTTGCTTTCTTTGCGTTCCTCATAGCAGTTGCTCTGAGGCTGAATTTTGCTGACAATTCAAACCTGCGAACTTTTGATCAGCAAGTTCAGTAGCTCAGCGGTTTAACCCACTGTGCCACCGGGGGCTCCATAATTCTAGGTCACTGTGAAACTTTAGATACTAGGGATATATGGGGCAGTGCCGGGGATCTATGTCCCCACCCAGCCCTTAACTAAGACCCCCTTCTTGCTCTCTTTCCTCCTTCCAGTCACGAGCTGATGACGTGGTGCTGGCGGCAAAATCCCCGTCTTCGGCCCTCCTTCATCCAGATTTTGGAGAGCATCAAGGAGGACATGAGCAGCAGCTTCCGCACCCACTCCTTTTTCTACAGCCTGGAGAACAAGCGCTGCAGCTCCTGGGAAGGCTTGGATGCAGAGACAGATCAGCTGCTGGTGGCCGATGCATCCGTGCCGGAGACGCCAACGTCCCCTGTTCCCAACGGCAGCCCCCTCCTCTCTCTGGGCCCCTACATGGAGCAGGGTCAGCCAACCAAATGCAGCCCCCAACCCAATGGGAAGCCCAGCCTTTGAGCTGCAGGGCCCTCCATCCCTGGCTAGACTGGTTAGACTGTCTGTTGTCCTCTTGGATCCAACCAGAGTGAGGACAACATGGGGCATTTCATGGGCGAAGGATGGGGAGATCCTCCTCAGAACAGCAGTAGCAGCATGAGAACTGGAGACGTTGCTCCTCCATCCTGTCCTTTTCCCCTTCAAGACATAGCCGCCAGGAGAAGGTCTCTCTTTCTCTCTCGCACATACGAGGGTTGAATGAAAAGTAATGCCTCCACCTTTGTAACTCCTCAACAGATGCCAGTACTGGTATGCGGCAGGTACTGGCTTATTCTGTAGACTCTCCTCTACAGTTCCATTTTGGTGGAAAGACTTAGCATTGAACGGTTGTGTTGTCAAAGTATGGAACCCTGCGCAGACTCTCGGTCAATGCGACTTAAGCAATGTGCAGTCATTGAATTCTTGACAGCAGAAGGTGTCACCCCAAAGGAGATTCATCTCAAGACTGGACTACTGTAACGCCCTCTACATTGGCCTTCCTCTGTCGGTGATCCGGAAGCTCAAGTTGGTACAAAATGCAGCTGCTCGGCTTCTTGTGGGAATTCCGATGAGATGCCACATAACACCAATCTTACTACAGCTGCATTTGTTACCAATTGAGCACCGGATCACTTTCAAAGTGATGGTACTCACCTTTAAGGCCTTGCATGGTCTGTGACCGATGTACCTGAGGGACCGCCTCACCCCCTACCAACCCCAGAGATCCCTCCGTTCTGAGGACCAAGATTTATTGGAAATTCCCAGTGTCAAGACCTTGCAGAGCCTTCACAGCGGTGGCACCATCACTCTGGAATACTCTGCCACCTGAAGTCCGTGCCTTGCGGGACTTATCAGCATTCCGCAGGGCATGTAAGACATACCTGTTTCGACAGGCCTTTGATTTTTGACATTGCTGTTTTCAAATTGTTTTAAATTGTTTTTAAATTGTGTTAGATTTTAGCCATTCTTGTAAGCCGCTCCGAGCCCCAGGGGAGTGGCGGCATATACGAATAATAAATAAATAAATCAGAGTACTCTGGTTTCTCTTCAGATTGTATAAATCTTTCGCATCAGAGAATGCAAGCTGTTTATGGTGATTGTGTTGATGTTAGTACTGTGCGTTGTCATCGTTGGGCAAGTAAGTTTAAAGATGTTGAGGTGGGAACATCTGACTTGCATGACAAACAAAGAGTTGGACGTCCTGTGACAGCAACCACTGAGTTTCACGAACAAAAGTTTGACAGATTGATTCAGGACGGTCATCGTATCACTCAGAGAGAAATTTCAAGCATAATCGGCATTTCACAAGGATGTGTCGGTCACATTATTGCTCTGCTTGACTATCGGAAGATCTGTGCACGATGGGTTGCGGAAACAGAGTGTCGACTTCTGTGACGGCTTCAGAAAACCTGTTCATTGTTGGCAAAAATGTATCCAATTGTCTGATGATTATGTGGAAAAGTGGATAGTGGTTGATAAAGAGCACATTCTAAGGAATATTTATGCGTTTGATTTATTAAAATATTCCCACCCAAACCCAAGTAACGAAGGTGGAGGCATTACTTTTCATTCAACCCTCGTACTTTGGTACCACCATGGATATTTTTTTCTGCTTTGCCATCTCCCCTTGTGTGGTAGACATTCTTCTGTAGGGAGCTGCAAACACAGCAACCGCAACCTTCTCAAACTGACTGTTGTGGTTTGTCTGCCCTTTGATTTCAGTGAGCGGCTTTCTTGGCATCCAGACTCAAGTGTGAAGGAAGCTTTCATATGTGGCTCAGGAGGATCTCGGCCAAAGGACTGAATGGTGGGTGTAGCAAATGTGTTGATCTATGTTAAATTTTTGATGTATAGCTCTATGTTGCAATGTGGCAGAATTGGCAGAAATAGGGTAGCAACAGTAGAGGCAAGATAAATTTGCATACGTGCAGCCAATTGGTCGTATGCAGATGAGTGTAGGCCAGGATTGGAAAGAGCCACTGAGCCAGAATGGCAGTTGGGGGGGGGGGGGGGGGGGGAGAAGAGAGCCGAACATTCCAAAGGGGTGGAGTTAAGTTTAAAAATAGGCAGTTAGAGAGTCAGAAGAGGTCAGTTAGGGATTCCTGTTTGTGAAGGACAGTTAGGAACTTCTGTGAGAGAACAGCAGTTAGGAAAATGGAGCTTAAGTTTTAAGGAAAATAAAGAAGTGCCAGAGTGGTTTAAGGCGAAATATAGTTCTGTCAAGAGTGTATGAAAAAGTAACATAGTTGTTGATGTGAAACAGTTGAAGTTTGATAGGAAAGTTAACTAAGTGAATGATATCGAATGTAAGACTCAAGACTGTAACAGAAGAAACAAATGTAACCATAAGCGTTGGAGCCAGAAGCTATAAATAAACTTTGTTACTTTGTTTACTACAAGAGTGTCTCAAGCCTGTAATATAAAAGCCTCAACATAAAAGCTCACAAGAGAGCCCCAGCCAATTTAAAAAGGGGAAAATACATCACTATAACGCAGTAAAAAGATTTAAAAGAAAATATTTCCCCCCTCACATCGTCACACATAAAAAGACATCTGTGAAAGGACTGAAATAGTGAAAAGACGTCCCAGTGGGCAAGAGGGCAGGCGGAGAGACCTTCTAGGGTTTCCTATGCCTTAGTTTGGTGGCATAGGACTTGCATGCGCAGCCCATCCTCTCCCTCAGGTGATTGCGAAGGTGCTTTGCATACTCCCCTGTGCCATAAGATGAAGGCAGAATAAATATACCCTTTTCTCTGTATACAAAAATGATGGGCAACAACCCAACCTTCTGGTTTGGCCACATTCACTGGCAGCTGCTCTTCCAAAAAGGTAGGGCATGGAGATGTTTCCTTGGGAATGGCATTTGTTCTGTCGAGCATGATGTCCCCACATGGGTCTCTAGTAGGGACTTCATCACATTCAAGCAGGGAAGTGTTTGGTAGAGTAGAGGGTTACTCAGTTGTGTTCAGCATTCTTTCATAGAGCCATGGCATTTAAAGTGGGGTGCAAGAACATTCATTCCATACTGTAAACACCAAGAGAAGGGTATGGACCTTGGAAAACTATAACTCAGAGAGAACTCCATCGCATGGAGCCATGGCATTTAAAGTACCATAGGCGCCTTCATTTCACAATGTAGATGCACCCAGAGAAGGGTATGGGCCTTGGGAAACTATAACTCCCAGGAGGACCCCATCGCATGGAGCCATGGCATTTAAAGTGCAAGAGCATTCATTCCATACTGTAAACACCAAGACAAGGGTATGGATCTTTGAAAACTATAAGTCCCAGGACTGCATAGTATGGAGCTATGTTATTTAAAGTAAGGTCCAGCTGCCTTCATTTCACAGTGTAGATGCACCCAGAGACGGTTCATGGACCTTGGGAAACTGCAATTCCCAAGTCCATCTCATGGAGACATGGCATTTAAAGTAAGGCCCAGCTGCATTCATTCCACAGTTTAGATGCACCCAGAGAAGGGTATGGACCTTGGGTAACTACAATTCATAGAGACATGGCATTTAAATTAAGGTTTAACTGCATTCATTCCACAGTGTAGATGCACCCAGAGAAGGGTATGGACCTTGGGAAACTACAATTCATAGAGACATGGCATTTAAATTAAGGTTTAACTGCATTCATTCCACAGTGTAGATGCACCCAGAGAAGGGTATGGACCTTGGGAAACTATACTCCCAGGAGGACCGCATCACATGGAACCATGGCATTTAAAGTGGGGTGCACTGCAAGAGCATTCATTCCCTACTGTAAACATCAAGAGAAGGGTATGGACCTTGGAAAACTATAAGTCCCAGGAGTGTCTCTTTCAATTCTATGATTCTATGATTCTTGTGGCTGGCGGCCTGAGGCACAGCGGGAAGGCCCGATACGTGAGAGAACACTGTTCTATGATTTCTGTTCTCCACCAATTTAACACCCTTTGTGCCACACAAACGAAGTTTCTGGAGTAGAATAACTACTTTCAAAGTAAAGACCACCCAATGAAACAGGAAATAACACTTTCAAACAATTAACGAAACGATTCGGAAGTCTCTGAAGTTTCGAAAAGTTTTGAAATTTTTTTGGGTGAAATTCGGAAGTAACTTTAGAATTGAACATCCAAAACGAGTTTTGAACCATTTTTTTTTTTTGGATCAACCACGCCTACTGGACCTCGTCGTCTGTGGGTGAAATGCTCACATTCGGCTACTAGAGGCCACGCCAACAAAAGCGACATGCAGGATTGGTCCAGAAAGAAACCAAATGGGCTGCAGTGTTCTGAGTGGTCACCAGAGGTCATCTTTGTATAGGGAATTATACATTGGGAGTTGATGGAGATCCACAGGCTGCAACAGGTCACCCTGTAAAAAGGGTGGGTAATGGCGTGGATGTAGCGTACCTGGATTTCAGTAAGGCCTTCGACAAGGTCCCCCATGACCTTCTGGCAAGGAAACTAGTCCAATGTGGGCTAGGCAAAACTACGGCGAGGTGGATCTGTAATTGGTTATGGACGAACCCAGAGGGTGCTCACCAATGCTTCCTCTTCATCTTGGAAAGAAGTGACGAGTGGAGTGCCGCAGGGTTCCGTCCTGGGCCCGGTCCTGTTCAACATCTTTATTAATGACTTAGATGAAGGGTTAGAAGGCAGGATCATCAAGTTTGCAGACGACACCAAATTGGGAGGGATAGCCAATACTCCAGAGGACAGGAGCAGGATTTAAAACGATCTTGACAGATTAGAGAGATGGGCCAAAACTAACAAAATGAAGTTCAACAGTGACAAATGCAAGATACTCCACTTTGGCAGGAAAAAATGAAATGCAAAGATACAGAATGGGGGACTGCCTGGCTCGAGAGCAGTACGTGTGAAAAAGATCTTGGAGTCCTCGTGGACAACAAGTTAAACATGAGCCAACAATGTGATGTGGCGGCAAAAAAATCCAATGGGATTTTGGCCTGCATCAAGGAGCATAGTGTCTAGATCTAAGGAAGTAATGCTACCCCTCTATTCTGCTTTGGCTAGACCACATCTGGAATATTGTGTCCAATTCTGGGCACCACAATTCAAGAGAGATATTGACAAGCTGGAATGTGTCCAGAGGAGGGCGACTAAAATGATCAAGGGTCTGGAGAACAAGCCCTATGAGGAGCGGCTTAGGGAACTGGCATGTTTAGCCTGAAGAAGAGAAGGCTGAGAGGAGATATGATAGCCATGTATAAATATGTGAGGGGAAGCCAAGGGAGGAGGGAACAAGTTTGTTTTCTGCTGCCTTGGAGTCTAGGATGCGGAACAATGGCTTCAATCTACAGGAAAGGAGATGCCACCTGAAAAGGAGGAAGAACTTCTTAACTGTGAGAGCTGTTCAGCAGTGGAACTCTCTGTCTCAGACTGTGGCGGAGGCTCCTTCTTTGGAAGCTTTTAAACAGAGGCTGGATGGCCATCTGTCAGGGGTGATTTGAATGCAATATTCCTGCTTCTTGGCAGAATGGGGTTGGACTGGATGGCCCATGAGGTCTCTTCCAACTCTTTGATTCTATTATTCTATGATTCTATTCAGTTCACTTGCCTAGTTTCTAACAGACCTCACAAACTCTGCCATAGATGTGGGTGAAACGTCAGGAAAGAATGCTTCTGGAACATGGCCATACGTGGAAGTTGCAACTGTTATTAACCAGTGCCATAGGCGAATTATGTCCCTGGGAGCATGGGTTCGGGTTGTAAGTGGTCATCGGCCTGACCTTGCTCAGTTGAGCATAATTTTTAGATCTGAAACTCAACCTACGACTCCAGCCCTGTTTACCTCTCCGAACGTATTCTCCCCTATGAACCATCAAGATTATTAAGATCGTCTGGAGAGGCCCTGCTCTCGGTCCCACCGGCCTCGCAAACGCGTCTGGTGGGGACGAGGGACAGGGCCTTCTCGGTGGTGGCCCCTCGACTCTGGAACTCTCTCCCACCGGAGATCAGAACTGCCCCTTCTATCGTGACATTCAGGAAGCAGGTGAAGACGTGGTTATGGAGACAGGCATTCGACGAGTGAGCCAACACCCTGAGATATGGATGGAGGATGATGAACACCGATTTTAGTGGGACGACTGACCATTGTATTTATTGAATGTAATTGCTGTTTTAATGTTTTATTGTAATATGAAGTATGATGTTTTATTGACAGTATGTGATATTATGGTTGGAAACCGGTCTGAGTCCCTCAAGGGAGGTGAGAAGGTCGGTATACAAAACGTTTAAATAAATAAATAAATAAATAAATAAAATTGGCCCTTAATGGGCCAATGGGACGGGTGAGTTTCAGATCCAAAAATTATGCTCATCCGCCTCCCCTCCAACCCAAGCTGAACCCGCCCTGCGTGCCATGGATGCCCACCTGAAAGAAGTCAACAGGACAAGCGACAAGGAGGCATTGGCGTGACTTTCCACATTTTGCACACATTTTATACCATGCTCCAAATGAGCGCATACACGACAGCTCTTGGCAAAAGGGTGTTTCATACAGAACATGTTTCCAGCATTGGCATGCATTGCCTCACAGTTCCGAGAAAAAATGAAGTGGGGGGGGGGGGAAAGGAGGGAAAACCGGCCCTCCCAGGACATTTTTCCATTACGTTTTGCTCCATGGCACAATGGACAAGACCCATCTTGACAGCCTGGGTTGGCCGCAAAAGCGCCACTCGGGGAGGCAAATGGCAAAGGCTTCTGAGCCAGATCGCTGATCGACTCAATGCTGACAGATGGCAAAAAGGAGCCCAAAGGGTCCCGGAAGCTCTCGGCTCCAAAGCGCGTGAAGAACATAAAAGCGAGTTGCAGGCTCTTTCCTGACTCCGGAATGACTCCACGCATCCGGAGGCATCTTCGTGCTTTGGATGAGTTTTCTCAGTCAGGGCGAGAGTTGCCATCCAGACACCTTGTATATCGTCACCATGAAGGTCATGAAGGGAGTGATGTTGGCTATGAGAAGAGCTGCCAATCAGAATGCCAATGATCCAAAGTACCTGCCCGGACCCAAAGGCTGCTTGTGGGATTGTGCCCACCTTCCTCATGCCCAGGCAAAGTTTGGAGGATGCAGTTCCCAAAGGCAAAAGCAAAATGAGGGGGTGAGGGTGAAGTGGCCCTGGATGAGGGTGAAGTGGCCCTGGATGAGGGTGAAGTGGCCCTCATCTGTCTTGCCTCCGGAGAACTGTTGGTGAGGGTGGGTAATGCCGGGTGGGGGGCACGTCGTAGTGGCTAGGAATATGGCTGTTCTTTGGGGAGTCGTAGTGGTTGGGCGGAAGAGTCTGAGGGCTTGGCGAGGCGGCTCCTTCGGCTCCGGAGACGTAGCGACCTGGGAAGTGGGAGGAGAAAGATGCAGAGAGTTGTAGTTCTTCAGGATAATAATAATCATCATCATCATCATCATCATCAGGTTCTTGTGGGTTTTTGCGGGCTATAGAGCCATGTTCTAGAGGCATTTCTCCTGATGTTTCGCCTGCATCTATGGCAAGCATCCTCAGAGGTAATGATTGGCAATCTTCTCATTACCTCTGAGGATGCTTGCCATAGATGCAGGCGAAATGTCAGGAGAAATGCCTCTAGAACATGGCTCTATAGCCTGAAAAACCCCACAAGAACCTAGTGATTCCAGCCATGAAAGCCTTCGACAATACATCATCATCATCATCATCTTTATTTATACCCCGCCACCATCTCCCTGATGGGGACTCAGTGTGGCTTACATGAGGCCAAGCCCAAACAACAAGTTACAGCAGAATAAAACCGAAAACGCAAACCGAAAACGCAGACAATAAACAACAACATCATCTATATATATAAAAATGTAATGTTCGTTTGTGGGATTAACAGAACTCAAAAACCACTGGACGAATTGACACCAAATTTCGACACAAGACACCTAACAACCCTATGTATGTTCTTCACTCAAAAACATTGATTTTGCCATTTGGGAGTTGTAGTTGCTGGGATTTATAGTTCACCTACAATCAAAGAGCACTCTGAACCCCACCAACAATGGAATTGAACCAACCTTGGCACACAGTTCTCCCATGACCAACAGAAAATACTGGAAGCCATGTACATTGAGCCATGACTTCCGGTAGCGGCATCATGGCGTTCGGAGCGAGTTTTTGATGCTCGCACGAAAGCTCGCCCTAGTAATGGTTCTTGGGGGAGAGTCCCCCCCTGCCCAGTGGATGTAAACGGGGCAGAAAATCCCCCCCTGGTTGGAAATACCCCGTTGGGTGTTCCCCCAACAACCAGAGGGACGAAGACCAGAACGCGGGTTCCCGACTTTTTGACCGGGAAAGGACGCCGGCCGCTAGTTTTAACTACACCAAACAAGGTGACCTGTGCAGTCAAGAAGAAGAAGAAATCCTTGGAACACAAAAGACGAAGGGGGAATAGGAAGGAACTAGTACGGAAAGGAAAGAAGATACACAAGTAGAAAGGAAAAGAGAAACGCAGGTAATGGGACCCCAACAATTTCAACAGACTACTGTAATATTGCAATACGTGGAAGCTTACTGTTCACGAGGCAGCTAAAAGCAAAATAAGGCAAAATAAGGCAGTTCAAAAGGAAATACCCGAAAAAAGCAAAAAAACGCGGGTTAGGCCCGGCTTAGAACTATGTGGGCTACGCACGAGTAGAGGGAAACAGTTGAACCTCCCAAGTGAGTGGTGAGGAGAGAGGAGAGGAGTGCTCGGAGGCTCCTGGAGGAGAGCGACGGGAGAGGGATCGCCGCGCCGAGCAGACTTGCAACCCCAGACCGACGGTCCCTGGGAGTGGGCCGGGAGGCCGGGAGGCCACGCGTGCCTTACCATCTCCCCTCGGCGCTGTGTCCTCGCTGCGGTCCCGCGCCAATGGAGGCTGGGCTCGCCCGTTCGTGGTCCCCGGGGGTCCTGCCTGGCCTCTGATCTTCAGCCTCCCTAAAGCCAGGACTCCCCAAGGCTTCTCCTTTAAGGGGAAAAAACACACAACGAAGGATATCCCCGCGAAAAACCATGAGAAACCGCGAGAATAGAAACCCTCGCGAGAAAAGAGTTAAGAGAGCGAGAAAAGAGAGAAAAGGGAGCGAGACGCCCTCAGAAGAATCCACAGGACTGCATGCAGACTAAGAGGATACCCCAAAGCACCAGAGGAGCAGGAATTGAAAGAGGGGAAGGAAGGGCGACAAAAAGGAGCTCAAACGAGGAGAGAAAGTGTGGGGAAAAGACGATCAGCCCAAAAGGCAAGGTAAGGGGAAGTTCTCCGAGCCTTGTGCCCCAAAAATAAAAACTGGACGCCCTCCCCAAACCCTCCACCCCAATCCCCATTTGATTCAATAGGTGTCAACCTAATTCAAAAATGTCAGCACAGAAGAAAATAGAGAAAGAAAAGGAAAAAAAAGGAACAGGGAAAAAAGATAACACACCAGAGGAACCAAATATTCGCGACATCATAGCAGAAATATCAAAACTTCACTTAACTGTGAAAAACAACCAAGAAAACCAGGACAAACAAATTGCTACACTTAAAGAGGAATTAAAAGGGATGAAGAAAGACATCAAGGAGGAATTCCACCTAGCCCTAAAAAAAGAGATGAATGGAGTTAGAGAAGACTTAACCAGACTGAAAGAAGAAAATATAGACCTTAAAAAAGAAAATGAGAGCATCAGAGAGGCACAGGTGGATCTAAAAAGGAAGATAAAAATGATGGAAGGGACAATTACCTCCCTAACAACTCATCGAGAGATGCAAGAATCTCGAGAAAAAGAGTTCCAATTGAGATTCCGCAATATCAAAGAAGACGAGAACGAGAATACAAGAGAGATCATCCTTGGACTTGTGTCAACCCTGTGCAAGACAACCATAGAAGAAGCGAACAGGAATGTAGACTGGGTCTTTAGAATCAACTCTAGATATGCCACCAAATACAAAGCCCCCCGAGACATCCTGGCCCAGTTTACTAAAAGAAACATCAGGGATGAAGTACTAAGAGAAAACTACAAACTACCAATTTCATATAGAGAAAGCAAGGTAATAATTTTAAAAGAGTTCTCAATAGCAACTCTAGAAAAAAGGAAGAAATATCATTTTTTGACAGAGGAACTGAAAAAACGAAACATCCGTTTCAGGTGGGAAAAACCAGAGGGAGTGATGACGACGTGGAACAACACAAAGCACTGGCTAACATCAGAACTCAAGGCAAGGGCATTCTGGGAGGAAATACGACAAAGTGAAAGCAAAGACCTTCAAGTAGAAGGAAATGGAAAATATCCCACGACCCCTAACACCGAGGAGGGACCCAATGCGGAAGGTAGCAGTGAAGAAGATTCCCCCTCAGGACCAGACCAGCTGAAAAAGAAAAGGAAAAGATCGAGGAAAAAATCCCCGAAGTTCCTGCAACAAATCCCCGCACCTGAAAGAAACACCATGGAGGAAGAAAATAAGGTAATAAATGTTGAATACTATGGATCAAAGAGTTAAGATATTGTCCCAGAATGTAAATGGTTTAAACTCCCCAAGCAAAAGAAAAAAAAATTTGGCACGATCTGAAAAAAGAAAAGTGTGAAATAATTTGTAATAAGGAAACCCACATAAAACAAAGCCAGGCTACCTATTTGGAACAAAATTATTTGGGGAGATTATTCCATGCCTCAAGTCATGAAAAGAAAAGAGGTGTTGCAACTTACGTAAATGAAAAAATAATTGCCAACTTAGCATTTAAAGATAGAGAGGGCAGGATACTGGGAGTAATGATAGAACTAAAAGGCCAGAGAATTCTAATCTGCAACATTTATGCACCTAATGGAGGGAAAATAAAATTTGTACAGAAGGTGAAAGCTTATATACTAGAACAAGAATACGAAGAACTGGTGATTTTAGGGGACTTTAATGGGGTCCTAGACAAATATAAGGACAAGTCAAACACACCAGGTCAAAGGACACAAAAAACATCAGGGGAATTACCGAAACTATTCTCCCAAATGCTACAAGAATACAACTTAGTGGACATATGGAGACTTCAACATCAGAAGGAAAGGGACTACACATACTTTTCCAAACGTCACTCCACATGGTCTCGTATAGACATGGTTTGGTGCTCAAGAACTCTGGCCAATAAAGTATGGAAGACAAAGATACTCCCAATACTGACATCTGACCACGCGCCCCTATCCCTCATAATACAAGACCCCGAGAAACCCGGCAAATTCTACAATTGGAAACTAAAAGACCATCTACTAAAGGGAGAGAACAATCTGAAAAGAAACAAAGACTTGTTGAGGGAATTTTTCTCCTTCAACACTGAAAAAGACACCCCAATAGAGACAATCTGGGACACAGCAAAAGCATACATGAGGGGTCACTTCATAGAACAAGCAAGCAGAGAGAAGAAAAAGAACAAAGAAGAAGAGGACAAAATTAAAACCGAACTGGAGCTTCAAGAAGGAAAATTAAAACAAGACCCTCAGAATTCCAAACTAGGATACCAAGTAGAACTATTGAGGAAAAAGCTAAATACCTTGCATTTGGAAGAAATGGAGAAAAAATTAAAATTCATCAAGCAAGATCAATTTGAAAACGCCAATAAAACAAGCAAATGGCTGGCCAGAAAGTTAGCGATTCGGAAGCATTCACAAAGAATAACACAAATAGTGGAAGAAGAGGGAGAATTCCATCACACCCAAGATATCTTGAACCAATTTGTGTCCTACTACCGAAAACTATATGCGAAAGATAACATCTCGGAAGAAAAAGTAATGCAATACCTAGGAAGTCAGAAAATAGCAAAGATAACGGAAAGCCAAAGGGAGCTATTAAACAAGGAAATAACAGGGGACGAGATCAAGAAAATAGTTAAGAACTTACCACAAAAGAAAGCCCCGGGACCGGACGGTTTCACGTCATTTTACTATAAAACATTCATAGATCTTCTAACGACGCCCCTAGCAAAGACTATGAATAAGATATTAGAAAAAGGAAAAATGCCTGACACCTGGAAATATGCCAATATAACTTTGCTACACAAAGATAATACTGACAGAACCAAGACCAAAAACTATCGTCCCATCTCTTTACTCAATACTGATTACAAAATCTTCACCAGCTTACTGGGGAATAGACTAAAAGAAATCCTTAAAGAAAGAATAGAAGAAGAACAGAAAGGCTTCTTGCCCCGACGCCAAATAAAAGACAACGTACAAGTAATTCTAAATGCAATAGAATACTATGAGAAGAGGATACATAAAGAAGTAGCGCTCCTCTTTTTAGACGCGGAGAAGGCGTTTGACAACGTCAACTGGTTCTTCATAAAGGAAACTCTAAAAGAGATGGACATAGGATATCAATTTAACAACGCATTCGAAGCTCTATACTCCAATCAGTTCGCAAAAATATTGATAAATGGTGAACTATCCCCCATTATACCAATCGAGAAAGGCACTAGACAGGGGTGCCCCCTGTTCCCCCTTCTTTTCATTTTAACCATAGAACTACTTCTGAACAACATAAGGGACAACAAGGATCTAGAGGGACTAAGGATAGGTAACTTTAGTTTTAAGGTACGGGCCTTTGCCGACGATATCGTATGTATTATGGAGGACCCATTAAACCGAATAGAGAACTGGTGGCAAGTTATTGAATCATTCGGCTCAGTCTCCGGCTTCAAAATAAATAAAGACAAAACGCAAATGCTAACGATGAACATCTCTCAAAAGAAAAAAGAAGAATTGCAAGCTAAAACGGAGGTGCAAATAGTTAAGAAAGTAAAATATTTGGGGATTATATTAACAACCAAGAATATTCAATTATATAAAAACAACTATGAGAAAAAATGGACCCTAATTAAAGAAAAACTGAAGAGATGGGAACCCTTAAATCTCTCCTTCCTGGGTAGGATCGCTGCAATTCAAATGAATATCCTGCCTGAGATGTTATACATATTTCAAACCCTACCAATTATAAAAACTAAAACAGCATTCAGAGTATGGCAAAAAGACATCACGAGCTTCATTTGGAAGGGGGGAAGACATAGGATAAGCTATATTAACATGTGTGATAGCAAAAAAAGAGGTGGCCTTGCCCTCCCCAACCTCCAACTCTACCATGACGCCGCCACCCTCTGCTGGGTCAAAGATTGGATTAGTCTAAAAGAGAAAAAATTATTGGCATTAGAAGGCTTTGACCTTATGCAAGGGTGGCATGGATACCTGTGGAGAGGGAAGGCGAGAGTCGAAAAAAACTTCTCAAACCACTTTGTAAGAGCCCCACTTATTCGAGTATGGGACAACTATAAAACAAGATTCTACCAAAAAACCCCTTTTTGGTTCTCACTAGGCCTGGGTAACAACGGAAAAATTTGTTTCTAAAATCGATTTGTATTTGGGAGGGTTTTTTGTTTCGATATTTAAAATAATTACAAAATTTTCCTTTTAAAAAGTTCGATATTTACGAAATTTCGTAAATGGTAAAAAATTAACGAATCGATTTCCGAAACAATAACGAATCGATTCGTTAATGGCGGACGCGACCGCGAAATACGCTAAAAAACCTCCAAAACCTTCTGAAGCTTCCCTCTCCCTCTGTTGTTGACTGTTGGTGTGATATTATAATTTTTTTTTCACTAATTAAACCATAAAACTGGCCCAGACATGCGGAAATAATAACGAAACGACCTCAAAACAATAACGAAACGAATACAATATCGAAATACGAAGCATTTACAAAACGTTTTTGAAAATTCGTTTTTTTAAATAATTGCTCCAGAATGGTTCGTTATCGTTTTGTAATTGAAAAAAATTAACGAATTATTAACGAATTACGAATTAACGAAACGAAACCGCCCAGCCCTAGTTCTCACCAAATGAGGCCAGCCAAATAAAGGGAACATCAAGAGAGATATGGCTGACCTACAAAGAAATAGAATCATAGAATCATAGAATCAAAGAGTTGGAAGAGACCTCATGGGCCATCCAGTCCAACCCCGTTCTGCCAAGAAGCAGGAATATTGCATTCAAATCACCCTTGACAGATGGCCATCCAGCCTCTGCTTAAAAGCTTCCAAAGAAGGCGCCTCCACCACACTCCGGGGCAGAGAGTTCCACTGCTGAACGGCTCTCACAGTCAGGAAGTTTTTCCTCATGTTCAGATGGAATCTCCTCTAAAAGGAAAATACTAAAAGGAAAAGCAAGTGAACCATCTCTAAAGTAACAAGAGGAACTCAAAACCTATGACACCTCGATCTCTTGGTACCAATATTACCAAATAAAAGAGAGTTACGAGAAAGATAAAAAAATAGGTTTTGAAGATGGAAAATCCCTCTGGACTCAACTAATCAATTCGGAGGGGAAATGCATAAGAAAAATCTACCAACAACTGCTCCAGTGGGAGACAGAGAAAGAGCAAGTGAAAGAAAATATGATAAAATGGGCCAGAGACATCGGCCGCCCAATTAATTTACAGGAATGGGAAGAAATCTGGTCTAAAAAACTGAAGTTCACATATTCAATAGAGTACAAAGAGAATTGGTACAAGGTCTTCTTCAGATGGTACCTCACGCCGGACCAGCTAGCAAAATTCAACAAAGGCAAACCCGACGGGAGATGCTGGAAGTGTAGAAAATCAATTGGGGACTTCAAACATATGTGGTGGGGGTGTAAAAAGGCCAAAGCGTACTGGAAACAGATACATAAAGAAACTGGAAAAATCTTATGTAAATCATTCCCCCCAAGATTAGAATATTATTTGTTAAGGAATAATAGACTTTGACCTAGATGTTAATGAGAGTAAGATCTTTTTTTATCTTTCTACAGCCGCCAGGATTAAATGGGCACAAAATTGGAAATCTAGAGAAGTTCCAACTATAGAACAGTGGACTCTAAAGGTCTATGACATTATGAATATGGATCTTCTGACGCAAAGATTATCAGTAAACAACACCAAGACAACAGACTGGAGCAGTTTCCTAAGCTACCTCGAAAATAGAAAAAGGGAATAAATGATGAATGTTAGGGAAAATAAATTTCTATATGTGCAGAAATATAAACATTAGGCCTGGGTAACAACGGAAAAATTTGTTTCTAAAATCGATTCGTTTTTTGGGTTTTGCGTTTCGTTATTTAAAATAATTACAAAATTTTCCTTTTAAAAAGTTCGATATTTACGAAATTTCGTAAAAGTGAAAAAAAATTACAAAACATTAACGAATCGATTTCCGAAACAATAACGAATCGATTCGTTAATGGCGGACGCGACCGCGAAATACGCTAAAAAACCTCCAAAAACTTCTGAAGCTTCCCTCTCCCTCTGTTGTTGACTGTTGGTGTGATATTATAATTTTTTTTCACTAATTAAACAAAAAACAACCATAAAACTTGCCCCAGACATGCGGAAATAATAACGAAACGACCTCAAAACAATAACGAAACGAATGCAGTAACGAAATACGAAGCATTTACAAAACTATTTAAAAATTCGTTTTTTAAAAAAAATTGCTCCAGAATGGTTCGTTATCATTTTGTAATTAAAAAAATTAACGAATTATTAACGAATTACGAATTAACGAAACGAAACCGCCCAGCCCTAATAAACATACATCTACATTGTGGGAAAAGAGGACTAGATGATCTACAAAGCAATAAATCTAGAAGACCAAGGACATATGTAATTACAACATGGAATTAAGGAAAGAAGACCTATTCGACAGCACAGACGCACCGGGAAGCACTTTTCTAATCTCCCCCTCCCACCTCGACCTTTCCCCTTTCTCTCCTCTTCCCTCCCTCTCTATCTCCCCTGATTGATTCAAGGATAATGTAGTATGTTGTGTATGTCTGTTTGGAAGTGAGTGGTCCCCTTCCTCCCCCCCCCCCGTCCTTTTTCCTATCCCTCTCACCCCCCACTCCCACTCTTTAGAGAGTCACTTTTTTACTCTTGCACTCTTTGCTTTTAATGTATATAGAAAAAACCAATAAACATATATTAAAAAAAAAAAGAAAATACTGGAAGGGTTTGGTGGGAAGTGTCCTTTGGTTTTGGAGTTGTAGTTCACCTATATCCAGAGAACACTGTGGACTCAAACAATGATGGATTTGGAACAAACTCTACACGAATACTCAATATGCTAAAGTGTGAACACGGGTGGAGTTTGGGGAAAATAGAATCTTGACATTTGGGAGTTGTCGTTGCTGGGATTTATAGTTCACCTACAATCAAAGAGCATTCTGAACCCTAGAATTGGGCCAAACCTCCCACACGGAACCCCCATGTGGGCCACAGCAACGCGTGGCAGAGGACGGCTAGTCTATATAAATTAAAATGTAATGTTCGTTTGTGGGATTAACAAAACTCAAAAACCACTGGACGAATTGACACCAAATTTGGACACAAGACACCTAACAACCCAATGTATGTTCTTCAATCAAAAACATTGATTTTGCCATTTGGGAGTTGTAGTTGCTGGGATTTATAGTTCACCTACAATCAAAGAGCATTCTGAACCCTACCAACAATAGAATTGGGCCAAACCTCCCACACAGAACCCCCATTTGGGCCACAGCAACGTGTGGCAGGGGATGGCTAGTAACGATGTAAAATTACAGTAAAGCAACACACCCTGGGCCTCACATGGGTATGGCTTTGCATTGTTGGGCTTTAGCACAGCTGGTTAATCACTACCAGCAATAAATCACACCAAACAAAAGATTGGCAGATCAAAGCCTGGATTGGGGTGAGCACCCAACCTTCAGCCCAACTCACTGTCCACCTAAGCAGCTGTGAGTAGAGCTGGGCTTTAGCACAGCTGGTAAATCTCCAGCAATGATATGATCTACCAACCAAAAGGCCACCCTACTTGGATCTGCACGCATTATTCGCCGATACTTTACACAGTCCTAGACACTTGGGAAGTGTCCGACGTGTGATTCAATACAACAGCCAGCAGAATGATCTTGTTTGCTGTGTTCTCATTTTATCAAATAATAATTGCTTTCCCTAGGCATCATCCTGTTCTGGGATACAAGGGCAGCACCAACCTCAAGGAGGATATCCTTGTGGGAAGGAAGTGATGGCATCATTACAAGAATTGTCCCTTTCCTCAGTCTCTGCCCCTAATATGCTACTGGCTGGGACTAATGGGAGTCAAAATCCCAGCCCAGTACCTCCTTCCTCCTCGTCCTCCTCCAATTCGGAGATGCTGATCTCCGCATAGGACCGCTCCCGCTTGGCAGGGGACTTCATCTCCATATAGCTGCCCTCCAAGGGCCGGCCGGGCAGAACGGGCAGGTCCTTGATGGTGGCGTAGGGGTTTTCACTACCCAAGGAGCTGTCGCTTCGACATAGGGCCTCCTCAGCAGGAAATCCTGAAGGAGAAGAAAGGGTCATGGATTAGCACCAGCCAGCATCAAGGCTACACTGAGGAGTCCCTACCAATCATAGAATCATAGAGTTGGAAGAGACCTCCTGGGCCATCCAGTCCAACCCCATTCTGCCAAGAAGCAGGAATATTGCATTCAAAGCACCCCTGACAGATGGCCATCCAGCCTCTGTTTAAAAGCTTCCAAAGAAGGAGCCTCGACTACACTCCGGGGCAGAGAGTTCCACTGCTGAACGGCTCTCACAGTCAGGAAGTTCTTCCTCATGTTCAGATGGAATCTCCTCTCTTGTAGTTTGAAGCCATTGTTCCGTGTCCTAGTCTCCAGGGAAGCAGAAAACAAGCTTGCTCCCTCCTCCCTGTAGCTTCCTCTCACATATTTATACAATATTTCACAATATCATACGAAAGCTGACTGGCACAACCTGGGGATCACAACCAGATACAGTGACGACATCTGCCCTTGCGCTGTGCTACTCCGCTACTGAGTATGCATGCCCAGTGTGGAACACATCTCACCACAATAAAACAGTGGATGTGGCTCTTAATGAGACATGCCGCATTATCACGGGATGTCTGCGCCCCACACCACTGGAGAAATTACACTGCTTAGCCGGTATCGCACCACCTGACATCCGCCGGGAAGTGGCAGCCAATAGTGAAAGGACCAAGGCAGAGACATCTCCAGCTCATCCCCTGTTTGGGTATCAGCCAGCACGTCAACGACTTAAATCTAGACATAGTTTTCTAAGATCTACAGAGACACTCGCTGGAACACCTCAGCAAGCGAGAGTCCAAAAGTGGCAGGCTCAAACCCAGAACCTCAACCAATGGCTGATACCAAATGAGAGACTCCCCCCTGAACACACAGAGGACTGGGCGTCTTGGAAGGCGCTGAACGGACTGTGCTCTGGCACCACGAGATGCAGAGCCAACCTTCAGAAATGGGGCCACAAAGTGGAATCCTCGACATGCGAGTGTGGAGAGGAGCAAACCACTGACCACCTGCTGCAATGCACCCTGAGCCCAGCCACATGCACAATGGAAGACCTTCTTGCAGCAACACCAGAGGCACTCCAAGTGGCCAGATACTGGTCAAAGGACATTTAATCAACTACCAAACTCACACATTTTGTATTTTCTCTGTTTGCTTTGTTCTGTTAGAAATGTAATATAATTGACTGGCTGCCCTGACACGAGAAATAAATAAAACATATTTATACATGGCTATCATATCTCCCGCCCATATCCGAGGGAGTGCCCTGCTGGCACAAAGGTGCCACTTCTACCTCAGGCTCATTACCTTTGCTGGGAGGTTTCCCCAGTCCATTGGTGTAGCTGTAGCTGCGGTCCATCTGGCCTCCTCCTGGTTTGGGGGGAGAAAAATGGGCAGCAAAGTTAGGAGAAGACAGAGCTGCTGCTGCCTTTGCTTTTGAGGACCGGAGGGCAGATTTTCCTTGTCACTCAGCCTGAGAGAGACTACTGCCGCATTGCCAGTGAGCCACTCGTCTTTAGGAAGGCAACCAAGCCCTTTAAATGCCTGAATGGAGAAGTGCCAACTTACCCTGCCAAGGGCCGGGGCCAAGGGTGGGTGGCAGAGACCCTCGGAGGTGCTTCCAATCCGCCGGGAGGGTGGCGTTCCCTTCTGCCCCGTACATCCCGGGCCATTCCCGCTCCAAGCTCTTCACAGGGGGGAAAAGCTGGTTGCTGACCAACTGCAGAAGAAATGGGAGAACATCATCATCATCATCATCATCATCATCATCATCATCATTTAATTACTTATTAATCGCCCTCCATCCGAGAATGCTCTAGGTGATTTACAGCTAAATTGTAAAAGATAAAATACATACAGAACATATAGAGCAGAGGTTCTCAACCTGGGTTTGGGACCCCTGGGGGGGTCACAAGGGGGTTTCAGAGCGGTCACCAAAGGCCATCAGAAAACACAGTATTTTCTGTTGGTCATGGGGGTTCTGTGTAGGAGGTTTGGCACAATTTTATCGTTGGTGGGGTTCACAGTGATTTTTGATTGTAGGTGAACTATAAATCCCAGCAACTACAACTCCCAAATGTCAAGGTCCATTTTCCCCAAACTCCACTGGTGTCTGCATTTGGGCATTTTGAGTATCCGTGCCAAGTTTGTTCCAGATCAATCCTTGTTTGAGTCCACAGTGCTCTCTGGATGTGGGTGAACTACAACTCCAAAACTGAAGGCCAATGCCCACCAAACCCTTCCAGTATTTTCTGCTGGTCATGGGAGGTCTGTGTGCCAAGTTTGGTTCAGTTCAATCGTTGGTGGAGTTCAGAATCCTCTGATTGTAGGTGAACTATAAATCACAGCAACTACGACTCCCAAATGGCAAAATTAATGTTTTTGAGTGAAGAACATACATTGGGTTGTTAGGTGTCTTGTGTCCAAATATGTTGTCGATTCGTCCACAAACGAACATTACATTTATATATATATATATATATATATATATATATATATATATATATATATATATATATATATATATATATATATGATGTTGTTGTTGTTTATTGTCTACGTTTTCGGTTTCATGTCAGGTTTTACAATGTATTGCAATGTAATACAGCTGAGTCATGCACTGCTAATGGGCTTCTATTGGAAATGCTGAGTCATGCATTAACTGTATATAGACCTTCATTTGGGGAATGTGTTCTGGCCTAGTCCAGGTGATTGTGAATGATTTAATCCTGGGTTTGAGTTGAGTCAATGAGTTGGGAACCAATCGGTGATTGCTATGTGTAAATGAATTGTATATAAGGAAGTCATGTACAGTGTATATTTCTCTCCTTGTGCTTTGATGTTGTTCGTCAAAGGCTATATGTAATTAAAGAACCTGTCTACTAAAACAAGATATAACTGTATGCTGTGGTAAGTTTGTAATATCATCTAGACTGGGGGAAAGACAATGGTAAAACTTACAATGGCCGGGCATGTGCTCAAGTGTCTGTAAAAGGTTCCAGAGTGACTGCAGGCTGTGGGAGCAGTTGCCTGAAAATACTATGCAGGAAGCGCTTTTTTTTTTTTTTTTGTCGTGTCAGGAGTGACTTGAGAAACTGCAAGTCGCTTCTGTTGTGAGAGAATTGGCCGTCTGCAAGGACGTTGCCCAGGGGATGCCCGGATGATTTGATGTTTTATCATCCTTATGGGAGGCTTCTCTCATGTCCCCGCATGAGGAGCTGGAGCTGATAGAGGGAGCTCATCCACCTCTCCCCGGATTCGAACCTGCAACCTGTCGGTCTTCATTCCTGCCAGCACAGGGGTTTAACCCACTGCGCCACCGGAAAGCGCTGAAGTTGTGCAACTGATCTGCTGCTGAATTGTGAAGTTAATCTCAACAATTCAAATTTGGGTGTATTGGGTATTTGTGCCAAATTTGGCCCAGTGAATGAAAATACATCCTGCATATCAGGTATTTATATTACAATTCATAACAGTAGCAAAATTACAGTTATGAGGTAGCAACAAAAATAATGTTGTGGTTGGGGTCACCACAACATGAAGAACTGTGTTAAGGGGTCACGGCATTAGGAATGTTGAGAACCACTGGAATAGAGAAAGTTCTTCCGTAGGGCAAGGACCTGGCTTCGGACACAGAGGATGGTGTCCCACTGGCAGATGAGGTAAATCTAAGCCTCCCTGGCAAAGGAGGTGGAAGCGACCATTGAGAGAAGCTACTCAATCGTCAGCTGGTGGTTGACAGATTGCTAGAGTCCCCATCACCAGAAAGCCAAGACCAGGAGGAAGAACACAATGTGAGGGATGAGAGGCAGGGGCTGGCACATTTGGAGCCAAATCAACCCACATGAAATAATAATAATAATAATAATAATAATAATAATAATAATAATAAAATAATAATAAACCTATATTTGTACCCCACTACCATCTCCAGAAGGACTCGGTATGGCTTACAAGAGACCAAGCCCAAATACAATAAAACAACAACAATAATACAACAAAATAAATCAAAAACAAAGCAATAACATTAGCAACACACAATGACACAATTAAAAACTATGGCAGGGCCAAATGTAATAATTAAAATTAAAATTAAAAAGTGCTGGGCATGACCAGGAGAAAGGGTGGGTGTTTGGAGAGGGATGGTGTAGAGAAGTGTTCATTATATTGTGTTTCAAACTGTGTTTAGGCTTTACATTGTGGCCAGGGCCTAGCTGAGAGAGAGATAGGTTGCCATGGTGACAAGCCAGAGGAGGTGGGCGGAGCTTAGGTAAAAAAGGTTTGAAAGCGACAGTTTATTTTCAGTCAGGCGGATGAGACCCTGAGGAGAGTAGCAGAGTCAAGGAGGCTCTGTGGAGTAGTGTAAATTCAGTTAGTTCTTAGGTTTTGTGAATATTATTCCAGCTAGGAAGCTGAAGGTGGAAACTCGTTAGATTGCTTGAGTAGAAAAGAATCTAACAAGAAAGGGTTTCAGGGATCCCAGTGGTGAAAATCTGGAGATCGTTGGTTTGATCCGGTGAAGGACAAACAGTTGTAAATATTCACAATAGGGAACACTGAAATAATAAAGTACCTCAATGTAGAAAGAGTTAAAGGATTGTAACATCGGAAGACTTAATGTAACTCAACCAAGCCATTTTGTATCCATCAAGCTTGTGCCAAGTTCAACAGTTTAATTTTGCAACAATTTACGCTCTGATAACAATAAACCTGTTCTTTTTGTGTTTTAAACTTGCCTCCTTCACTGTTTTCCACGTTTGAAGCATTCCACACTACCCAAGGTGCCTCACAACACAGATAAGGACAACCAGAGATCATTTTTACCAATATCACTTATATTATGGTGGCAATTTAAGCTAGAAGTCTCAAATCTTTATTACATCTGTGTGGTGATCCTATTTATTTGGGATTTTACACCATTATTTCATTTTGGAGACTTCCTCACATATTTTGGTGGCAGCAAGTGAACGGTTTTAAATTTTTAGTAACAAGCGGTGGGAGACACGGCTTCGCAAATGGGTACTATGCAGATATCCTAAATCTCTGATAAAGTGCGTTGGGGACAAAATGCTTGGAGTTTCCTTATTCTGGGAAGGCACACTGGAACAACTACGTTTTCAAGCTCCTCCTAAAAATTGCCAGCAATGGGGCTTGCCTGATGTCCTTAGGGAGAGAGCTCCAGAGTCGAGGGGCCACCACCGAGAAAGCCCTCTCCCTCGTCCCCACCAATCGCGCTTGCGATGCAGGTGGGATCGTGAGTAGGGACTCTCCAGATTAACAAAGAGATTGTGTGGGTTCGTACACCGAGATGCGGTCACGCAGGTAGGCGGGTCCCAAACCGTTTAGGGCTTTGTAGGTAAGCACCTGCACCTTGAATTGGGACCGGAAAATGAAAGGCAGCCAGTGGAGCTCCTTGAACAGGAGGGTAGACCTCTCCCTGTAAGGAGCACCCGTTAACAGCCTGGCCACCCCCCGTTGGACCAATTGAAATTTCCAGGCCGTTTTCAAGGGCAGCCCCACATAGAGTGCATTACAGTAGTCCAATCTGGAGGTAACTAAGGCATGGACCACCCTGGCCAGATCCGCCTTCACGAGGTACGGTCGCAGTTGGCGCACGAGTCTCAATTGTGCAAAGGCCCTCCTGGCCTGAGCTTCAAACATCAGCGATGAGTCCAGGAGGACACCCAAACTGCGGACCTGTGACTTCTGGGGGAGTGTAACCCCGTCCAGCACAGGTTGCCACCCTATACCCCGATCTGGTATACGATCGACCAGGAGGACCTCTGTCTTGTCGGGATTGATCTTCAGCTTGTTCTTCCTCATCTAGACAGCCACAGCAGCCAGACACTCGTCCAGCACCCGAGGGGCTTCCTTGGAGTTAGGTGGAAAAGAATAGTAGAGTTGTGTGTCATCTGCATAGAGATGGCACCCTCTTCCTCATAGAGATGGAAGCCTCTTGCCCAATCCTCCTCCCAACAAGGATCCAACACAGAGCTTTTCTCTGGTGGTGGACACCTGAACATCCTTCCCTTACCCCGCCACAGGTTCCTTACCTTGCCCCCAGACTGCTCTGGGAGGCTAGGGATGGGAGGGCCTGGAGAGCAGGGTGACAACGTGTGGTAGCTGGGGTTCGAGTAGTAGTGGTGGGTGTAACTGGGAGGTACATCTAGAGAGAGAGAGAGAGAGAGAAATATTTATTTATTTATTTATTTATTTATTTATTTATTTATTTACTATACTTGTATACTGCCCCTCTCAGCCCGTAGGCGACTCGAGGCAGTTTGCATTTGGCAATCAATGCCCCACAAGATAAAATACAGCTCCTTCAGTACTTTGATGGGTCAACAAATACCCTAATGCAGTGGTTCTCAACCTTTCTAATGCCGCGACCCCTTAGTACAGGTCCTCATGTTGTGGTGACCCCCAACCATAAAATTATTTTCATTGCTACTTCATAACTGTAATTTTGCTACTGTTATGAATTGTAATGTAAATATCTGATATGCAGGATGTATTTTCAGTCACTGGACCAAATTTGGCACAAATACCCGATATGCCCAAAATTTGAATACTGGTGGGGTTGGGGGTGATTGATTTTGTCATTTGGTAATGTTGGAGTTGCTGAGATTTATAGTTCACCTAAAATCAAAGAGCCTTCTGAACTCCATCAATGATGGAATTGAATCAACCATGGCACATGGAATTCCCATGACCAAGAGAAAATAGGGAAGGTCTGGTGGACATTGACCTTGAGTTTTTGGAGTTGTAGTTCACCTACATCCAGAGAACACTGTGGACTCAAGCAATGATGGATCTGGATCAAACTTGGCACAAATACTCAATATGCCCAAATGTGAACACTGGTAGAGTTTGGAGAAAATAGACCTTGCCATTTGGGAGTTGTAGTTGTTGGGATGTATAGTTCACCCACAATGAAATAGCATTCTGAACCCCACCAACGATAGAATTGGACCAAACTTTCCACACAGAACCCCCATGACCAACAGAAAATACTATGTTTTCTGATGGTCTTTGGCGACCCCTCTGACACCCCCTCGCGACCCCCAAAGGGGTCCCGACCCCCAGGTTGAGAAACACTGCCCTAATGCATCTGGACAAGAAGGCGATTAGAGACAAAATCTTTGAGAGGGATGCAGCTGACAACTTGCAGATTAGCAAACTGCAAGGTTTCTCTACCTGGTATCCTCGGCTAAAAAGTGACCAATATCGTCAACAATATCTTCAAGACCTAACGTCAGCGGTCCTGAGGAAAGCATTTACAGCCCTGCGATTCCAAACAATGCCATCAAACTGGCTAGAGGGAAGATACAGAGGGATCCCCCATGCCCAACGACTTTGCATTTGTGGCACAGGGGAAATAGAAGACCTAACACACTATTTGCTACATTGCCCCTTGACAATGACCCTAGGAAAAATCTCCTAGGATCACTCTTGGAAGAAAGGGCATCATGGCAACAATCTGCAGTGATCTGCGACTTGCTAGCAGATCATTCTAAAAATATAACACTAAAGGTTGCCACATTCGCAATCGCAGCCCAAAAGATCAGAGCCAAAGTAGCAAAATCCATACTGGGGGTTAGAACTGGAAAGGGTTTGGAATGACACAAAGCAGACACTGTTATTGCCATGTTTCTGCTTTCATAATTTTAAAGAACTTGTTTTAGTTTTAATTCTTGTTACATTTTAAGGTTTATATTGGAAAGTGTTTATAAAGTTAGTGCATTACTGATGTCATGGCCTATGGCTAGTACAATAAACAATTCATTCATAAAATACAGTCAAAAACAATAACATATAGTATAAACCGTATAAAAACAATAAACAGTAAACAATTAGAATCGTAGAATCATAGAGTTGGAAGAGACCTCATGGGCCATCCAGTCCAACCCCCTGCCAAGAAGCAGGAAAATTGCATTCAAAGCACCCCTGACAGATGGCCATCCAGCCTCTGTTTAAAAGCTTCCAAAGAAGGAGCCTCCACCACACTCCGGGGCAGAGAGTTCCACTGCTGAACAGCTCTCACAGTCAGGAAGTTCTTCCTCATGTTCAGATGGAATCTCCTCTTGTAGTTTGAAGCCATTGTTCCACGTCCTAGTCTCCAGGGAAGCAGAAAACAAGCTTGCTCCCTCCTCCCTGTGGCTTCCTCTCACATATTTATACATGTCTATCATGTCTCCTCTCAGCCTTCTCTTCTTCAGGCTAAACATGCCCAGCTCCTTAAGCCGCTCCTCATAGGGCTTGTTCTCCAGACCCTTGATCATTTTAGTCGCCCTCCTCTGGACACATTCCAGCTTGTCAATATCTCTCTTGAATGGTGGTGCCCAGAATTGGACACAATATTCCAGGTGTGGTCTAACCAAGCAGAATAGAGGGGTAGCATGACTTCCCTAGATCTAGACACTATGCTCCTATTGATGCAGGCCAAAATCCCATTGGCTTTTTTTGCCGCCACATCACATTGTTGGCTCATGTTTAACTTGTTGTCCACGAGGGCTCCAAGATCTTTTTCACACGTACTGCTCTCGAGCCAGGCGTCCCCCATTCTGTATCTTTGCATTTCATTTTTTCTGCCTAAGTGGAGGATCTTGCATTTGTCACTGTTGAACTTCATTTTGTTAGTTTTGGCCCATCTCTCTAATCTGTCAAGATCGTTTTGAATCCTGCTCCTGTCCTCTGGAGTATTGGGTCTCCCTCCCAATTTGGTGTCGTCTGCAAACTTGATGATCCTGCCTTCTAGCCCTTCATCTAAGTCATTAATAAAGATGTTGAACAGTACCGGGCCCAGGACGGAACCCTGTGGCACTCCACTTGTCACTTCTTTCCAGGATGAGAAGGAAGCATTGGGGAAATTCAACTTCTGGGTTTGTCCATTTAACCAATTCCAGATCCTCCCCACCATAGTTTTGCCTAGCCCACATTGGGCTAGTTTCCTTGCCAGAAGGTCGTGGGGGACCTTGTCGAAGGCCCTCCTGAAATCCAGGTACGCTCCATCCATGGCATTCCCCGCATCTATCCAGCTTTTAACTCTATCGAAAAAAGAGATCAGATGAGTCTGGCATGACTTGTTTTTGATAAATCAGTGTTGACTATTAGCGATTACCGCATTTGTTTCCAAGTGTTTGCAGACCACTTCCTTAACAATCTTTTCCAGAATCTTGCCTGGTATCGACGTGAGGCTGACCGGACGGTAGTTGTTTGGGTCATCCTTTTTTTCCCTTCTTGAAGACCACATTGGCCCTCCTCCAGTCTGCTGGAACTTCTCCCGTTCTCCAAGAACTCTCAAAGATGATTACCAATGGTTCCGAAATAACTTCCGCTAGTTCCTTCAATACTCTTGGGTGCAGTTGATCTGGCCCTGGGTATTTGAACTCATTAAGAGCGGCCAGGTATTCCTGGACGACTTGTTTCCCAATTTGGGGTTGGATGTCCTCTAATCCTTCATCCACTCCATCTTGCTGAGGTTGAAGATGACTTTCTTTTTGTGAGAAGACCGAGGCAAAGAAGGCATTAAGTAGTTCTGCCTTTTCCCTACCCCGTCTGCATTGCCCCATCTTTTCCTCGAAGAGGCCCTATCGCCTCCTTGTTTTTCCTTTTTCTACTGACATAAGAAAAGAAGCCCTTTTTATTGTTTTTAATGTCCCTGGCAAGCCTGAGCTCGTTTTGTGCTTTAGCCTTGCGGACCTTATCCCTACAGGTTTTGGCTATTTGTTTGAATTCTTCTTTGGTGATTTCTCCCTTTTTCCACTTCTTGTGCATGCCTCTTTTGTGTCTCACAACCTCTGAGGACGCGACGAAATGTCAGGAGAGAATGCTTCTAGATCATGGCTATACAGCCCAAAAAACCTACAACAACCCAGTGATTCCAGCTGTGAAAGCCTTCAACAATACAGTTCTCAAGTTCCCAGTGAAAGAGGCGGGACCCTTCGGCATCTAACCTCCCCCCCCCCACTCCAAAATGTGCCTTATTTGCAACCAAATAAGTGGAATCCACAACATGCGAGTGTGGAGAAGAGCAAAACACAGACTACCTACTGCAATGCAACCTGAGCCCTGCCACATGCAGAGGTACTCCAAGTGGCCAGCTACTGATCAAAGGACATTTAATAGAACACCAAGTTTGCAAACTTTGTCATTTGTTTGTTTGTTTAATGCAATACAACTGTTTTGTTCGCTCCTGACCTGATAAATAAATTAAATAGAGAGGCTAAGCCCCCTTTTTTGCCCCCGAGGGAGGCCGAGCACCTTGCTCTGCCCAGTCTCACCTGGAACTGCATATTCTGAACTGTCTGTCCTCCCTGCGGTGTAAGCCACAGAGATGTGCCGGTTCTCCTTGCTCTTCTTCTGCCAGTGCCGGTAACAGAGGAACAGGGCCAGCAAGGCTACCAGGAGGACCGCTAGGATGATGATGCCGGCAATGGCTCCCAGGGAGGGGGAGCTCACTGGTGTGGCTGGCACCATGGTGAGAGGGGGTACCGGGATCCCTGGGCAACAGCAAAGAAGAGGCAGAGATCAGACCATCTTCCTTTTCTGGGCCACCTCCCAATTATCAGAGCCAGCCCTAGGTAATTTTCAAGTGTAAGCAAATAGTATTTTGCCCCCCCCCCCCAACGAATCACTGAAAAATAAAAGGTAGAAGGTAGTGGTCCCTGGTCAAAAAAGTTTGGGAACCACTGATTTACAGTATATAGCATATAGGACCCCACTGTGATTTTTGGCTCATCCTGTTCATAAGGAATGTAGGCATTCTGGATATGGGAAGGATGCTCAACCTGTAGAGAAGAGATGCCACCATGGCTGGGCATTCTGCATTAGTGAACGCAAAGAGGCACCCACGACCCCCCATCCCTTCTCCTTCAGTCCCTTCCTGCCCCGCTTGCCCCTTTCTCCTGAACGAGGTGTGGAAAGGGAAAGTGGGGGACATGTCTCCAATGCCTCTCCTTCTATGGCAGGGCAGGTAGCACTGTGGTTGAAGGTGACGAGCCCCTACCACCTTCTTCTCTGCTGTCCCTACAGAATGGGGTTGTGTTCATGGTGGGGTGGTAGCTTTCTATGAGCAGTCCGCAGGGGCGGCTCGTCCATTACGCGAAGTAAGCAGTCGCAGAACACTTTTTTTGCCAGGGGCGCAGAGGTGCCTCTGTAAATGCCCACTCGATTGCCACTTGAGGAGTGCCCTCTCAACTCACAACAGCCCTAGCAGTCTGGGGGGGAGCCTCGGCTTTCTTGCCTCGCTGAAAGAGAGAGAGAGAGCCCCTCCGGCTGGAGGTATCTCCCACCTCCGCTCCCTCCTTTGTTTTTGCGTCTACCTTCAGGAAAGGTGGGCATCTCCACCTCTCTCTCTCTCTCTCTCTCTCTCTTGGTCCCAATGGCTGAGGAGAAAGTCAGGAGAAGAGGTGACTTTTGGTGCACACGCCGGGGTCTTCAGGCACGCCTCTGGACCCAAAGCGGTCCAGGCAAGGGAGCAAGTGCGGCAAGTGTAGTTACTGGGATGTATAGTCAGATCTGGCCACGGTGGTCCACGCTCTTGTCACATCCCGGTTGGATTACTGCAACACACTCTACGTGGGGTTGCCTTTGAAGACTGCTCGGAAGCTTCAATTAGTCCAACGGTTGGCAGCCAAGTTGCACACCGGAGCGGTGTACAGGGAACATACACTCCCACCCCCCGTTATGCCAGCTCCACTGGATGCCGATCAGCTTCCGAGCACAATTCAAAGTGCTGGTTTTAACCTTTAAAGCCCTAGATGGTTCCGGCCCAGTGTATTTGTCCGAACGGATCTCCCTCTACATCCCATCTCGAAGTTTAAGATCTTCTGGGGAGGCCCTGCTCTCGACCCCGCCACTGTCACAAGTGAGGCTGGCGGGGACGAGGAGCAGGGCCTTCTCAGTGGTGGCCCCCCACCTGTGGAACTCACTCCCTGGGGAGATTAGATCGGCAACTTCCCTTCTGGCGTTTAGGAAAAAACTGAAGACCTGGTGTGGGACCAAGCCTTTGGTCATTCTGACAACTAAACTAAGGATCTGATGATAGACAAGGACAAATAGAATGGAATGAAACATGGACTCTGAAACCTGAGCATGAGATTGTTTTAGCATGAGATTGTTTTATTATCTTATTATGTATTGATGTTTTAATTAATTGTTGAATTGTTTTTGTATTTTGTATTACTTGTCAATTGATTGGGCATCTAATTGTGCCTCCACTGTAAGCCGCCCTGAGTCCCCCCCCCCCCCCCGGGGTGAGAAGGGCGGGGTATAAGTAAGTGAAATAAATAAATAAATAAAATAGTTCACCTACAATCAAAGAGCATTCTGAACTCCACCAATGATGGAATTGAACCAAATATGGCACACAGAACTCCCACGACAAACAGAAAATATATATCAATGATTGGTTGAGGGGGCGCCAAAATACTGTTTGCTTGAAAATTACCTAGGGCCGCCTCTGGCAGCCCGCTTTCCCAACCATGGGCACAAGAGCCCAGGGAGCTGCGTGGAGGAGGCACGAACCTAGCTCTCCTCCTCCTCCTTCTCCTCCTCCTCCCCTCTTTTCTCGCACGCTCTCCTCCCTCCCTCCTTTGCCCAGCGCCCGCAGCCGGGATTTCAGTATTATGGCATTGAGGAAAATGGAGACCAAACTCATGATAACGTGTCTGAAAACCCTCATCATCATCTACTCAATTTTTGGGTGAGTGGCCCAACTGGTCCTCCGAGCAAGGGCAAAGCTTGGGACGTACCTGGAGACATGTCTTGCTGTGTGTGGTGGTGCCTCAAGAGCGCCCCTCGGGGATTTGCGCTATATGCAAATGCACATCTTGCCTATTGCTTCAACCGCCCCTGGGCCTAATCCCCTTGCTCTCAGGAAGACCCACCACCCACTGCATTGGCTTCCAAAGAGGAGCTGTGCCACAGCTACATGGTTGGTACGCCCCTCCATCTCCAGGCCACATCGGTGCCCAGGTAGAGCCTCTTGCAACACTTTAGGACCAAACTTTTGCATGCTTTGCCCAGTTCCCCACTTCACACCCAAGAGCCCATCCATCATCCACATCCAGAGCTGTATCCTGTGGCTTACTGGTCTCACAGAAGGCCCCAGTATAGCCTGAAGGGCACTTGCATCTCCCCACTTCTGGGTGGCAGGGGGCCTCGTTCTCACACTGGCACTGCTGGCTGCAGTTTGCCCCAAAGAACCCCGAAGGGCAGCCTGCAGAAATAGAAAGAGAAATAGAAAGGAAGAAGAGTTCCAGGCACAAGACAACCAAGACCACACAGCACCTAGGCTCAGCAAAGACATAAACACACCATATATACTTTTACCTTCAGTGTAAAAGGAAAGAGATGGAGATCCCCAACTCTGGATCTCCCTTCCTCAAGCCTCAGGAAGGGTAGTGCCACCTCTGAAGACCCTTTTTTATTTATTGACAGCATTTATATGCCGCCCTTCTCATCCCGAAGGGGATTCAGGGCGGATCACAGAATACATGCATGGCAAACATTCGACGTCGTTAAACAAACAGGACAGACAACAGATAGAGGTATTATGTCAGTATTTTCCCCCCAACTTCGGCATCCTGGAGGTTGTGCTTGATTCTGGCCACAGGGGGGTGATGTTGCTCTATGCTCTATGATGGAGAGCCTTGATAACAGACTTTCTCCTTTCTTTGATTGCCGGAATTTTCTGGTATCTCTTTTATGGTGCCATATAATACCTTCTCATTTAAGTGGTGCCTAATTTTTCTACTCACAGCTCACAGCTGTTTTCAAACTGCTTAGTTGGACAGTAAGATGAGCTGAAAATTGGGTGGTCACCCTGACCTGGGCTTCGAGCTGCCAACCTTTTGACTAGTAAGATATTTTACTGCTGGTGGTTAACTAGCTGTGTTAAAGCCCGGCCGTCCCCAATGGCCAGGACAGACAGGAGAGCCCCACAAATCCCTCAAACACAATTGCCATGGAGGCTCTTGGGATGTTCTTCAGGACTTAGTACCAAACCTAGGTGGGCAGTAAGCTGGGCTGAAGTTCAGGTGCTCACCCTGACCCGCGTTTTGAGCTGCCAACCTTTTGATTGGTAAGATGTATTGCTGCTGGTGATTAACCAGCTGTGCTAAAGCCCAGCCCTTCTCACTGGCAAGGACAGACAGGAGAGCCCCACAATTCCCTCAAACACATTTACCTTGGAGGCTCTTGGAACATTCTTCAAGGCTTAGTACCAAACTTAGGTGGGCATTAAGCTGGGCTGAAGCTCAGGTGCTCACCCTCACCCGGGCTTCGAGCTGCCAACCTTTCGATTGGTAAGATGTACTGCTGCTGGTGATTAACCAGCTGTGCTAAAGACCAGCCCTTCCCACTAGTGAGAACAGACAGGAGAGCCCCACAATTCCCTCAAACACATTTACCTAGGAAGCTCTTGGAACATTCTTCAAGGCTTAGTACCAAACCTAGGTGGGCAGTAAGCTGGGCTGAAATTTGGGTGCTCACCCTGACCTGGGCTTTCAGCTGCCAACCTTTCGATTGGTAAGATGTATAGTTGCTGATGATTAACCAGCTGTGCTAAAGCCCAGCCCTTCCCAGTGGCCAGGACAGACAGGAGAGCCCCACAATTCCCATTCCCTCAAACACATTCATTGTGGAGGCTCTTGAGATGTTCTTCAAGTCTCAGTACTAAACCTAGGTGGGTGGCAACATGGGGAGGCTGTGGCAAAGGTTTGTAGGACCACAAAGAACTTGAGGGATGCCCCACTTGGAGAACATGGATCAGCCTTCCAGTAGAAAGGAACAAGGGACCATTCAAGGAAACCCCGCCACAAACAATTCCAGGCCTAACCCTGGGCTGGAGAACTTACGCCTTGAGCAATCGCTGCCCACCCACCCGGGAGGACAATCGCAGGACCCATCCACAGGGTGGCAGATGGAATGGTTGACACACTTACAGAGCACCGAACACTTCTTGCCATAACGCCCAGGTTGGCAGGCTGCAGGGAGGGGAAGAAGAGAGAGATGTAAATCCGGAGAAAGGCAGGTCTTGAGAAGGTGCTCCTATTGGAAATCCCTTTTCAAAGGTGGCACCTGTGACTTACGGCGCTGGCAGGTTGGCCCTCGGAAGCCAGGGGTGCAGTCGCAGCTCCCATCTTTGGGGGAGCAAGAGGCCCCGTTCTTGCAGGAACACAGCTGGTTGCAATGTGGTCCCCACAGGCCCTCTCCGCAAGGCTTGCTGCAATGGAGCCCTGTGGGGACACAAACATCAGGTATATCTGCTCTGTCAGGATTATTGAAAGTATGCATGTATGTTTTTTCAATGTGTTTCAATATTTCAATGGTGTTCATATGTATTCAAAATGGATTCAGTTATGTTCAATTGTATGCTGGAATTGTTGTTGTGAGAGACAGAGAGGTACAGAGAGAAGAGACCTTGGCAGAAGTAAGATAACAAGTTCTCTCTGTCTGGGAAGAATTAGGGAGTAGCCGGCTTACAGCCAAAGTGAAACTGATAAGCAGATGTTCCGTAACTGTATTGCAGCTGTGCTTTGTAGTTCCTGATTAAACTCGCTTGGAAGTAGACGTGTATTAAAATGTGCTAAGTAAAACTTTGTTATTTTCAAGACTGGCAGACTGCAGTGTCCTGTTTTGTGTCTGTGTGATCTAGTAACCTCAACTCCGCTGCGCACAGACCCCAAGGTCTCATTCTGATATGCTCTTGGCCATGCCATCTCCTCTAGTCAGTCGAGCCAGGCAAAGAAGTTACCCCTTGAGGTGTAGGCATGTAAACTACACAGTATAAACAGACAAAACATCAAAATAGAGGAGGCTTGAGAAGATTGCTATCGCCAACAGCGGAGTCCCGAACCAATGCTGGCCAGGAAGGCTTCCAGAGAGTACTGCCTGTGTCTCACTCCTAGAAAGCAGACCCCCTAGTCTCTCACCCAGGTTTGGTGCGAGATGGACAAAGGCATATCTTACCTGTCCATCCAGGGAGGCACTGGCACTGTCCGGTGAGGGGGTCACAGCCTCCTGCATTCTGGCAGGTGCACTTGTTGCTGCAGTCCAGGCCAAAGAACCCATTCTGAAAGGAAGAAAAAGAGAGGGGGGAAAGGGTGCCAAGTTTGGTCCAGATCCATCATTGTTTGAGTCCACAGTGCTCTCTGGATGTAGGTGAACTACAACTCCAAAACTCAAGGTCAATGCCCACCAAACCCTTCCAATGTTTTCTTTTGGTCATGGGAGTTGTGTATGCCAAGTTTGGTTCCATTTCATCATTGGTGGAGTTCAGGATGCTCTTTGATTGTGGGTGGACTATCAATCCCAGCAGCTACAACTCCCATATGACAAAATCAATCCCACCTATCTCCACCAGTATTCAAATTTGGGGATATTAGGTATTTGTGCCAAATTTGATCCAGTGAATGAAAATATCAGATATTTACATTACAGTTCATAACAGTAGCAAAATCACAGATGTGAAGTTGGGGGTCACCACAACATGAGGAACTGTATTAAGGGGTCACAGCATTAGGAAGGTTGAGAAACACTGGACTACATGGACCATCTAGTCCAACCCCCTGCCATGCAGGAAAAGCGCAATCAAAGCACCCCCGATAGATGGCCACTGTGGTGAGGGAGGGAGACTATTTTCTTATTTAAAAAAAACTTCTTTGCTGCCTTATACTGATTCAGTTTCTTCTTTTGTATTGGCTGGGACTTTCTGTGTGCTGTTAAACCTTTGTGCTTTATGTCACAAGCAATGAAACACTCTTGTATATAACCAAGTAACACAGTTTATTTATAACTTCTGGTTCCAATGCTTGTGGTTACATTTGTGTTTTGTTGCAATCTTGAGGCTTACAGTCAGTATCATTTACTTGGTTTACTTTTCTGAATAAATTTTCAATGTTTCACATTCACAAACATGTTACTTGCTTTACACACTCTTGGCTGAATTATATTCTGACTCAGGCAACACTAGCCTTCTTTATATTCCTTAAAACTCGAGGTCTATTTTAACTAACTGCTTCTCTATATCAGAAGTCTTTAACACATCTTCATAACTGCTTATTTCTAACAGGCACTTAAAAACCAACTCTCCTCTTCACACACCGATTCCTAACTGTCATTTTCAAACTCTCTCACTCTATCTGCCTCTTTCAAAACCTTGGCTCCGTCCCTTTGGAATGTTCAGCACTCTCTCTCCAACTGTCATTTTGGCCTAGCAGCCTTTTCAAATCCTAGGCCTATGCTAATCTGCATATGACCAATCGGCTTCACATATGCAAATGAATCCTATCTCTGCTGTTGCTACCCTGTCTGTACCTATTCTTCCCTATCTGCCATATGTAAACATAGAGCTATACACCAAAACTTTAACACAGAGTAACAATTTCACTACAGCCACCCATTCAAAGAAAGGAGCTTCCACCACACTCCAAGGCAGAGGGTCCCACTGTTGAACTGCTCTTCTTACAGTCTTAAGCCTCCAAGGAAGTAGCTTCCACTACACTCCATGGCAGGGAGTTCCACCACTGAACAGCACTTACTGGGCACGGATCCTGGCACTTGCTGCCATGCCAGCCTGGGGCACATGTGCACCTGCCACTGACAGGGTTGCATGTGGCTCCGTTGGCACACTGGCAGGTCTCGTTGCAGCTGATGCCCCAGGTTCCCGCAGGGCAGGGGAGGGAACAGTCCGCTCCTTGCCAACCTGGAGAGAGGAAGAGGAGGTTCTCAGCAAGGCAGGCTTCTGAGGCAGAGGGTGAGGAAACAACTATTTCAAGAAAAGCAGAAGAATGGCCTAGTGCTCCACCAAATGCTTCACAGGTGACACTTTGGATAGCTTAAGCAGGAACCCTAAGGCGTTGTTCTGCCAGCACATTGCCCCCCGATCCAATTCTTCTGCCCCTTGGGGTATTCTTTACCTTCCTTGCAGACACAGGTCCCATCCACAGGAGAGCAGGCCAAGGCATTCTGGCAAGTGCAGTGTTGGGAGCAGTTCAGGCCGTACGAGTCAGACAGGCAGCGACTGGAACAATGCTTGTCCTGTGAAATGAGCAGAGAGAGGATTCTGACCAAGGGGTGAATGTAAATAGAAGAGAGGGAAATGTATAGTATATGTCTATATGACTGTATTCTCTCTTCTCAAATAAAAATTTAATTAAAAAAGAAAAAAGAAAGGTCATCCCTGCCATTGAGCTCAAACTATTGTTTTTTTCTAACAGCAAGCTATGTGACTGGGTAATATGCATGGTTAGGTACCGTCGGAATCTTCGTAATTCGGAATAAAGTTGGAAAAATTACCTTTTTGAAGCAATTTCGAAGTTTTTAAGAAAACCGAAGTCCCTTTGCCCTTCCGAAGCTTTTTCCACCATTTTTGTTATGACTCATGAAGTGAGTTGGAAATGATTCAGCTTTTCCCTTGCTCCTGGTCCCTGGCCTCGGCTCAAGCCAGAGAAGCCAGTTTTAAACCAGAGAAGGAAGGAATTTCCTCCGCTTGCTTTTCCCCGCTTTTGGTCCCTGGCCTCGGCTCAAGCCAGAGAAGTTTTAAACCAGAGAAAGAAGGAATTTCCTGGCCTCGGCTCAAGCCAGAGAAGCCAGTTTTAAAGCCAGAGAAGCCAGTTTTAAACCAGAGAAGGAAGGAATTTCCTCCATTTGCTTTTCCCCACTTCTAGTCCCTCGCCTCGGCTCAAGCCAAAGAAGCCAGTTTTAAACGAGAGAAAGAACGAATTTCCTGGCCTCGGCTCAAGCCAGAGAAGCCAGTTTTAAACGAAAGAAGGAATTTCCTGGCCTCGGCTCAAGCCAGAGAAGCCAGTTTTAAACCAGAGAAAGAAGGAATTTCCTGGCCTCGGCTCAAGCCAGAGAAGCCAGTTTTAAACCAGAGAAAGAAGGAATTTCCTGGCCTCGGCTCAAGCCAAAGAAGCCAGTTTTAAACCAGAGGAAGAAGGAATTTCCTGGCCTCGGCTCAAGCCAGAGAAGCCAGTTTTAAACCAGAGAAAGAAGGAATTTCCTGGCCTCGGCTCAAGCCAGAGAAGCCAGTTTTAAACCAGAAAGAAGGAATTTCCTGGCCTCGGCTCAAGCCAGAGAAGCCAGTTTTAAACCAGAGAAGGAAGGAATTTCCTGGCCTCGGCTCAAGCCAGAGAAGCCAGTTTTAAAGCCAGAGAAGCCAGTTTTAAACCAGAGAAGGAAGGAATTTCCTCCACTTGCTTTTCCCCGCTTCTGGTCCCTGGCCTCGGCTCAAGCCAGAGAAGCCAGTTTTAAACCAGAGAAGGAAGGAATTTCCTGGCCTCGGCTCAAGCCAGAGAAGCCAGTTTTAAAGCCAGAGAAGCCAGTTTTAAAGCCAGAGAAGCCAGTTTTAAACCAGAGAAGGAAGGAATTTCCTCCGCTTGCTTTTCCCCACTTCTAGTCCCTGGCCTCGGCTCAAGCCAAAGAAGCCAGTTTTAAACCAGAAAAGGAAGGAATTTCCTGGTCTTGGCTCAAGCCAGAGAAGCTAGTTTTAAAGTCAGAGAAGCCAGTTTTAAACCAGAGAAGGAATGAATTTCCTGGCCTCAGCTCAAGCCAGAGAAGCCAGTTTTAAACCAGAGAAGGAAGGATTTTCCTCCACTTGATTTTCCCCACTTCTGGTCGCTGGCCTCAGCTCAAGCCAGAGAAGCCAGTTTTAAAGCCAGAGAAGCCAGTTTTAAACCAGAGAAGTAAGGAATTTCCTCCACTTGCTTTCCCCCTGCTTTGGGAGTAAAACAACTAGTTTCAAAGTAAAGACTACCCAATGAAACAGGAAATAACACTTTCAAACCATTAAGGAAAGGATTCGGAAGTCGTGGAAGTTTTGAAAAGTTTTGAACATTGTTTTCTGTGAAAATCGGAATTGACTTTAGAATCAAACCACCAATGCCCCTACATCCGAAACGGGTTTTGAACCATTGTTTTGGATCAACCAAGCCTACTGGGTAAGTCAAGTTTTATCCTTTTAATCTTTGTATCACAAGTTTGAGAGCTAGTATGAGTTTAACATGAATCCCCTGCAACCAGCTGGCACATATTCTACTCATTGAATAATAAGTAGAATAACAAGTAGATGAGGGCCTTGAGGCCACAGTCAAGAAGGACTCACCGTGAAGCCTGCCGGGCATTGGCAGAGCCCCGTCTCGCTGTCGCACACTCCCCCATTGAGGCACAAGCAGGGCTCCTGGCAACCCAGGCCATAGTAGCCAGGGGGGCAGGTCTCGTTGCAGTGGAGTCCGGCCCAGCCTGGCTTGCAGGTGCATTCACCCGAGAGTGGGTGGCAACTGTGAAGGCAAGGAGAGGCCATATGGCGGTTAGTTGAGAGAAAGAAGTGTGGCAGAGAGAAGCCAATCCACACTGAGTGACTGCCTAGTTTCACAAGACCTCTCCCTTCATCTCCTATAACTTGCCCACAGAGGGAGACTGTTGTGACTCCGCTTGACTCTGAGTCTGGAGCTGAGCTGTTTGGGCCTTCTGAGCCTGATTTTGGGCCTTCTGAGCCCGATTTCCTGCAGGATGACGAGGAGGCTGATGGGTTACAGTTTCCTGTACATGTTTCAGACGGGGGTGATAGTGTGGCTGCTGAAGGAGAAACAACAAGTCAGTTCCCCAAGGAAGGGAATGTTTCTGCAGTTAGAGAGACTGCTAGCGAGAGTGAAATCCCACACGGCCAGGTGAAGGACCCAGATAAGGGGTTGCATAGCCTTGCAGATAATGAATTAATGAGCAGCCAAGATCATTTGCAATCAAGGCTTTGGAGAAGCACTCGCTTGGCCAGCAAGCGAGAAGCCAAAGGTGTCCAAGGTCAACGTAATGCTTTCATGTTCGCAAAGGGTATTTAGTAGCTGACAGGCAGTTGTTGTCAGTCCAACATTGCTCTTCCCATGTTAACTTCTGGGGATTTTCCTTGGTTTTTTGCAGCACGCTTCTGGCTTCCTGAGTCTGGGATTTGGGTTTGTTTTCAACTGTTTACCATGGACTTTTGTTTGACCATTGCTAAGGGATTATGCTTCATGTTTTTGCCTTTGGATCTTGGGAACTTTGCCTTTACATTTAAGTCTCTGTTTTGCCTATGCAACTATTGCATTTCTATTTCTTTGTTTTGATTTTGCTTTTCTCAATAAACTACAAAAACCTACAGCCTTGATGTGGTGGTGTCTAGAGCAAGGTGAAAACTAGGCCTGGGTAACAACGGAAAAATTTGTTTCTAAAATCGATTCGTTTTTTGGGGTTTTTTGCGTTTCGTTATTTAAAATAATTACAAAATTTTCCTTTAAAAAAGTTCGATATTTACGAAATTTCGTAAATGTGAAAAAAATTACAAAACATTAACGAATCGATTTCCGAAACAATAACGAATCGATTCGTTAATGGCGGACGCGACCGCGAAATACGCTAAAAAACCTCCAAAAACTTCTGAAGCTTCCCTCTCCCTCTGTTGTTGACTGTTGGTGTGATATTATAATTTTTTCACTAATTAAACAAAAAACAACCATAAAACTTGCCCCAGACATGCGGAAATAATAACGAAACGACCTCAAAACAATAACGAAACGAATACAATAACGAAATACGAAGCATTTACAAAACTATTTAAAAATTCGTTTTTTAAAAAAATTGCTCCAGAATGGTTCGTTATCGTTTTGTAATTGAAAAAATTAACGAATTATTAACGAATTACGAATTAACAAAACGAAACCGCCCAGCCCTAGTGAAAACCACCCTGAGTTGCAACAGAGACTGTGCCACTGGGTGGCAGCCTTGGGCATTCATGTCCTACGGGATCCAACTTTGGCTCCATGGCTTGAGAACCCATTGAGTTCTCAAGGACAAGCCCAGAAAGCAATTGGAGGTTCCTTATGAAAACATCTGCCCAAGGAGGAGAGGATGGTTACCTACCTATGTGTGTGCCCAGGGTGGCAGAGGCAAGGCAAGTGGCATCCCAAGCCATAGAAGCCATCTGAGCACGTGCGGTCCTGGCAGCGGCTGCCAAAGAAACCTGCTTCACACAGGCAGGCCCCATTGATGTGGAAGCAGCGCCCACCGTTGACACAGTCACAGGTGTGCTGGCAGTCCTGCCCATACCTGCCAATGGGGCACTGCTCCCGGCACCTGTGTAGAAGGAGAGAAAGGGGTGAAGAAGGGAGATGGAGTGGGAAGAAAGCTGTTCCAGGCAGGACTCTCTAACCAAAGATTTGTCCATGTTAGAAGCTACTCTTTGGGATCAGTTAGTTTGTGGAACTGGCCAAAGGCTGAGTCTAGGACCGGAGAGGTCTTCAAACTGTTGAATCTGCTGATCTAAAGGTTGGCAGCTTGAAGCTGTGGGTCAGGGTGATTTGGTCCAAAGGTCCCTTGGCCAAAGCTCTGGGACATACTCCTGCCTCTACCAGATTCTACTCACTGGTCTCCCATGTAGCCAGGGGCACACTGGCACTGCCCGGAGCCACGGTCACACTGGCCGCTGTTGTGGCACTGGCACTCGCCCTGGCAGCTGGATCCAAAGTACCCTTCAGGGCAGGGGATGGAGCAGATGGGACCCTGCAGAGAGGAGAGGGAGGTGAAAGGCAAGAGTACACCCAAACACAAAAACACATGAACACACACACGGGATATCCGCTTAGAGCAGTGGTTCCCAACCTTTTTCTTTTTCTTTTAACCAGCGACCACTCCCCAACATTAGTACTAAAAGGGTTACCAATTAGTTCTTGGTCGACTTTAGATTTGGTTTGGTTATCAGGGGTGCCGATTCAGAAAATTGCCTTGGATAGACCACATCAGCTCTAGTTTTGGATACAGAACATATGCCAATCAGTAGTTGCCATCTGCTCACCCACAGAAAACCATATTTAATAATCTACAGCTGATGTGGTCATCTTTCGTGGGTAGTCAGCCTCTCCCCTCCTGACATCACCATTGCGTTGGCACTATAAGAGGTTTTCGTGAGACCAGTCTCTCTAGTTGCCATGTTGATTCAAGGCAACAGTGTAGTAATGGTGAAGCCGCAGACCAAAATGATCAAGGGTCTGGAGAACAAGCCCCATGAAGAGCGGCTTAAAGAGCTGGGCATGTTTAGCCTGAAGAAGAGGAGGCTGAGAGGAGATATGATAGCCATGTATAAATATGTGAGAGGAAGTCACAGGGAGGAGGGAGCAAGCATGTTTTCTGCTTCCCTGGAGACTAGGATGTAGAACAATGGCTTCAAACTACAAGAAAGGAGATTCCATCTGAACATGAGGAAGAACTTCCTGCCTGTGAGAGCCGTTCAGCAGTGGAACTCTCTGCCCTCCAGTGGAGGCTCCTTCTCTGGAAGCTTTTAAGCAGAGGCTGGATGGCCATCTGTCAGGGGTGCTTGGAATGCAATATTCCTGCTTCTTGGCAGGGGGTTGGACTGGATGGCCCATGAGGTCTCTTCCAACTCTAGGATTCTATTTTTTTTCATGTCAGGAGCAACTTGAGAAACTGCAAGTCGCTTCTGGTGTGAGAGAATTGGCCGTCTGCAAGGACGTTGCCCAGTGGACGCCTGGATGATTTGATGCTTTTACCATCCTTGTGGGAGGTTTCTCTCATGTCCCCGCATGAGGAGCTGGAGCTGATAGAGGGAGCTCATCCACCTCTCCCTGGATTCGAACCTGTGACCTGTCGGTTTCCAGTCCTGCCGGCACAGGGGTTTAACCCACTGTGCCAGCGGGGGCTCCTACGATTCTAGGATTCTATGATTCTTGTGGACCATTAAGTAAATAATGGGGGTTCATCCGGGATTCGGAAAGGAAGTCCCTCATTTTGTCCTTCCGAATGTAAACAAAGGCTTAGGTGGCTGAGGGGGGAAAGGGCCCAAAGCTATTAGGAATTGTGGGAGTTGAAGTCCAAAACACCTGGAGGGCCCAAGTTTGCCCATGTCTGGGATAAAGGCTGCAGTATGAGCTGTCTGTCTTGCTGTAGGCGGTACAAATGGACATACATACCATCCACCCAGGAGGGCAGGCGCAGTTGTGACTGTCTTCGGGGTGGCAGATTCCTCCGTTCTGACAGGGGCAGTGGGCTGGGCACTGGAGTCCGTTGGTGCTATTGAAGCAGGGCAGCTCACAGCTGGAAGAGACAAGTGTTGGAGGAATGGGAAGTCAGTCCCAAAGAGAGGGGTGGGCCCCATGTGCAAACACACCAAATGCTAACTGTGCCTGAGTGCGCTGAGTTTGAGCAGTGAATATGGGGAGCTGCAAGCAACAAGCTTTGTTTTCTTGGGACAGTAGGCACTTGAGCAATTGGCCTGCCTTTGGAAGCACTCTTAATGCTGACAATTGTGGAAACCTCAGATTAGACAAGAGCAGACTTTTGGATCCTGACTTTCATAACAATCTGACTCTTGCAGCAAAGGCAGCTTGTTCCCCTACCACGTCATTCGTTGAGTGTTTATCTTTGGGTATTTTGATTAATCGCAGTCGCAAGGCCGAACAGGGTATAGGGTTACAGCCTGTGCTGGATGGGGTCGCACTCCCCTTGAAGGCGCAGGTTCACAGCTTGGGTGTGATCCTGGATTCATCGTTGAGCCTGGATCCCCAGGTTTCAGCGGTGACCAGGGGAGCATTTGCACAGCTCAGGCTCGTGCGCCAGCTGCGCCCGTACCTCGGGAAGTCTGACTTGGCCACGGTAGTACACGCTCTGGTCACATCCCGCCTTGACTACTGCAACGCTCTCTACGTGGGGCTGCCCTTGAAGACGGCCCGGAAGCTCCAGCTAGTCCAGCGCGCGGCAGCCATGTTACTAACAGGAGCGGGACGCAGGGAGCATACAACGCCCTTGTTGTCCCAGCTCCACTGGCTGCCGATCTGCTACCGGGCCCAATTTAAGGTGCTGGTGTTGGCCTACAAAGCCCTAAACGGTTCCGGCCCAAAATACCTTTCTGACCGCATCTCGGCCTATGAGCCCACGAGGGACTTGAGATCGTCCGGGGAGGCCCTTCTCTCGATCCCGCCTGCCTCACAGGCACGCCTGGCGGGGACGAGGGATAGGGCCTTCTCGGTGGTGGCCCCCCGGCTGTGGAACACCCTTCCTGTGGACATCAGACTGGCACCCTCCCTTATGACATTCCGCAAGAGACTAAAGACGTGGTTGTTTGAGAAGGCGTTTGAGTAGTGTGGCAACAATTGGCAATGACGATTGGAACGGAACATGGATAACGAGATTTGGATTGTGGTTCAACGATGAGACGTCGCGAATGACTTATTTTAATTGTATTATTGATATTGATGTTGTTTAATGTTGTTTTTGATATTGCTAGTTGATGTTGGCTTATGTTGTAAATTGCACCTGATTTTACATGTTGTACACCGCCGTGAGTCGCCCCAGGGCTGAGAACGGCGGTCTATAAGCGCAGTAAATAAATAAGTAAATAAATAATCCCACCCAGAGGAGAGTTTTGGCGACTGCAAGATATTTTAAATTGTATCAAAATGCGTTCAATGTTAGCTGCTTTGAATCTCATTGTGGAGAGAAAAGTGGGATATAAACAAACATACTACTGAAGTTGAACATGAACCCCCCCCCCCCCAAGAGATAGTAACATAGTTTTGCTAAGGGCAAGGACACCAGACTGGATAATAAGGGTTAAGCCTTGGTCAAATTGGTGTGTATCATTTAATCAAGGCTTTATGCCCTATTTTCATATGTTTATAGCAGAAGGTAACCAATTTATTACTGAAAATCATGCCACAAAATTATTTGAATTTTTCCATCTGAGGCACACCTGGGCTCCTGATGGTCCCCATCTCACAAACAAGGGACTCTCTTTCCCCCTCATGGAGAAATTTCCCTTTATGGACCTTCCTATGAATAATATGAACTATGGACACTGGGGGAGGGTTTGTTGTTGTTCATTCGTTCAGTCGTCTCCGACTCTTCGTGACCTCATGGACCAGCCCACGCCAGAGCTCCCTGTTGGCCGTCACCACCCCCAGCTCCCTCAAGGTCAGTCCAGTCACTTCAAGGATGCCATCCATCCATCTTGCCCTTGGTCGGCCCCTCTTCCTTTTGCCTTCCACTTTCCCAGCATAGTTGTCTTCTCTAGGCTTTCCTGTCTCCTCATGATGTGGCCAAAGTACTTCAACTTTGTCTCTAGTCTCCTTCCCTCCAGTGAGCAGTCGGGCTTTATTTCCTGGAGGATGGACTGGTTGGATCTTCTCGCAGTCCAAGGCACTCTCAGAACTTTCCTCCAACACCACAGCTCAAAAGCATCGATCTTACTTCGCTCAGCCTTCCCTAAGGTCCAGCTCTCACATCCGTAGGTGACTACAGGGAATACCATGGCTTTGACTAGGCGGATCTTTGTTGCCAGTCTGATGTCTCTACTCTTTACTATTTTATCGAGACTGGACATTGCTCTCCTCCCAAGAAGGAAGCGTCTTCTGATTTCCTGGCCACAGTCTGCATCTTCAGTAATCTTTGCACCTAGAAATACAAAGTCTGTCACGGCCTCCACGGTTTCTCCCTCTATTTTCCAGTTGTCAATCATTCTTGTTGCCATAATCTTGGTTTTTTTGACGTTTAGCTGCAACCCGGCTTTTGCGCTTTCTTCTTTCACCTTGATTAGAAGGCTCCTCAGCTCCTCCTCGCTTTCGGCCATCAGAGCGGTGTCATCTGCATATCTGAGGTTGTTAATGTTTCTTCCAGCAATTTTCACCCCAGCTTTGCATTCATCCAGCCCCGCACATCGCATGATGTGTTCTGCATACAAGTTAAAAAGGTTGGGTGAGAGGATGCAGCCTTGCCGTACGCCTTTCCCAATCTTGAACCAGTCTGTTGTTCCGTGGTCAGTTCTGACTGTTGCTCCTTGGTCCTTGTACAGATTCCTCAGGAGAGAGGGAAGGTGGCTTGGGATGCCCATCCCACCAAGAACTTGCCACAATTTATTATGATCCACACAGTCAAAGGCTTTAGAATAGTCAATGAAGCAGAAGTAGATGTTTTTCTGAGACTCCCTGCCTTTCTCCATTATCCAGCGGATATTGGCAATCTGGTCTCTCGTTCCTCTGCCTTTTCTAAACCCAGCTTGAACATCTGGCAACTCTCTATGTATTGCTGGAGTCTTCCTTGCAGGATCTTGAGCATTACCTTACTGGCATGAGAAATAAGGGCCACTGTACGGAAGTTGGAGCAGTCTTTCGCATTTCCCTTTTTTGGTATGGGGATATAAGTTGATTTTTTCCAGTCTGATGGCCATTTTTGTGTTTTCCATATTTGCTGGCAAATGGCATGCATCACCTTGACAGCATCATCTTTTAAGATTTTAAACAGTTCAGCTGGGATCCCGTCGTCTCCTGCTACTCTCTGTATTATGATATCTATATTTTCATATTTTCTCCTGTATTTCTATATTTTCCTTCACGTATTTCACCTTGCCCTAACCCTTTTGCCCCCTTCCCTTCTCCTTGAGGAAAATGTATAAGGAAGTTGCCCTGCCTTTGCAAAAAGCAATTAGCGATTGTGAAGACCCTTATCTCAGAACATTTCTTGCATGGAAAATTAACAAAGAATTATTTTCTTGACTTCGGCATCGGGCCATCAAGAAGATAATCATTTGGCAGACTTTTTAATCACATTACAATGGGGGAAAACAAGGACCTTCGGGAAGTCCTCTTCCCCCAACCCGTTTTCTTTCAAGCCTTTCCATTAAATACATTCACCCAAAATCTCCCCCACTGTGCCCCTGCCTGACCGCAAGAGGAAAACCCGGATTAAGTGCTTATCTCAGATCAACTACGACACAATAGACATGTTTCGCTTGAAGGCCATTTAGGACTTGCTGAGCCACATGGACATTTCCTGAGTTCCATAATCCATTCAATAATGCATTGTATTCCCTTGTCCCACCTCCCGCCCTCCTGATTCGTCGACGCGCCAAGGCGGCAGGAGCCCTGTGATTGGCCGAGGCACTCGAGGGGCAGACAAGCCTCCTCCCAGTTGTTGAGGCGGCGGGGGGGGGGGGATTCAAACCCCACATTCTGTTTTTTTTTATAAAAATGGCATTTATTTCTGTACACCTGTTCTCGCCGCCTACTGTTTTGTTATTGTTATTTTTAAAGCTAATTGTATTGTTTTAATCTGCTTCTGTAAACCTCTCCGAGCCAAATTGGGAGTAGCGGTATACAAGTTAAATAAATAAATAAAATAAATACATGTATGCTTAGCTTGGTGAATGATTGCTGCTTTGCATCCTTTTCAGCTGAATTGCTAATAAATATCTCGGTGGCACTTTCTTCAACTTTGGTGAGATTCTTTTTGGGAACTTAGGGAAAATAAATTGCTTAAAATTAGGCTTCTCTTTGCTCACCAACGTAGCGATCCCCCTTTGATGGGGCCGCAGGGCCTCTCCTCCTGGGGTAGACTATTCTAAAGTTCCTATCGACTTCACTACTACTATTATTTCAGCTTGAGGATGTCATTCAGGCCTGAACATGGATGGACAGGGGGCCTGCCCTATAACTGCAAACAGGACTGCTGGGCCCCCAGCCTGTGCTTGTGTCCGTTACTTACTGAGGTCCAGTGTATCCCTGAGAGCAGAGGCAGGCTCCTGTGGCCCCATCGCAGTTGGATCCGTTCTCGCAGCGACAAACAAGAAGGCAGCTGGGGCCATAGGTGCCCTGGGCACAGGGTTCTTGGCAAAAGGAACCCTTGTAACCTGGTGGACAGGAGCAGGTCCCGGTCAGAGGGTCACAGCTGCCCCCATTCAGACACGTACAGGAATTCTCACAGTGGGGGCCCCATAAGAGGTTGCTGCATTCTGGAAGAAAGGAAGGAAAGAAGAGCCTCTGAAATGGAGAACACATAGGAAGCTTCTGCTGGGCAGGTGAACATCAAAACTACAATATAATGATCTAGTACAATATAGTAATATATAATACTGATATTGTCCTATGCTAATCTATATATATATATAAATGCACTGTGCATAATGAGTACCTTAAAAACCAAAGAACCAATGAACGAAATCACACCAAATTTGGCAACAAAACGTCTCACAACACAAGGAGTGACCATCACTCAAAAAAATATGATTTTTTCATAATCCCAAACTCAAGGTCAATGCCCACCAAATCCTTCCAGTATTTTCTGTTGGTCATGGGAGTTCTGTGTGCCAAGTTTGGTTCAATTCCATCCTTGGTGGAGTTCAGAATGCTCTTTGATTGCAGGTGTACTATACATTCCAGCAAATACAACTCCCAAATGTCAAGGTCTATTTTCCCCCAAACTACACCAGTGTTCACATTTGGGCATAATAAGTATTTGGGCCATGTTTGGACCAGATCAATCATTGTATTGCTGAAGGCTTTCATGGCCGGAATCACTGGGTTATTGTAGGTTTTTTCGGGCTATATGGCCATGGTCTAGAGGCATTCTCTCCTGATGTTTTGCCTGCCCAGAGGACCTCACGACCTCTGAGGATACTTGCCATAGATGCAGGCAAAATGTCAGGAGAGATTGCTTCTAGACCATGGCCATATAGCCCGAAAAACCTACAACAACCCAGATCAATCATTGTTTGAGTCCACAGTACTCTCTGGATGTAGGTGAACTACAATTCAAAAACTCAAGGTCAATGCCCACCAAACGTTTCCAGTATTTTCTGTCGGTGAGCTCTGTGTGCCAAGTTTGATTCAATTCCATCATTAGTGGAGTTCAGAATGCTCTTTGATTGTGGGTGGACTATCAATCCCAGCAACTACAACTCTCAAAATCAATTCGTCTGAACCCCACCAGCATTCAAATTTGGTCGTAGAATCAAAGAGTTGGAAGAGACCTCATGGGCCATCCAGTCCAATCCCCTGCCAAGAAGCAGGAATATCGTATTGGGTATTTGTGCCAAATTTGGTCCAGTGGATGAAAATACACCCTGCATTTCAGATATTAGGGCTGGGCGGTTTCGTTCGTTAATTTCATAATTCGTTATTAATTCGTTATTTTTTTTGATAACAAAGCGATATTGAACCATTCAGGAGCAACTAAAAATCGAAACGAATTTATCAATTCGTTTCGTAATTGTTTCGTATTTGTTTCGAAATCGTTTCGAAATCGTTTCATTATTATTTCCGCATGTCTGGTGCAAGTTTTATAGTTGTTTGTTTTATCAGTGAAAAAAAATATAATTATCACACCAACAGTCAACAACAGAGGGAGAGGGAAGCTTCAGAAGTTCCCCCTGTCCCATTTGGAGGGTTTTTTAGCGTATTGCGCAGTCGCGTCCGCCATTAACGAATCGATTCGTAATTGTTTCGTAATTGTTTCGTAATTTCCGAAATTTCGTAAATTTCAAACTTTTTTAAAGAAAAAATTCGGAATTCTTTTAAAAATCGAAACGCAAAAACCCCCTAAAAACGAATCGAGTTTAGAAACAATTTTTTCCGTGGTTGCCCAGCCCTATCAGATATTTACATTACAGTTCATAACAGTAGCAAAATCATTGTTGTGAAGTAGGAACAAACATAATTTTATGGTTGGGTGTCACCACAACATGAGGAACTGTATTAAGGGGTCACAGCATGAGGAAGATTGAGATACACTGCATTAGAGGGGAAAATCTCAGGGATTTCAGGGCATTCATCTGGAGAGGCCCTGCTCACGATCTCACCTGCATCGCAAGCGCGATTGGTGGGGACGAGGGACAGGGCCTTTTCGGTGGTGGCCCCACAACTCTGGAATTCCCTCCTCAAGGACATCAGGCAAGCCCCAACATTGGCAGTCTTTAGAAGGAGCTTGAAAACGTGGATGTTCCAGTGTGCCTTCCCAGAATAAGGAATCCTAAGCAATATGTCCCAAATGCACTTTATGAGAGACTTAGAATTGTCTGCACGCCCACCTATCTCTAAAATATCCATCCTATTTCCCTTGGACATGCCCAGCATTTTTAATTTTAATCCTTGCACTTGGCCCTGCCACAGATTTTTAAATGCATCATGTCATTATTGTATTGTTTTTTGCTTTGTTATGAGTTATTTATTGTTGTATTGTTGTTTTTATAATGTATTTGGGCTCGGCCTTTTGTAAGCCGCACTGAGTCCTGCGGGAGATGATAGCGGGGTATAAATAAAGGTTTATTATTATTATTATTATTATTATTATTATTATTATTATTCCCCAACTTAGCCAGGGCCTGGCTCCTCTCCATGTCCTAAGAGCAAACTACCCTTCCGTCACCCCGTCTCCTCGTTCTCCTTTACGCAGACGTCATCCCCTATTCCTTGCCCCATCCAGAGTGTTTATTTCCCAGGCACTGACCTGCCATAAACCCTAAGCCCAGAGGGATGTTTCCTCTGCGTGGGAACCCGCTGCCTCTACCAAGACCCTCAGAGGAGGAGGGGTTGGCGTCGTCTTCGGGCAGCCCACAATGTGGCAAAACATGTGGAATGTGTATATGTCGGAGAAAGAGGGAGAGAACACACACATACCAAATGGGAAGGAACTCTTTCCCAATCCATGGTTGAAGCTTTCATGTGCTACCAATCAAGGAATGGAAGATGGGGTTTTAGTTTATTTACAACTAGCTGTACCCGCCACGCGTTGCTGTGGCCAACCTTCCCTCCCTCTTTCTCTCCTTCTTCCCTCTTTCCTTCCTTTCCTCTTTTTCTTTCCCTATCTCTCATCTTTCTTCCATCTCTACCTGTTTCTTTCCTCCCTTTCTTTGCTCTTTGGTTACATCCTTCCTTCCTTCCTTCCTTCCTTCCTTCCTTCCTTCCTTCCTTCCTTCCTTCCTTCCCTATCTTTCGTTCCTTCTCTCCTTTCTTCCCTCTCTTTTTCCTTTCACTTTTTTATTTCCTTCTCTCCTTCCTTGCTTCTCTATCTTTCTTTCCTTCTTTCCCTCCCTCTTTCTCTCCCTCCTTCCTTCCCTCTTTCCCTCCTTCTCTTGTTACTTCTTGACTGTCCTTTCCATTTAATATTGTATTTATATCTTACATAGAATGAAGGAAAGGAAGGAAGGAAGGAAGGAAGGAAGGAAGGAAGGAAGGAAGGAAGAAAAAGGAAGGCAGGATGGATGGATGGAAGGAGGGAAGAAAGGAAAAAAGGAAGGAATGAAGAAATGAAGGAAGAGAAGGAAGGAGGAAGAAGGAGGGAAAGAAAGGAGGGGGGGAAGAAAGGAGGGAGGGAAGGAAATGAAGGGAAGGAAATGAAGAAAGGGAAAGAAGGAGGAAAGGGAGGGAGGGAGGAAAAGAAGGAAAGGAAGGAGGGACAGGAAGGAGGGAAGGAGAGAAAGAAGGAAAGGAAGGAAGGAAGGAAAGGGAAAGAAGGGAAGGGAGGGAGAGAAGGAAGGTCCTTCATTCAAGCACTGTGGACCTTCCTCCTCCTCCTCCTCCTCCTCTCCTTCTTCCTTGCGTGGAGCACTCCGTTGCTGCTGCTGGCACTTTCCAACAGGGAAAGGAGGAGGAGACTGCTCTCCTGACATAGGAGGGGAAGAGAAGGGGCTCCATGCAGCAAGCCTCCACCTCCACTCCACTCGCTTGTGTGTGTGTGTGTGTGTGTGTGTGTGTGTGTGTGTGTGGCCATTCACGTGCTGTTTCCCCACGAGGAGGAGGGGGGCATGGCCAGAGGCGGCCCTAGGTAATTTTCAATGGTAAGCAAACAGTATTTTGGCGCCCACCCCTCAACCAATCACTGATATATATTTTCTGTTCATCGAGGGAGTTCTGTGTGCCACATTTGGTTCAATTCCATCATTGGTGGAGTTCAGAATGCTCTTTGATTGTAGGTGAACTATACATCCCAGTAACTACACTTGCCGCACTTCCTCCCTTGCCTGGCCCGCTTTGGGTCTGGAGGCGTGCCTGAAGACCCCGCGTGTGCACCAAAAGTCACCTCTTCTCCTGACTTTCTCCTCAGCCATTGGGACCAAGAGAGAGAGAGAGAGAGAGGTGGAGATGCCACCTTTCCTGAAGGTAGGCGCAAAAACAAAGGAGGGAGCGGAGGTGGGAGATACCTCCAGCCGGAGGGGCTCTCTCTCTCTCTTGGTCCCAATGGCTGAAGAGAAAGTCAGGAGAAGAGGCGACTTTTGGTGCGCACACTGGGGTCTTCAGACACGCCTCTGGACCCGAAGCGGGCCAGGCGTGGCAGCTCCGCCCCTTGGCCCACTTGCGGATTGGGGAGAGGAGAGGAGGCGGGTGGAGCACCGGGGGATCAGGAAAGGGAGCCAGTCATGGGGAAGGGATCAAATGTGGAGAACGATTGAGCACTGGCTTTGCTCGCGCACCCGGTGGCCAGGTGGAGCAGGAACGAGAAGGGCTAGGCGAGGCTCAAGGGCCCGGCCCCTTTGGGAAGAGGTTCGCCCGGCAGCGAGGCAAGAAAACCGAGGCTCCCGCCGGACTGCTAGGGCTGTTGTGAGCTGAGGGGGCGCTCCTCAAGTGGTGGTCGAGGGGCATTTAAAGAGGCGCCTATGCGCCCCTGGCAAAAAAAAGTGTTCTGCGACCGCTTACTTCGCATAATGGACGAGCCGCCCCTGGGCATGGCCATTAGGCCTGGGTAACAACGGAAAAATTTGTTTCTAAACTCGATTTGTATTTGGGGGTTTTTTTTGTTTCGATATTTAAAATAATTACAAAATTTTCCTTTTAAAAAGTTCGATATTTACGAAATTTCGTAAATGGTAAAAAATAACGAATCGATTTCCGAAACAATAACGAATCGATTCGTTAATGGCGGACGCGACCGCGAAATACGCTAAAAAACCTCCAAAACCTTCTGAAGCTTCCCTCTCCCTCTGTTGTTGACTGTTGGTGTGATATTATAATTTGTTTTCACTAATTAAACCATAAAACTGGCCCAGACATGCGGAAATAATAACGAAACGACCTCAAAACAATAACGAAACGAATACAATATCGAAATACGAAGCATTTACAAAACGTTTTTGAAAATTCGTTTTTTTAATAATTGCTCCAGAATGGTTCGTTATCGTTTTGTAATTGAAAAAATTAACGAATTATTAACGAATTACGAATTAACGAAACGAAACCGCCCAGCCCTAATGGCCATGGGTCTCGGTAAACATGCAGTTTCCTCTTTGTGGACATGCAGTTTAAAAGTCCTTTCTGCTTTTGGTTTTCATTGTTTTGTTTTTTTTTAGTGGAGAACATACATTGGGTTGTTAGGGACATAGTGTCCAAATTTGGTGTCAGTTGCCCCAGTGGTTTCTGAGTTCTGTCAACAGCACAATATATAGATGGGTTCCACAGCCCCACACTGAGGTCTGCAACAACAACAAACAAATGACAAATTGTAAACCATGATGTGCAAACAGGGGCCCACATGCTCCCTTCCACCCTGGAAACCGAGCTGCTATCCAGAAGGTTTGGAGCAGAGAGGCTTGATGGAGACTTACCACTGGAGCAGTCTGTGCCTCTCCATCCCTGCTCGCACTGGCATTGATCTGGCGCTACACACCTCCCGTGGACACACTCCTGGGCACATCGAGCTGGAAGAGAGAAGGAGGGAAGAAGGGATGTTGGAGCGACTCCGAAGCACTCCCAGCTCCAGGGAGGGAGCAGCGAGTAAAGATTATTTCCTTGGAAGAGAGCAAAATGGCCCTGGGGAGTTTGCAGACAAGAGGTCTGGAACCTAACTGTATGAACTCCCTCACAAAGCAGGTCAAAGAAGGAGAAGGTCTTGGATTAGCTTCTCCCATTTCCACTGGCATTATGGTCTATTACAGTGGTTCCCAACATGTGGGTCCCCAGATGTTTTGGCCTCCAAATCTCAGAAATCATTGTTCAGACGTTTCCAACACTTCATGACTGTGGCCACCCTCAGTTCCTTCAAAGTCGAGCCAGTCTCTTCAAAGATGCCATCCATCCACCTTGCCCTTGGTTGGCCCCTCTTTCTTTTCCCTTCCATTTTCCCCAGCATCGTTGTCTTCTCCAAGGTCTCCTGTACTCTCATGATGTGGCCAAAGTACTTCATCTGCCATACATCAAAGGAACCACTAACCGCATAGGGAAGCTGATGAGGAAACACAACATACAAACTATCTACAGACCCAGCAAGAAAATCCAACAAATGCTTCGTTCAGCAAAGGACAAGAGGGATCCTCTCACCTCTGCAGGAGTCTATCGTATACCATGCAGCTGTGGGCAAGTCTACCGAGGGACCACCAAATGCAGCAGCATTGACCAAACACGAATCAAGGAACATGAAAGGCACTGCAGACTACTTCAGCCAGAAAAGTCAGCCATAGCAGAGCACCTGATGAACTAACTTGGACACATCATATTATTTGAGAACACAGAAATACTGGGCCACTTAAACAACCATCATGTCAAACTACGCAGAGAAGCCATTGAAATCCACAAGCATGTGGACAATTTCAACAGAAAGGAGGAAACCATGAAAATGAACAAAATCTGTCTAACAGTATTAAAAAAAACCTCAAGAATTACAACAGCAAAACAACAGAGAGGGGAAAAAAAGCAGGGACATCTAATCACCTCTCAACAAAAGATTGCCCCAGGCACCGCCAGGCCATCAAATGCTAATCAAGATGGTCAGTTGAAACATTCACACCTAGCTCCAGCAGACAAGAGTCCTTTGTCCCACCCTGGTCATTCCACAGATACATAAACCAAGTTTCCTAGTTCCAACAGACCTCACTATCTCTGAGGATACTTGCCATAGATGCAGGCAAAACGTCAGGAGAGAATGCCTCTAGACCATGGCCATACAGCCCGAAAAAACCTACAACAACCCAGTGATTCCGGCCATGAAAGCCTTCAACAATATACTTCATCTTTGCCTTAATATCCTTCCCTCCAATGAGCAGTCGGGCTTTATTTCCTGAAGTATGGACTGGTTGGATCTTCTCGCTGTCCAAGGCACTCTCAGGATTTTCCTCCAGCACCACAGTTCAAAAGCTTCTATCTTTCTTCACTCAGCCTTCCTTATGGTCCAGCTCTTGCATCCACAGGCTACTACAAGGAATACCATTGTGGAATCAGGTGTAAAACAGGGATGTGTTATTGCTCCAACCTTTTCCATCTTCATTGCTATGATACTTCACTAGGTTCTTGTGGGTATTTTCGGGCTATATGGCCATGTTCTAGAGGCATTTTTCCTGACGTTTTGCCTGCATCTATGGCAAGCATCCTCAGAGGTAGTGAGGTCAGACCTCACTACCTCTGTGAATGCTTGCCATAGATGCAGGCGAAACGTCAGGAGAGAATGCCTCTAGAACATGGCCATATAGCCCGAAAAAACCCACAAGAACCTAGTCATTCCAGCCATGAAAGCCTTCGACAATACATATGATACTTCATCTTGTTGATAGGAATCTTTCCACCGGAGTGGAAATCATCTATTGGACTAACGGCATTTAACCTCAGCAGACTGAAAGCCAAAACCAAGGTTACAACAACATCTGTTATAGAACTCTAATATGCTAATGACAACGTCATCCGTGCGCATTCGGAAGAAGACCTACAAGCCACTCTAAACACCTTTGCAGAAACATACGAGAAGCTTGGCCTGTCATTGAACATCGAGAAAACACAAGTGCTCTTCCAGCAGTCACCAGCCAATCTCTCTCCAATGCCAGTGATACAGCTTAATGGTGTAACATTAGAAAATGTGGACCATTTCCGCTCCCTTGGCAGCCATCTCTCCATAAAAGTCAACATTGACATGGAAATACAACACCGCTTGAGCTCTGCGAGTGCAGCATTTTTCCGAATGAAGCAGAGAGTGTTTGAGGATCAGGACATCCGTAGGGATACCAAGGTGCTTGTTTATAAGGCTATTGTCCTCCTAACCCTGCTTTACGCCTGCGAGACGTGGACTGTCTACAGATGTCACATGCAACTCCCAGAACGATTGCCACCGAAAAATCCTGTAAATCTCTTGGAAAGACAGGCGGACAAATGTCAGCGTGCTGGAAGAAACAAAGATCACCAGCATTGAAGCGATGGTCCTCCACCATCAACTCCACTGGACTGGCCATGTTGTCCGGATGCCCGACCACCGTCTCCCAAAGCAGTTGCTCTACTCCGAACTCAGGAACGGAAAATGGAATGTTGGAGGACAGGAAAAGAGATTTAAAGATGGGCTCAAAGCCAACCTTTAAAACTCTGGCATAGACACTGAGAACTGGGAAGCCCTGGCCCTTGAGCGCTCCAGCTGGAGGTCAGCTGTGACCAGCAGTGCTGTAGAATTTGAATAGGCACGAATGGAGAGCGAAAGAGAAAAACATGCCAGGGGAAGGCGTGTCAAGCTAACCCCGACTGGGATTGCCTTCCACCTGGAAACCAATGTCCTCACTGTGGGAGAAGATGCAGGTCAAGAATAGGGCTCCACAGTCACCTATGGACACTGATCCTGGAAGACTATCCTACTTGGACAATGAGGGATCGCCTAAGGAAGGACCATTGCTTTAACTATGCAGATCTCCATTGCCAGTATGAAGTCTCTACTTTTCACTATTTCATTAAGATTGGTATGGAGAAATCCTAAAGGTTGGTAAACTGGCTGGGATTTTTGAGAGTTGTAGGCCAAAACACCTGGGGACCCACAGGTTGAGAACCACTGGTCTACTAGATCTAGTAGGGCTATTCTCCGCTTCTCCTAGTTACGTAAACCACATAAGCCATCTTTCTCCCTTGTTGGGTCAATGCCCTCCTTTAAAATAGGGGACTTACGGACACAGAGGTCGTTGCTCTCATAGTATCCCTGGCAGCAGCGATAGCGTCTCCTGTAGTCTATCTTCACACTTTGACGGTAAGCAGTCTTGTAGAGGACTCTGTGAAAGAGCAAAGGGAAAAGTGACAGATGCCAGGAAAAATGCCAGGCCAAGGAGGTCCACAGAGGAGGAGCTGGATGCGGGGCAGAAACTAATAGAATCAGAATAATAGAATCACTATTATGGCGCAGTGGATTAAACCACTGAGCTGCTGAATTAGATCTTTAAAGGTTGCAGGTTCGAATTTGGGGAGTGAGGTGAGCTCCTACTGCTAGCCCCAGCTTCTGCCAACCTAGCAGTTTGAAAACATGCAAATGAGCGTAGATCAATAGGTATTGCTCCGGATGGTAATGGCACTCCATGCAGTCATGCTGGCCACATGACTCAGGAGGTGCCCCCCGAACACCACTAGGACCACCTTGACTGGCTTGTGCCAGAGTCTTTGCAGTTTGATCTTTAAATCCACATATTGTGCTAGTTTTTCTAGTTGCTTCTTGTCAATTCTACTGTCACGTTCTGTTATTATTATTATTATTATTATTATTATTATTATTATTATTATTGTACTGACACAAAAGCACAGTATGTCACAGCAAACGAGATCTCTATGCTGGATTTCGTATCACAAAATCACAAGTCGAACACTTCCCCAAAGTCTAGGACTGTGTGTGTTCTGGTACAGCAGCACCAGGAGCTCCAGCTTATCTTGCTATTTGTTGATTGTTGCATGTATTTTGAAGTTCTATGCCTTTGCAGTTAGCTGGCTCTCCTTACTTTGCAGTTATTGGGTCAATTGCTTGTCAATTATCCTTAGGTTCCCTAGTCCTGCCCCCTTTTTGGGCTTTGGTAGGGAAGTGAGCCATTTTGTGTTTAGTTTCAGCCAGGTTAACCAATGTATAGGATGTGTGTTGCTTCCCCTGTACAAACCTTTAAGAATTCCAGGGTCACAGAAACTCCAACAGAATCTCCAGGGAAAGAATTTCCAGGGGAGAACAGCTTTAAGACTATCCTAAGAACTCTAGGGAAGCCTTCCTACAGCTTTGGGAGTTTCCGGGAATACAGCCTTAAAGTCTAAAGAACTCCAGCTGGAGAACATCCATTGCCTTGCTGGTAGGTCCACTCAGCGCTCGAGAAGCAGTTCGGCCTGGTAGCAGAACCCACACCAGTGAGGGTTGGATTTTAGTCAGCCTTGGGAGAAGTTAAAAAAGGGGAATTTTCCTTTAAAGAAAAGTTATTGAAGATAGTGCCTGTCCCCTGTGGACAAGATTGAGAGAACTAATACTTTATCAAGAAAGCTTTGCAGTTCCTGTTTAATTTCATTAATAAAGGACTTTGTTGTACTTCTTAAGCCATCTGAAGATTGTTTGTAGAGGAAACCTCTGAGAACTTTTCCTTAGGCCCCTGGCTTCCTGCTGGGCAAAGGTTACACATCCTATTTTTAAAGTCAACTAACTACAGGCCCAGCGGCGACAGAACAGTGTGATGTATTTTTGAATGATGCGTGCATATCCAAGTCAGGTGGACTTTTGCAACTGACAGATCGTGATTTTGTCGATGTTTATTGTTTACAAATGCCATCTGAGATCTTTTGGCACGGCACCCAGTGTACCCATGACAACTGGAACCACCTGGACTGCTTTATACCAGAGCCTTTTGAAGTCTTGATAGGGGCTGAGTTTTTCCTGTTCGATTTTGAGGTGTTGATAGTGGCTGAGTTTTTCCTGTGGGTTTTTCCTCAATGCGACTGACATCAATAATCCAGACTTTTTTCTTTTCCACAATCGTGATGTCTGGTGTATTGAGTTCCAAAACTTTGTCAGTCTGGATTCGAAAGTCCCACAGTATTTTTGCATGTTCATTTTCCATGACCTTTGTGGGTTTATGATCCCACCAATTCTTTACTTCTGGCAGGTGGTACTTGTGACATACGTTCCAATGAATCATCTGAGCCAGAGTTGTGTCTTTGTTTGTAGTCCGTCCGTGCGATTTTCTTGCAACAGCTGAGGAGATGGTCCATGGTTTCATCCGCTTCCTTGAACAGTCTGCATTTTGGGTTATCAGCTGATTTTTCAATCCTGGCCTTAATGGCATTGGTTCTGATGGCTTACTCCTGGGCTACAAGAACCAGGCCTTCTTCTGTCTCCTTCTCCAGGGTTCCATTCATGAGCCATCACAGGTCTTCTCCTTGTCAACTTTTCCTTCAGTCTTCTCAAGGAACTGCTCATGCAAGGCTTTGTTGTGGCAGCTGTCAGATCTGGTTTGGAGTGCAGTTTTCTTGTACTGACTCTTTGTCTGCTGTGCTTTGAGAAGTTTCCGATTATTGACTTCCATTAAAGCAGGTTCTTGGCTTTCCTTGACATATTCTGCCAGGGCATCGTGTTTTTCTTCTTCGACGGTTTGTTTGACTTGTAAAAGTCCTCTGCCACCAGACTTTCTTCTTCTTCTTCTTCTTCTTCTTCTTCTTCTTCTTCTTCTTCTTCTTCTATTTATTATTATTATTATTATTATTATTATT